ATGAGAGTACCAGCAAAGACCACTCTTGCGTGCTTTATTATATTTGGAGTGTATTAAGTCCAGTTCATCCGATTTTCACATCAATGACATAATCCACTACACATTTAGTATTGACATATATTATGATATTTATCTTATTCAAATTATTAATTAAAATATTTCCTTGTTTCAGGTGCCAAGAAAACCAGTAATACAGAAATGCCAGTAATGTCCAAGTAGGTTCATCTTTCCAGCAATAATTCTTCGAAAGACAAACTTCTCAACAAACATATTAATGATATGTAGAATTTCAAATGAAAATGTTTTTTTGCTAAAGAGCTTTTAAAATATCGTTGGTTTGTTGGCTAGTATATTGATCTCTATGCGCGTTTAACATTTATCCTGTCTCAACCACAACAGCATACAGACTCCCGCCTCAGTGATCTCTCCTGTCGAAATCCAAACACAAGGTCAGAGTTTGTCAACGTATATCAAAAGTATGAAAGTATGCAACGCAGACCTAAATAGTGACTCCAGAGGTGTACATACACCAAGCGGTCCGTGCTGGGTATAAGAGATGAGGTGAAAAGGGGTTTAACATCGCGTCCAAGATTATTGCACTTATATAGCGACGTGCATGCACGTGTATGTGTGTGTGTGTGGATGCTCGTACTAGTCTGGACTGATGCCGATTTATAGTGCTAGCTCACTGAGATACCATGCCGCAGTTTAACATGAATACTCCACTCAGACACAGTATACCGACTCCGAGCCGACCAGTCCTTGTTTTAGCCCCTTAATGCCGAGCGTCAGACAGGGTAACAACAAGTACCATCTTTTAACGTATTTTGGTATGGGGATCGAACCCCGGACCTTCCACTCTCCGGGCGGACGCTCTACCAATTGACCACGGAGGCGGTCGCTGGGTATAAGAGCTGACGAAAGATGGTTGGTTGACTAGACTCAATAAATTAGCTGACATCTTGTCAATTGGTCCCGGTGGCATGTTCTAGTTTAGGCTAAATCAACAGGCTGATGTAAAACCCAGAAATATGTGCTGACTGAGACTGTGAAACAAGCGTTCACGTACTCACTTCATTCAGATACAAGTGTATGTGTACATATTTCAATGATAACTGTCTTTTCTCTATAAGCTATATATGTCAGAGGGACATTGATAATGTACTTACTAAATACATATCTGTATATGTTCAGGCGGTGAGTACGAAATTCCTGTGGACAGGAATCACTATGATGCCCTACAGATAGAGACTGCTGACATTTCCAACACGTATGAGAAGATACGAACATACCAGAATATGTGAAATGAGGAGGCAGCGAAGAAAGGTCACATTTAGATGCAACTTCAATGGTGATTGCTAAGACACGAACGTCAACGTAATTTCTTATTGGACATTCGTTTAGAAATGAAAGTAAAAAAAGATTTAATGAACATAGTTGGAAACCCTCACTTGTATTTGAGGTACAATATATAGTATAAGGAACACCTTTATGTTCAATGTAATTAAGTGCACATGTCCTCAGATGTAGACAAAAATTCATATGACCAATACTTCCTCAAAGATGCAATCAAATAGAAACACATATCTAGTTACTAATCCTACATTACGGAAGCGTAAGAGTCGTTGTAAGAATTGACATTGTATTCTTTTACGCAATGGGTGTTACAATATAGATGTTACTTTGTTATCAGAACTCTTTGGAATGACAAACATACTGATGTCGTAATGTCTGATATGACGGGCGTGTCGGTGCTGCATGTGTTATAACAGAAGCATAAATTAAATCTTTGAATGACTGCCTGCTGTCAGTTCCGAGAATTAAACATATTAAAGCTGGCGTCCGCTTTTTATTATATTCAGATTTCATGTAAATAAAATCATCATGTAATTAGTCCGTCTGTTTTGACTGGTCTGTCCGTATATGAACCGTTGTAGTATTCTGCATGTGATACACGTCCAAATACTTCATGCCTGACTCCAAACAAGGCCAACCCCTTATACATAGACAAAGGGTATGTTTCGCACCAGTGATAGTGATTAATAGTGATTGAATTGATGCTGATATAGAATACACTTTCACATATGTTAACATGTTTACACTAGTCACATTAGTTCTGATTACATCTTTATCTCCACACACATTGTATGTGTGCTTACATATTCAAGTTAAGGTCATACAATGAGCCTTAAGAGTAAAGCCGCTTTTAGCAATATTCCAGCTATATCATAGTGATTAATGCTGACAGTTGTATAATACACTGAATCGTAAAATAAACTTTCACAAATGTTAACATGTTTATTCTTTTCTTTATAGGGCAAAACAAATGCAGGACCAAAATTATTCGTACTTGCATGTTTATGTTTATGCAGAGTGTATTTATGCATACATATGCAAGTTAGGTTCGTACAAGGACCTTCAGAGCATGACGTACGTTGTCTGCTTACAACGACAACACAATCCTTGTTTGAATCGTGATATGTACAATTCAGGCAAGGATATAACATTTTCAAAAGTGAAACGTTTTTCAGTGCGACACATGTTGCATAAAACAACAACATTCACACACTTGTAACCGTTCACCGCCATATACTGTAATGAGGGTGTTACAAGGAGTGAAATAATAGACATTTAGGTTTACTAAGATCAGTAGGGAAAGTAATGGGAGGTGACGAAATCCTAATACGTGGCCCCCCGTTGTCAAGATATTTTATAAAGGCCATCAGGTATTCTCTTATGACGTGCTTGTGTCTATAGGACAAATTGCAGCAATTGTGCACGAAGACGACAAAATGGCGTCAACAACCTTCCGCACGTACACATTGTGTTTAGTCCAAGTTGGTTGACCTGTGGAATATGTAAACTGAGAAAGAAGACGAGGAGTTGGAATATTGACTGATAGTGAGTGAGGTAATGAAAATGTTGATGTAGTGTGTAAATGAGAAGGCAGACAGCGGACATTTGTTGTAGCGAGTGTTTTGAAGAGAGAGTTATAGGGACTGGAAAGGATGTTGTAGGCAATAGATTTGATTTATATTTCTATCTCGACTTTTTAGATGGAGGTAAACTTTATCTTTCTTGACAATAGAAACCGTGTAAATGTGTACAGATAAATATGCGTTTTCATAAATGGATGTGGGCTCAACGTCCCATGAACCATTTACCACTCATATTTAATATTTAATCGGTACTGACAGATTTAAAGACATGAAAACAACTTAAGTAGTGAAACAGTTGCCATGAAAACTGTCTCTGGCATTTCCTGTTTTCATTGTATTCATTGCCTTGTTACATTACCAAAAACCATAAAGTAAGCGCATGCTTTTATCAGCATATGTTTTGATGAAACGCCTGGTCAAACGTATGATGATACAAAGTTGATGCATCCTCTACACAACTGATCAAGAATTTATTTGTCTAACTCACGTGGTGTTTGAATGGCAATGGTATTTTTGCATCAAATAATCTTTTGATATGCTCCCTTGATATTTCAACATCAAGAAGTGACAAAATTGAAAATAATTTTGCAAACGTTTCTCTGGTAAAAATTAATACACATATAGAATGACTATCAGTGTTTTTATCCTTACCTTTCCTTGTCGATAAGAAGAAAATGTATATTATATTAAATTAAATTGAGTTTGCAGAACACATGCAATGCATAGCTTCATCACAGTTTGTACTTTACGGTTAAAGGACAACACAAAGGATCCACATCGTGTTTTTCACTATTAACCAGGTTTCGTAAAGATAATAGATGTTACTGACACGGGGTAAATGTAAATTTGGCTAATAGAGTTGATGGGGGATAGAAAATACGCTAGGATGGAATTTAGTTGTTGGGTTGGTTTATCTGGATGTATTTTTCGACGAGTGACTCTCCGTCTAGACACTGAACTAGGTGTAGGGTTAATACTTGAAACTGACAATGTTTATTTCCTGTACTTTTAAAACGTTTTTATGTTAGAGCAAACTGTTAAAAGTCGTCTGAAGTAAAACTCGACTTAGCTGTATCCACCATTGCACGGATTGCCTTATCAATCTTGAGTTTTGCCTCCGAAGATCTCATTAGGCTTGATCATGATTGGTTTGGAGTTTTATCATGGTAAAAGGAACGGATACTCTATCCTCCTCATCCAAGACAACACCACCTTCTGTCTTACATAGCATCAGAGAACATTAGAAAGAGATTTTCCTCTTTAGTTATCGAATACTTTAATGTTCTTATTTGTAGAAAATCGATCGTTCTGAGTTGCGATAGTTGATAATATTTTTATGAAAGCGAAAGAACTTTTCCATATTCATTAGATTCCTTTAGATCATGAGCACGTGTTTGTGAATCACTATCAAATAGTGATGACACCATTTGTTCGTCCATCCTGCCCATTAGTGGCACTCGTCACAAACACATGCAAAGGCAAGTTAGTTGTTCATCTAAAAAGACAAGTGAATGTAATCATGATTCAAGTCAAAATAGGGACTTGCATTGATTATATTTTTTGTCACTGATGCGTCAAATTTGGAAGTGTTGTCGACATGTCTACCATAAATCTTTTTGAAGCTTTCCTGAGGCTTTGAATGTTGTAATCTTAAGTTATAACCTCAAGTCAAGTCTCAAGTTTTATGTTTTCAATTTCCGCTCAAGAATATCCCTTTTCTTATCATAAGATCAACTTCTTGTTCACAGAGAATCGCTTTTTTTATTTCTTGTTTAATCATGCTACATAGAGATTTGACCAATGTTATCTACATTTGATGATATAACTTGCTTAAGTATCGATTTCCTTGGCATTTCAGTTAAAGTACTCGGAATCTCTGATAACTGATTGCTTTTAGAACTCACGAAAACCCACTCAGGAACGAATATAGGTGACAACATCTCACAGTTCATGCAATTCACATGCTGACATTACAATTTTGACCTGCTACTCTTTATCACAGGTGTTTTCGAACTCACAACAATAATATTATCAGATTTCTTGTGGAAATCCTTTTTACAGAGCATTTTCAGCGGAGCTCGTTCACACTTGGCCAACAATCCAAGGGCGATAATCCTGTTGCTCTATTCGTGACTGTGAGAGTATTGTAACGTCACTGTGAGCAGTTTTAAAGTTGTATCAGTTGTGTCAGCTTGATGTGGGAAGAAACCAGGAAGTGATGCAGGCCTTAGATGTTTAACGTTTTCGTTACACACACGATCTCAGATATGCAGGCAGGGACTTCTAATTGTGGGCGTAATAGAGGTGGAGGTAGGTGTGTTTAGTGTTCACAGTCATTGTTGTGATCGATGTAAAGACAATAAGGGAAGGCCATTTACTGGTTGTTTTATGTTTGTATCCCTATCATATGGATATTACCCAAACTCTTACCATCGCTCCACATTAGAGATCTCTTCATAAACACAAACATAATATCACGCTACTGACGACCATGTCACCATGACCCGAGATATTATCTACATAGTTGTGGTATACAATAACGCAGATATCGTAGTTAGTGCACTCAACAAGGAAGTAATTTTCGGGCAGGGATTGCAAATGGTGGGCGAGAATGGTTTGTCTTTGTGTTCAGAGCAAAACGGATTATTATGTCAGTAGGTCTGAAATATGAACCCAGCTCAGTAGTATAGCGTGACTGCGTGAACTTGTCGTGATGAGACAATTTTAAGTCGTAGTTACACTGTCACCGCCTCCGTGGACTAATGGTAGAGCGTCCGCCCGGAGGGCGGAAGGTCCGGGGTTCGATTCCGCGTCATACCAAAAGACGTTGAAAGATGGTACTTGTTGTTACCCTGTCTGGCGCTCGAAATTAAGGGGCTAAAACAAGGACTGGTCGGCTCGGAGTCAGTATACTGTGTCTGAGTGGAGTATTCATGTTAAACTGCGGCATGGTATCTCAGTGAGCTAGCACTATAAAACGGCATCAGTCCGGACTAGTACAAGCAGCCACACAAACACATACACGTACATGCACGTCGCTATATAAGTGCAATATCTTGGACGCGACGTTAAACCCCATTTCACCTCACCTCACCAGAGCACAGTCATTGTGTTATCGTTGTTAAGATAGTTTGGGAAGGGCTTTCACTTCTTGTTTCATGATGGTATCCATACAACCAGTGTCCTGAATACTTCCAAAACCCTTACAGTCGCTCCACAGTGGGGAGATCCCCAAATAAGCACAAGTATAATTTCAACCTGCTGACACCGTGACCCGAGAGATTATTTACATAGATGTGGTGTACAATAGCGCAGACGCCACAGCTAGTGCAATCAACAAGGAAGTAATATAAATCGTTTCGACTGGGATTCCACTCAGTGGTCGGGTTCACATGTACAGATGTAAGTATTATAGCTTTCAAGACACAGGCGTGACATTTTTATCCACATTTCCAAAAGAAAGGTGAATATCTATGCTAATATGGACAAAGTCAGATACACGAAAAGCAGTATGGACGCATACCTCGATTCTGTCTATAATTGTAATGATCGGTGACTAACACATCCTGTTGCGTGATGACATTTACGTCTGTCTTTTGTGTGATGGCAAACCTTTACTCGGCACTGCATGTCTTACTGTACACCACTTTCTCATGTAGGCATGTAATGGTTCTTTCCATGTAGGCTGAGCACAGTTCGTTTGAAGATCATTTTGCTTGGCCTGCGTGTTGCAAAAATGGGTTCAATTTGGGTTATACATACCGGCCAATAGCTCGGTTTTCCACATACCACCAAAACCAAACTTCTTCTTTGAAATGTGTAATACTATCATCCTCAGCATATAAACAAACCTGGGTAATCTCCATCTCACCAATCAGGGGAGTGTTGTTCACTTAGACATGGTGTGTTTAACGTCAATTGGGAGATGTGATTGATTGTGTTCATTTTGGGGGAAGGGGAGGGGTTACTTTTATAAAACAAAAACTATCATCAGCTCGCAAGATAATTTCTGTAAATAAACCACAGATATAATTAAATCTTTTGTTCTGACATTCATTAACATGTTTCAGGAACAGGAATTCAAATTTGGGAGAAAGAAGCATGAAGCCGTGTCATCCCTTTTGTCGTCTGATTTTCATTACCTTTCTCCCTGGAAGTGAGTACAAAATTAGTGCTGGCATATAAACATAGATATCAGCTTATTAGTTTTGGTCACTGTAAATCATATTCTCATCACATCAAGGTGTTCTGAAACAAGGTACTTTCAAGGTATGCAGAATCAGCCATTATAACCGCAGGCCCTCAAATATCGATATGTGCTGCCTGGAATGTGCGACATATTAGTGACTATAGGAAGAGTCATGTGTTTTTGAAATGTCTTCCACTGTACAGTGGTAGTTACAATGTTATATAGTTTTCACATCAGATGTATTGTTGAATTGTCGACTTATGCAAGTTTTCGTTCTCAGTCACAGGGGCAAGCCTGTAATCACTACAAGAGTGAGTGAGTGAGTATGGTTTTACGCCGCTTTTAGCAATATTCCAGCAACATCACGGCGGGGGACACCAGAAATGAGCTTCACACATTGTACCCATGTCGGGAATCGAACCCGGTTTTTCAGCGTGACGAGCGAACGCTTTAACCACTAGGCTACCCGACCGCCCCCACTACACGAAGAGCCATATGCTTCTGAATGGGCTTTGACTGTGCGTTAATTACAATGCTATATATGTTTCACATCAGATATTTTACATGAAAGAATAACCCGACATTTTGTTGAATTTTCGACTTGTGCAACTCTCACTGACATAAACACAAGCTTTTCTTTCTCAGTCACAGGGGCAAGACTGACCACATCACCAACACATATAACTATTGGGGGAAGTAACCCAACATCTCAGCTGACTGTACGTTGTAGTCCAGATGTACCTGGGATAACACTAGTGTATAACATAGAGATTGGCAAGAAATCTTCTACTGGTTCTAATCAGCCTGTAATACGAATGGGCAGCACAGATCCGTCAGTACAAGTAGTGGACACAGGTCTACAACAGCGGATGACAGCCTCAGGTTCTATTACGGGCGCAACAGGCAGCATACAGTTCATCCTGACAGATCTGAGATGTACTGATGCTGCTTCTACATACTATTGTTTCACCCTATACAAGGCGGGATCATCTGGAAGTGATGCGACAACCACCAACATCGCAGCTAGAAGTGCGTATGTTAATATTTACCACAACTAAAATTTCTTGTTTCCTTTATAAGTGATTTGAACTACACATTTAAAATTACATGGATATATATATATATATATATATATATAGGATCAGTAATGATGAAGGTCAGTTGATTCCTTCAGGTTCACTTGTTCATTCAGATGTACCGGCAGGTGTACATTCAGGTGTACATTCAGGTGTACAGATGATCTCATTCAGGTGTACAGATGATCTCATTCAGGTGTTCAGGCAGGTGTACATTCAGGTGTACAGATGATCTCATTCAGGTGTTCAGGCAGGTGTACTTTCAGGTGTACAGGCAGGTGTACATTCGGGTGTACAGATGATCTCATTCAGGTGTACAGGCAGGTGTACATTCAGGTCTACAGATGATCTCATTTAGGTGTCCAGGCAGGTGTACATTCAGGTATAGAGATGATCTCATTCAGGTGTACAGGCAGGTGTACATTCAGGTCTACAGATGATCTCAACTAGGTGTTCAGGCAGGTGTACATTCAGGTGTAAAGATGATCTGATTCAGGTGTTCAGGCAGGTATACATTCAGGTGTATGATCTCATTCAGGTGTACAGGCAGGTGTACATTCAGCTAGAAGTGTGTATGTTAATATTTAGCACAACTAAAATGTCTTGTATCCTTTATAAGTGATTTGAACTACACATTTAAAATTACATGGATATATATATATATATAGGATCAGTAATGATGAAGGTCAGTTGATTCCTTCAGGTTCACTTCTTCATTCAGATGTACCGGCAGGTGTACATTCAGGTGTACATTCAGGTGTACAGATGATCTCATTCAGGTGTACAGATGATCTTATTCAGGTGTACCGGCAGGTGTACATTCAGGTGTACAGATGATCGCATTCAGGAGTACAGATGATCTCATACAGATGTATAGGCAGGTATACATTCAGGTGTACAGATGATCTCATTCAGGTGTACAGGCAGGTGTATATTCAGGTGTACAGATGATCTCATTCAGGTTTTCAGGCAGGTGTACATTCAGGTGTAGAGGCAGCTGTACATTCAGGTGTACAGATGATCTGATTCAGGTGTACAGGCAGGTGTACATTCAGGTGTACAGATGATCTGATTCAGGTGTATAGGCAGGTATACATTCAGGTGTACAGATGATCTCATTCAGGTGTTCAGGCAGGTGTATATTCAGGTGTACAGATGATCTCATTCAGGTGTTCAGGCAGGTGTACATTCAGGTGTTCAGGCAGGTGTACATTCAGGTGTACAGGTAGGTGTATATTCAGGTGTACAGATGATCTCATTCAGGTGTACAGGCAGGTGTACATTCAGCTGTACAGATGATCTCATTCGGGTGTACAGGCAGGTTTACATTCAGGTATACAGATGATCTCATTCAGGTGTTCAGGCAGGTGTTCATTCAGATGTACAGATGATCTCATTCAGGTGTCCAGGCAGGTGTACATTCAGGTGTACAGGCAGGTGTACATTCAGGTGTACAGATGATCTCATTCAGGTGTACAGGCAGGTGTACATTCATGTGTACAGATGATCTCATTCAGGTCTTCAGGCAGGTGTACATTCAGGTGTACAGGCAGGTGTACATTCGGGTGTACAGATGATCTCATTCAGGTGTACAGGCAGGTGTACATTCAGGTATACAGATGATCTCATTCAGGTGTTCAGGCAGGTTTACAGATGATCTCATTCAGTTGTTCATGCAGTTGTGCATTCAGGTGTACAGGTAGGTGTACATTCGGGTGTACAGATGATCTCACTCAGGTGTTCTGGCAGGTGTACATTCAGGTGAACAGATGATCTCATTCAGGTGTTCAGGCAGGTGTACATTCAGGTGTTCAGGCAGGTGTACATTCAGGTGTACAGGCAGGTGTACATTCGGGTGTACAGATGATCTGATTCAGGTGTATAGGCAGGTATACATTCAGGTGTACAGATGATCTCATTCAGGTGTACAGGCAGGTGTACATTCAGTTGTACAGATGATCTCATTCTGGTGTATAGGCAGGTATACATTCAGGTGTACAGATGATCTCATTCAGGTGTACAGACCTCATTCAGTTGTACAGGCAGGTATACATTCAGGTGTACAGATGATCTCATTCAGGTGTACATGCAGGTGTACATTCAGGTGTACAGATCTAATTCAGGTGTACAGGCAGGTGTACATTCGGGTGTACAGATGATCTCATTCAGGTGTACAGGCAGGTGTACATTCAGGTGTACAGATGATCTCATTCAGGTGTTCAGGCAGGTGTACATTCAGGTGTACAGATGATTTCATTCAGGTGTTCAGGCAGGTGTACATTCAGGTGTACAGGCAGGTGTACATTCGGGTGTAAAGATGATCTCATTCAGGTGTACAGGCAGGTGTACATTCAGGTGTACAGATGATCTCATTCAGGTGTTCTGGCAGGTGTACATTCAGGTGTACAGGCAGTTGTACATTCAGGTGTACAGGCAGGCAGATGATCTCATTCAGGTGTACATTCAGGTGTACATTCAGGTGTACAGATGATATCATTCAGGTGTTCTGGCAGGTGTACATTCAGGTGTACAGGCAGTTGTACATTCAGGTGTACAGGCAGGTGTACATTCAGGTGTACAGATGATCATTCAGGTGTACAGGCAGGTGTACATTCAGGTGTACAGATGATCTGATTCAGGTGTTTAGGCAGGTGTACATTCAGGTGTACAGGCAGGTGTACATTCGGGTGTACAGATGATCTGATTCAGGTGTATAGGCAGGTATACATTCAGGAGTACAGATGATCTCATTCAGGTGTACAGGCAGGTGTACATTCAGTTGTACAGATGATCTCATTCTGGTGTATAGGCAGGTATACATTCAGGTGTACAGATGATCTCATTCAGGTGTACAGACCTCATTCAGTTGTACAGGCAGGTATACATTCAGGTGTACAGATGATCTCATTCAGGTGTACATGCAGGTGTACATTCAGGTGTACAGATCTAATTCAGGTGTACAGGCAGGTGTACATTCGGGTGTACAGATGATCTCATTCAGGTGTACAGGCAGGTGTACATTCAGGTGTACAGATGATCTCATTCAGGTGTTCAGGCAGGTGTACATTCAGGTGTACAGATGATCTCATTCAGGTGTTCAGGCAGGTGTACATTTAGGTGTACAGGCAGGTGTACATTCGGGTGTAAAGATGATCTCATTCAGGTGTACAGGCAGGTGTACATTCAGGTGTACAGATGATCTCATTCAGGTGTTCTGGCAGGTGTACATTCAGGTGTACAGGCAGTTGTACATTCAGGTGTACAGGCAGGCAGATGATCTCATTCAGGTGTACAGGCAGGTGTACATTCAGGTGTACAGATGATATCATTCAGGTGTTCTGGCAGGTGTACATTCAGGTGTACAGGCAGTTGTACATTCAGGTGTACAGGCAGGTGTACATTCAGGTGTACAGATGATCATTCAGGTGTACAGGCAGGTGTACATTCAGGTGTACAGATGATCTGATTCAGGTGTTTAGGCAGGTGTACATTCAGGTGTACATAAAGGTGTACATTCAGGTGTACAGATGATCTCATTCGTGTGTACAGGCAGGTGTACATTCAGGTGTACAGATGATCTCATTCATGTGTACATGCAGGTTTACAATCAGGTGTACAGATGATCTCACTCAGGTGTACAGGTAGGTGTATATTCAGGTGTACAGATTATCTCATTCAGGTGTACAGTCAGGTGTATATTCAGGTGTACAGAACTCATTCAGGTGTACAGGCAGGTGTACATTCATGTGTACAGACCTCATTCAGGTGTACAGGCAGGTGTACATTCAGGTATACAGATGATCTTATTCAGGTGTACAGGCAGGTGTACATTCAGGTGTACAGATGATCTCATTCAGGTGTACAGGCAGATGTACATTCAGGTGTACAGATGATCTCATTCAGGTGTACAGGCAGGTGTACATTCAGGTGAATAGATGATCTCATTCAGGTGTACAGGCAGGTTTCAAAACTAGTTCGATAAAAACAATCTCCAGAACCTGTGGACATGGGAGTGGCGGACATATACAACGAGTTCACCTCCTGGACACGATATCCCAACAACCAATACATCACCTTCGACCATCGTTCTCCCGTGTCTGTCTCAGGGGCAAGTCAGTATACAGGGGCGTCAACAAACAAACAGCACTGCTTCATACAGTCTCGAATGTAGACAATGGGAGACAGTTCATATGTTCTGTCATTCATGAGATAACGACTGAGTTGGGTTTAACGCCACTTTCCACAGTATTCCAGTTATATCGTGGCGTGTCAGCTTAATGTGGGAGGAAAGCCCGAAGTGATGCAGGTATTAGGCGTTTACCACTTTGATAAAACCCACGAGCACGGGTATGGTGCTGACAAACCTAGAAACATAATCGGGGCGAACCGGGATTCGAACCCACAATCATAGGCTTCTGGCGCGCCCAAGGGATGCAACTCTGCACAGCGGAATCGCGGCGCCTTGGACTGGGCCAACCATGCCCCATTTGCACATTTGATATAAACACATTACTCTTTATCCTAGTATTTGTCATTATTCTTCATGAATTTCTTATTATCCAGAACATCCACATACATTGTCTTTATCTTACAGCTTACCCAGAGCAATTAGAGATGTTCCCCACTCCCGACAGGGGCAGTTATGACAATGGTCAGCTGATCTCATTCAGATGCACTGGGAGGATCGGGAACCAATTTAATGAGAACAATCTCCAGAGCCTGTGGACATGGGAGTGGCGATCTATAGACAACGAGTTCACCTCCTGGACACGATATCCAAACGACCAAAACATCACCTATGAGACTCCTACTCCCGTGTCTGTGTCAGGGGGGTGTCAGTATAACGGGGCGTCAACACTGCTTCATACAGTCTCAAATCTAGACAGTGGGAGACAGTTCAGGTGCTCAGTCATTAGTGAAGACTACAGTGACAACAAAACAGTTCTTGTTATTGGTAAGATTTCATAGTTAGGATTGCTTCAACATTTCTACGTACATGTATTTGGTTTGCAGATCAACCAGTCAAACTACTTGAATTCAAAGTTAATACATAGCGGGAGTATTTGCTTAAAATTGTCGGGAGAATACATCAGTTATATCATCTATCCCACGTACATCTTGAACCTGAACTCAAATGTCTGTAAGGTTTCAATATCAGGATAACAACCATTCAAACGTCAAGGCCATAATAACATTTGGAATTTCCGTTTCGGATCGGGGTCAGGCTTATATTTAATCTGTTATACCATGTACATCATGCAGTTGTAAATTTCATTTTGGCATCTGGATTAGGCCTTTGTGATTTTTTGTAACGCCATATACATTATGAAATTGAACACAAATGTTAGCCAGACAGCAACAAAGATAAAGGTTCACCGGTTCAGTTCAATTCAGGCTTGGGTCAGGCTTATTTCCTTACTGCTAAAACTTTGTCTTGATTTCCAGGTCAACAACCGCCAGGGCCAACATCTCGTCCCGAAACGTCTACCACAGGTGAGTTTGCTGAAGTGAAACAAAGCAACGATTAGTGGTAAACGGATCTGAGAAGTAATTCACTTACGGATCACATCTGTGAAATTTTCACATGACACGTCTCACTCACGTCTTTCCTGATGGAAATGTTTTACTTAGTGCTACACAAAAATATACATATTTGACGTTACATTTGAAACAGACCTGGAGCTTTTGTTTCCGATTTATTGGGAAAAGACTTTCTTTTCATCACTGTGTACAGAATACTCTTCATTCTCTGTCCTATGTCCACAGAATTATTAGGCAATATCAAGGTGATATATTTCTGTACATTTTCTTATATTATACAACCACGTGACATATTTCATAGTCATCATGGTAAGAATGTACACAACAAATGAAACATCCAAATTAGAAAATCTTGAGGTATTGTCAGCTTTAACGAACCACTGATGGTTAAATTGGTTTAGTTAAATTTGTATTGCAACAATGCTATAGTTTGTGAAGATAATGTAAAGTGCAGATTTAATGGAAATTGTGTACATCCTTTACATATTTTAAGAAATGCATATATTTTATTTTAAATGACAGCGATATGTATACAAAACAGCCAGGAATCCTCGCTTGGTGGTGGAGTGGCTATAGGTGTCTGTGTGATGCTGGTCGTGGATGCCATCTGTCTGGGTTTGGCTTTCCTCTTCAGGGACGAAATAGCAAACTGCATATCGGGTGAGTAAAGGATGGTGGAAATTTAACAGTTCTTCTAACGTAAAATGCATATAACTTAGATGTATGACGTCATACAACACTTGATCATTACACATGCATCTATAAGACGATTCACCTAGCATTGGGGTTCTGCCATGGATCCATTCCTTACATATCCTTCTCAAACAAGTATAGGGACATCTTGTATTCACGAGCTGATGCCATGAAAACCATACAGACGGTGACATACGTTCTCTTTGAAACAAGTGCAATCATTTATGCATACACACTTTTGAATAAGGGAATAAATGCTATAAGAGCCTTGATGCAGGGAATGAACACACACTGATCATAAGGCAAAGACTTACATGGTCAGATCGTGTAATGTGTATGACCACATCTGTGCTGTATGCACTCCCAGCAACGACCTCGCACTGATGTCCAGAGAGAATTGGGGGGATGGCTAGCCAGTCTCCTTGGAGGAATTAGAGTGTTGGGCTGTTGCGGATTTGATGGCTGACGATGGTTCTGCCGCACGCTTCCCCAAGGACGTCCTACAGGTGTTCGATAGATGCATGACCGGGCGAGCAAGCTGGTCAATATGTTGCAGAAAGGCAGTAACATCTCCAGCTCTGTGAAGTCTGGCATTGTCCTGGAAGAAGGCTCCTTGTCCAATATCTTTCAGGGCTGGTAATACCCTGGGGGTGGAGAATGTATCTTACAACAGTAACGTTGACATGGTACGGGGGAGTACTGTACATGTGATGATGGCTAAAGCCACCCAAGATCATAAGTGAATCAACACCACACTGGTTTCTCTAACACAGTGGCATCTTGATTCTATTTACCAGGGATTCTCATGGACACGAATTATTGTACTGCAGTTTAACTGAGTTTTGAGTGTGTGGCAGCCCCCAGTTGTAGCCTTAGTACATTGACTGTGGGGAAGAGCTGTCGCGAGTCCTGAAGGCTGACGGGTAATCATTGTCTGGTCTAGATGTTTAACGTGGTTAACATTTGAACCTGCCAGTGGTACGAATATATTCTATAGTCACCCATGAGGATGATGGAGTTGGATATCTGCATCACTGATGGATATGCCATCCTGAAGCTATCCTACTGCTTTTGTCCCCGATCTTTGTGTGGTCGTCCTGCTGGCATGGTTCACAGTGACAGCTGTGCCAAGTTTGGACGCACCATTTATGTCAGATGTTTCCATGAGTGTACCAATAACCACCACTCGCTCGTGCTCTATTGTAGTTTCAACTGGGCAGAAAGACCACGTTTTATCAGTCTAAAGTTTATGCCATGAAATCCGTGAACGTTTCCCCCTCATCTGATCAATCTCTTAACCTCAGAACAATATCTTCATTAATCACAGGGAGCTCCCATACTTCTGTTTTGAAGGATCTATATCAAAATAAAATAACACTTCACAATGTTAGGTCGGTTCCAGAATGTAAACAAAAAACAGAAATATGCAATGCATCCACTAAATTATATCCCACAGAATGAAGAAATTGAAACAAATGTCAAGTCAAGTCCATCCGAATATCACATCAATGATATTATCCAGTAGACATACAGTTTTGACATTTATCATTATATCTATCCTATTGCACATTATTAATTAAAATATTTCCTTGTTTCAGGTGCCAAGAAAACCACTAATACAGAAATATCAGTATTGTCCAAGTAGGTTCATCTTTCTAACATTAATACTTCAAACAATTCCCAACTTCTCAACAAACATGTTAATGATATGTAGAATTTCACAAATTGAAATTGGTTTCTAGCTAAGAAGCTTTATAATGTCGTTGGAATGTTGGCTATTATATTGACCTTAATGCGCATGTAACATTTATCCTGTCTCAACCACAACAGCATACAGACTCCCGCCACAGTGATCTCTCCTGTCAAAATCCAAACACAAGGTCAGAGTTTGTCGACGTATATCAAATTTATTAAAGTGTGCAAATAGTGACTCCAGAGGTGTACATGCAGACATTTGTTGTCAGGGAGTAGCAAGTGTTTTGAAGAAAGAGTTATAGGGGCCTGCAAGGATGTTGTAGGCATTATGCAATAGATTAATCTATATTCTTATCTCAACCTTTAGATGGAGGTAAACATTATCTTTCCTAATAAATACAAACCGTGTAAATGTGTACAGATAAATATGCCTTCCCATGAACCAATGTGGGCTCAACGTCCCATGAACCATTTACCATTCATATTCAATATTCAATCGATACTGACAGGTATAAGTTTGTATGTAAAAAAAACTTAGGTCGTGAAACAGTTGCCATAAAAAACTGTCTCTGACATTTTCGTTTACTCCTGTTTTCACACTGTTTATTTCCTTGTTGTATTACATAAACCAGAAAGTAAACGCATCTTTCTATCAGCATATGTCTTGATGAAACGCCTGGTCAAACGTCAGATGATACAAAGTTAATGCATACAGTAACATCCTCTACACAACATATCAAAAATTAATTTGTCTAACTCACGTGGTGTTTGAATGGCAAGGGTATTTACATCAAATATTCTTTTGATGTGCTCCCTTGACAAGAGGGCTGGCTTAAAAGTTCTAAGCCTAACTGTGAAAGACCCGTACCAAGTCGATGGTTTTCATTTATTTCTCCACATAGTCCCCTTCCAGGTTTACACACTTTTGCCAGCAATGCTGCAAGTCCTGGATGCCGGTCACGAAGAAATTTTCTTCAGCCACCCTAAAAAAGTCATTCGAAGCGGAAATGAGGTCATAATTACTAGGAAAATGGCGACCGACTAGTTCCTTTTCAATTTTGGGAAACAGGTGGAAGTCTGACGAGGCCAAATCGGGTGACTAAGGGGGATGGTCAATGAGTTCGAAGCCACAATCATGGATTGCTGACATGGCAACCACCGATATGTGAACAGGAGCATTGTTTTGGTGGACTCCTTTAGTGAGCATTCCCCGTCGCTTAGCTTCGATAGCTTCACGCAACTGTTTCAGTAGGTCAGCATAATATCTTCTATTAATAGTCTGGCCTTTTTCAAGATAGCCAATCAGCAGAATACCCTTGGAATCCAAAAAGACTGAAGCCATCACCTTTCCCGCAGAAGGAACCGACTTGGCTTTGGGGGGGGGGGGGGGGGGGCGGTGATTCCGGATGCTTCCATTGTTTAGACTGAATTTCGGTTTCTGGTTGAAAGTGATGAATCCAGGTCTCATCCATTGTTACAAATCGGGCCCAAAAAACATCGGGATCTGCTTCAAAACGGCATAAATTGTCACGGGACGTCAGGAATCTGACACGTTTCGGATCCGCTGTCAAGAGCTTTGGCACCCATCTTGCAGGAACTTTTGTCATTCCCAACTCGTTTGTGATAATGCGCTCAACCCTCTCATGAGAGATGCCCACAACACTAGCAATATGTCGAGTGGTCTATCGTCGATCAGCCATCAAAATATCATGCACCCGGGTAATGTTTTCAGGAATGGTTGCTGTTGAAGGCCTTCCTGGACGCGGGTCATCGTCATGGCTCTCTCTGCCACGCTTTTATTCCGCAGCCAACTTCTTTACAGCGAAAAAAGGAAGGGGCATCATCCCCTAAAGTGGAGAGCATGTCAGCATGTATCGGTGTTGGAGTTAGCCCTTTCAGTTGCAGGTACTTGATGACTGACCTATAGCCAGTTTTGTCCATTTCTGGTGATTTCAATGGATAGGTTCACAAGATGGTCTGGTGCAAAGACAATAATAACACTATAGTTGCATTTCTTATGTCTATGATTCATTAAAATGATTGTACTTGTTGGTGGCAAAAGTTTGTTTCAATCCGATTGAGATATCCCACTTAGGCTTAGAAATTTTCAGCCATGAATTGTAAATTGATTCATACTGCTGCTATCACGAGACTAAGCGTTCAACAAGGAAGAAAATTGTGCAGACGGGCTAAATAACATGTACAGGTAGGTGTGTTTAGTGTTCACAGCCAATGTTATGATCGATATAAAGACAGTAAGGGAAGGCCTCTTTACTTATTGTTTTATGTTGGTATCCATTTAGACTTCGTCCTGAATATTACCCGAACCCGAACCATCGCTATACGGTGGGATATCCTTTTATAAACACAAATATAATTTCACCCTGCTGACACCGTGTCACCATGACCCGCGATTACGTAGGTGTGGTGTACAATACCGCAGATGTCATAGTTTTTGCATTCAACAAGGAAGTAAATCGTGCAGGCTGGGATTCCCAATGGTGGGTGAATTCACATGTGCAGCTACTGTTACGTGTTTCAAGATACAGTTCGACATTTGTATCAACAATGCTGAAAGGTTGACTACATTTTTTACGTCTATGTACTGATAGATGAAAAGCTTTGTGTACGTATCTATGCTAACATGGACGAAGTTAGATACATGAAAAGTATGTACGCATACGTCGATACTGCGTACGATTGTAATGATCAGTGACTAACACATCCTGTTGAGAAGCTGCGTGATGACCTTTACCATTGTTTTGTGTGTTATTGGCACTGCCTGTCTTCCTGTACATCATTTTCTCATATACCTAGGTAATCTCCATTTTACCAATGTTGTTCACTTCGATATAGTATGTTTAACGCCATTTGGGAGATAGGATGGATTAATTCAAAAACTGAGAATGGAGGAGGGTTATTGAGCATGCTGGTAAATAATATTTGAAACCAAAACTATGTACATCAATACATGTCTATGATACATATCACTTCTGATGTTATTATGCAGCAGCTCAGCAAATAGAGTGTTCACTGCTGTGACAAATACATTCTGTAAATATAACACAGGTATAATTAGATCTGATCTAGAAAAAGCTGTGTTTCCTCTTGTTTTTGGTATTCATGAACTTGTTTCAGGAACAGAAATTCACTTTTTGCAGAAAGAAGCATGACGCCTTGTCATACCTTTTGTTGTCTGATTTTCATGACCTTTCTCCCTGGAAGTGAGTACACAATTAGTGCTGGCATATAAACATAGTTATCAGCTGTAATTGTTTTAATTGTTCAATGTAAATCAAATATCATCACTTAATTTTTTGTCATGGTATTTCAGAAGGCATCAGGTGGTAAAGTGGCAGAAAAGGGGCCGAATATGCACAATCGTACCTGAATATAGACAAAGCAATGACGATGTATGTTCCATAGGATCTGTTAGTTGTGCGAACATATTCACTCGTGTACATCTGAAACTAAAACCAAATCTGCCTTCTCTAATGTCAGATGTTTAATCAACGTGTCCTAAGACAACGTACTTACAAGGTATGCAGAATCAGCCATTTTAACCACAGGCCCTCAAATAGTGATCTGTGCTGCCTGGAATGCGCCACATATGTAGAAACTATACGAAGAGTCATACGTTTTTGACTTACAGTGGTGCGTTACAATGTAATATACTTTTCACAACAGATATTTTACATGAGAGAATCACCCTACATTTTGTTGAATTGTCCATTTTTGCATCTGTCATTGATATGAACACAAGGTTTTCTTTCTCAGTCACAGGGGCAAGACTGAACACATCACCAGCACAAATAACTATTGGGGGAAGTAGCCCAACATCCCAACTGACTGTAAGGTGTAGTCCAGATGCACCTTGGATAACACAAGTGTTTAACATACAGATTGGCAAGAAATATACTACTACTGATCCTGATCAGCTTATAATACAAGTAAGCAGTGGAGATTCGTCAGTAACAGTTGTGGACACAAGTCTACAACAGCGGATGACAGCCTCAGGTTCTATTACTGGAGCAACAGGCAGCATACAGTTCATCCTGACAGATCTGAGATGTACTGATGCTGCTTCTACATACTACTGTAAAACATCATACTTGGCAGGGTCAGCTGGAAGTGGAAATGATGAGGGAACTGCCAACATCACAGCCAGAAGTATGCATGAATATATTCACCAGAACTAACATATGTTTGGTGTCCTGAAGATTTCACGGAGAAGATCAGTTTGCACATTTGATAGAAACATATTACTCTTTATCCTAGTATTTGTCATTCTTCTTCATAAATTTCTTATATTCCAGAACATCCACATACATTGTCTTTATCTTACAGCTTACCCAGAGCAATTAGAGATGTTTCCCACTCCAGACAGAGTCAGTTATGACAATGGTCAGCTGATCTCATTCAGATGCACTGGGGGCTTCGGGAATCAGTTTGATTAAAACAATCTCCAGAACCTGTGGACACTTTGATGAAACCCACGAGCACGGGTATGGTACTGACAAACCTAGAAACATAATCAGGACGAACCGGGAATCGAACCATCAATCATCGGAACCAGCGGAATCGCGGTGCCTTAGACGACTGGGCCACCCATGCCCCATTCATGATGACTAAAATGACAACAAGATAGTTCTCGTTTTTGATACACATATATTGTATTTATCTTACAGCTTACCCAGAGCAAATGGAGATGTTCCCCACTCCCGACAGGGTCAGTTATGACAATGGTCAGATGATCTCATTCAGATGCACTGGGAGGATCGGGAACCAGTTTGATGACAACAATCTCTTGAACCTGTGGACATGGGAGTTCACCTCCTGGACACGATATCCAAACGACCAAAACATCACTTACGACCCTCCTACTCCCGTGTCTGGGTCAGGGGGGTGTCAGTATACAGGGGCGTCAACACTGGTTCATACAGTCTCGGATCTAGACAATGGGAGACAGTTCAGATGTTTTGTCCTTAGTGGAGACAAGAGTGACAACAAGACAGTTCTTGTTATTGGTAAGATTTACTAGTTATGATTGCTTCAACATTTTTACGTATTTGGTTTGCAGATCAGGCAGTGAAACTACTGGAATTTAACGTTTATGCATAGAGGGAGTATTTGCTTAAAATTGTTGGGAAAATACATCAGTTATATCATCTATCACACGTACATCTTGAACCTGAACTCAAATGTGTGTAAGGTTTTAATATCAGGACAGCAACCATTCAAACATCAAGGCCATAATTACATTTGGAAATTTCCGTTTGGGATCGGGGTCAGACTCATGTTTAACCTGTTATACCATGTACATCATGCAGTTGGAAATTTCATTTTGGCATCTGGATTAGGCCGATGTGATTTTTTTGTAACGCCATATACATTATGAAATTGAACACAAATGTAAGCCAGACAACAACAAAGACCAAAGTTCACTGGTTCAGTGCAATTCAGGCTTGGGTCAGGCTTATTTACTAACTGCTACAACTTTGTCTTGATTTCCAGGTCAACAACCTCTAGAGCCAACATCACGTCCCGAAACGTCTACAACAGGTGGGTTTTGCTGAAGTGGAACAAAGCAACTGCGAGTGGTTGACCTGTGTGAGAAGTAATTCACTTATGGATCATATATGTGAAACTCTGACATGACTTTCGTTCCAGCATTGTTTGAATTAGTGTGACTCACAAATAGATAATGTTGCATATTCACTTGCTGTTAACGATTTAACTGCTACAAAATGGGAAAAAAATCGAAGGTCGTGTCACCAAAGTGACAACAAGGAGATATGACAATTTAAAACATCAACGTCTGTTGGGCTAAACATAATCAGATGTTCTCCAAAAGAAAAACACCCCCCACCCCCACCATCCATGAAGAATATAATGACAACAAGATAGTTCTTGTCTTTTTTTGATACACATATATTGTATTTTCCTTACAGCTTACCCAGAGCAAATAGAGATGTTCCCCACTCCCGACAGAGTCAGTTATGACAATGGTCAGCTGATCTCATTCAGATGCACTGGGAGGATTGGGAACCAGTTTAATGTGAACAATCTCCAGAACCTGTGGACATGGGAGTGGCGATTTATAGACAACGATTTCGCCTCCTGGACACGATATCCAAACGACCAAAACATCACCTACGACCCTCCTTCTCCCGTGTCTGTGTCAGGGGGATGCCAGAACAACGGGGCGTCAACACTGCTTCATACAGTCTCGAATCTAGACAATGGGAGACAATTCAGGTGTTCTGTCATTAGTGAAGACTACAGTGACAACAAGACAGTTCTTGTTATTGGTAAGATTTCATAGTTAGGATTGCTTCAACATTTTTACGTATTTGGTTTGCAGATCAAGAAATGAAACTACTTGAATTTAAAGTTTATACATAGCGGGAGTTTGTGCTTAAAATTGTCGGGAAAATACATCAGTTATATCATCTACCCCACGTACATCTTGAACCTGAACTGAAATGTGTGTAAGGCTTCAATATCAGAACAGCAACCATTCACACATCAAGGCCATAATTACACTTTGTAATTTCCGTTTGGGATCAGGGTCAGGCTCATATTAAATCTGTTATACCATGTACATCATGCAGTTGGAAAATTCATTTTTGGCATCTGGATTAGGCCTATGTGATTTTTTGTAACGCCATATACATTATGAAATTGAACACAAATGTTAGCCAGACAACGATAAAGATAAAAGTTCACTGGTTCAGTGCAATTCAGGCTTGGGTCAGGCTTATTTCCTTACTGCTACAACTTTGTCTTGATTTCCAGGTCAACAACCGCCAGGGCCAACATCACGTCCCGAAACGTCTACAACAGGTGGGTTTGCTGAAGTGAAACAAAGCAAGGATTAGTGGAAAACGAATCTGAGAAGTAATTCACTTACGGATCACAGTTGGAAATTTCATTTTGGTACGCCATGGTTAGACGTATTTACTAACAACTACAACTTTGTCTTGATTTCCAGGTCAACAACCGCCAGGGCCAACATCACGTCCCGAAACGTCTACAACAGGTGGGTTTGCTGAAGTGAAACAAAGCAACTGTGAGTGGTTGACCTGTGTGAGAAGTAATTCACTTATGGATCATATATGTGAAACTCTGACATGACTTTCGTTCCAGCACTGTTTGAATTAGTGTGACTCACAAATAGATAATGTTGCATGTTTACTTGCTGTTAACGATCTAACTGCTACAAAATGGGAAAAAAACTCGAAGGTCGCGTCACCAAAGTGACTACAAGGAGATATGACAATTTAAAACATTAACGCCTGTTGGGATAAACATAATCAGATGTTCTCCAAAAGAATAACAAGTTGAAGGTGCATATGCTGTAATATATGTTTGTCTATGTATATCATGGAGTTGAAGTTATATCTGTGAGTATTCAATATCAGGAAAATAACATTACAAAAACAATTGCTGCAATTTCCCACACGTCTCCAAGTCGCGAGTTTGGTGTCGCAAAAATGAAGCAACAGTCAGTGTCTAAGGAAATATCTATCAATCGACCACAGCTGTGGAAGTCTGACAAATAATGCCTATTAACATTGTCTGAATTAGTACAGTTCACAAAAATAATGCATTTTATCTGCTATGAGGGATACTGCCAAAAAAGAGTTAATAGAACACTAGTACTATTTAAAGATTTATATCGTGGCCTGAAAGATATTGCTTTGTGTAATGTGGAGCGTTGAAATGTGTATAAAGAATATCGTATCTTGAAAGACATAGCACGAAACTATAGACTGATGACTGTATCTGCCTTCGAGAAGTCAACTGTGGAATCTGAAGGGCGTAAGACAAACTGCGAACATGAAGAAAACAGAAATGATTAACGTGATTAAGTACCTACATACAAAGGTCATGTAAAAAGTAAATATTACTACAGACATTCTTCACAAAAACACACACATGCGCTGTCAGTGAGATGGGTACCCAGAATGTTGAAACAAGATCACAAACCAACCCCGACTGAAAATTTTCACGAACCTTTTGCTTAGTTATCTGCAGGTCTCTGCCCATCACTTTGATCCACGATGAATTTCAGGATGATTTGGCTTCATACCCAATCAGTTGGGTGTTCTTAGTTGGCAAAATTAGAGCGTTGGGTTTGTGCAACAGTAATGGGATAATCAACACTGACTATCTGCAGTGGGTCAGAATGTCAACACAAAAGCATCATCTGATCGAGAGAAGCTATCAAGGAAATATTTCGCGGAAAGCTTCGTTCAGGGCAAGGAGCACGCGACACAAGGGGCAGTAGCTGCATCTGCAAACTCAAAATACAAAACATTATTGAAATATGCACAACGAAAAAGCTAATGATATAATGAAGTCTTGCCCTCATTGCATACAGTAGAGTTTGCGCTCGTTGCTATACCTCGATAGGATTATTAGCTGGCATTATTCAGGTACCACATGTTCTGATAATGTACAACAACGTGACATATTTGTCCAATATATCTTAATTCTGATTTATATGTTTGTTTCGATGTCTGCATTATGTTACAAATGTACACAGTAAGTGGAAGTTTAACAACTAGAAAAACATTCTGTAATGGCAACTTTAGTATTGCAGCTAAGGCATAGTTTGTGCAGATAAACTACATTTTTCATCGAGCATATGTATAAAAATAACTATATACAAACATTTTTTTTTGTAATTAAAGGGGATGACTCTCTTGGTGTTGGAGTGGCTATAGGTGTTGGTGTAATGTTGGTCGTGATCGTTATCTGTCTGTGTCTGACCTTCATCTATAGGAACACAGTGGCTGGGTGGCTGTTAGGTGAGTACTTTACGTGAAACATGTTTATTGAAAGCTCGAGTGTACCAAGAGATTAAAATTATGGTGTATATCGAACAGTACGTTTAACTCAGAGATATGATGTCATACAACACTGGACTATTTCATTTGCCACGAATGAATCGATTCCCCAGGCTTGGAGTTCTACCAAGGATTAGATATTCTTCATATACTCCCCATAACAGCCTGGGCACACTTGGTCGTCAGAAGATAAGACCATTGGGTTCAATTATGTCTGCAGCTTGCCTTGTTGGTATGGCTGGTTGTGAGGCAGTGAGGTGAAACAGGATTTAACATCTAGTTCACGATTGTTGCACTCATAACCACCGACCGTCCACTTTCTGGTCAGACGTTAGACCACAACGTCGGTGCCCTCCGCTTGAAGGAATTGGAACAGCTGTTGTAGATTTGCTAGTTTAGGATGGTTCGGCTGCACATTCATTCCAGAGACGTCCCATAGATGTTCGGAGGGTGCACGATTAGGCGAATGCATTGTAGGAAACATTCTGTCGCAGGAAGATGGTGCCCACTGCGGGGTCATGCATTGTCGTCCTGCAAGATGGCTCCTGGTCCAATGACGTTCAAAGCTGGTAACTAATAGGAGATTGAGAATTTCATCCCTGTGTCCAACATCGGTAGGATTGGCATGAAGATGATGGAGGGGAGTCCTTTGATGATTCCTAAAGCCTCTTGAGATCATTTGGGATCCACCACTAAACAGGTCCCTCTCATGCACAGTGGCATCTTGAAACCGTTCATCGGGTCGCCTCAGTACACGAACCCGACAGAAAAGGGATTCATCAGTTAAGAGTACTTGCAAAAAGCACCAACATTGGTCGAACAGCTAGAAACCTTGACCGGATGTTGGAAGGTCTGAGGTGGATCCAGATGGACTGGGTACTGACGTTTGTGCTGGTCTACCTTGCACCCTGAAATCTTTCCCTTACTGGGCAGACGCCTTGCCGCAACACTAATCGATAGGTCATCCTGGAGCAATCCTACTATCCTTCCCTTCTAAGATGCACTGTGGTCATCTTGCTGACGGGGACATGGGTGGCCCAGTCGTCTAAGGCGCCGCGATTCGCTGTGCAAAGTTGCGTCCCTTGGGCACGCCAGAAACTTATATGATTGTGGATTCGAATCCCGGTTCGCCCCGATTATGTCTCTAGGTTTGTCAGCACCATACCCGTGCTCGTGGGTTTCACCGAAGTGGTCAACGTCTGAAACCTGCATCACTTCTGGCCGCTCTATTCATAGCCTATGCAGTGATAAGATAACCAAAAATCACCACTTCCTCGTGCACTATTGCATTTGGCTGGTATGGGTGAAACTTTTCATTTCTTCTGAATCATAATTTTGCTTGGACTAAAATCAGTGCAACATTTGCTGAAAAATCATAATATCTATGGACACCTTTATGAACTTCGCTTACGTAACAAACGAACCAACGTCTTCATTAAATACAGGGTGTTTCCATTCAGGATATATATCAAAATGAAAAACTGTCTTCACATGACGGTGTGTCTAATGAACGTTGAAACCAAAACAGAAACAAACAAACAAATGTGAACCAAATCATACTACGCTGAATACAGCAAAGAGGGCAATATAAGTAACGAATGTGTTCGATATACATATAACTATTAAAATTAGGTAGTATTCCACTTTGCAATTTGGCATCGTATCAGTGTATGGGACCTATTTAAAGGGGTTACTGCTAGGTGACATGTAAAGTTTATCAGATTATCACATCAATAACATTTTCCATTGTGTTATTAACATTAATTATCACATTTCTCTTCACAGTATTAATTAAAATATTTCCCTGTTTCAGGAGCCAAGAAAACAAGTAATACAGAAACGCCAGTAATGTCCAAGTAGGTTAATCTTTCCAGCAATAATCTTGGAAGCATTTAGAACAAATTTGAAATGGATTCTAGTCAGATTGTTTATAATGTCCTTGTTTTGTTATATGGATATTAATGAACGTCGAAATATACGAATTAAATGTGTCTGCAGCAGTGATAATTCGTCATAATATTTAGCCTGAATCATAACAGCATGAAAATGGTTTCAAGCTAAAGAGCTTAAAATGTTCTTTGTTTGTTGGCTTATATATGGATCTTAATGCGCATGTAACATTTACTCTGTCTCAACCACAACAGCATACAGACCCCTGCCACAGCGGTCGCACCTGTCGGAATGCAAACACAAGGTCAGGGTTTAGTCAATGTATATAATTAGTACACAAATGTCCAACAGAGAAAAGATAACTGGTAATGCCAGACAACAAAAGGCTTATGTGGTTACATGCTTGATGTTAGAGCTGACTTATATATATCCCAGGAATATTTTCTAATGTACTTACATTATATATTTCTGCAAATGTGCAGGCGATGAGTACGAAATTCCTGTGGACAGGAATCACTACAATGCCCTTCAAACAGAGACTGCTGACATTCCCAACACGTATGAAAATACGAACATACCAGAATATGTGAAATGAGGAGGCAGCGAAGAACAGCTACCACGTGAAATTCCGATGCAATGTCGACGCTGATTGGACATTTGCTCAGACATGAAAATTCATCGGAAGGATTTTTTAGTTTGGAAAATATCAAACGAGTCTTAGTTAATCATTCTGTATTTGCCGAGCCTTTGGCGAGGTTGATATTTCCCATTTTAACAAACACGAGTCATGAGTTACATTTATCATTCTCACATTATTCAAGAAATAAATGCATTCAAATTAACATAAGAAACTTGTCGAAATCTTACGTACAGATCGTGTGTAGTGATACATGTTTTCTATTGCAGTGTGAACTTACTGTGAACCAAACACACAACCTCTCAACTCCTTCATGGCATATTCCTTCGCTGAGAAAAAATCTTCCTCGGATTATTTTAAACAAAATGCTTTAAAAGAGTTTTGCAGAATATTTGAAACTTTAATAATGGTAACAACGATTGTGTACCATTTGATTACAAACTCTTCAAAAAAAGAAACGCAAAGCCAGATTTGTGTGAGGTAGGAAATTACATATATACGAGGAACCGTACAAGGTTTTGAGCCAAACTGTTGTCGAGAGAACTTGGTGATTGTAGTCATCTCAGTTATCAGTAAATAGGAAAAGTTCAAGGTGAACCTACGTCAAATACGCCTATATCCCCCGTCGGAATCGATAGCAGCCTGACATCTCCTTTCCACGGAAGAGACGAGTATGCGAATCACATTCTGCGGAATGATAACCCACTTGGTCTGCAACGCAAAAGCCAACATGCTGCAACGTCTGGGTTTCTGGTTGACGTCGGCGTAGCCGTCTATCCAAATCATCCCACAGGTGCTCTATCGGAGTCAAATCCGGGGATCTGGAGGGCCAGGGGACAACATCAATGTTGCTGTTGTGTTGACAGGCTCGTTGGTGTATCGTTGAGCCGTAAGATTGCCCTGGATATGGACCAAACCTGTCCTGCGATGATGAGAGATCATAACGCTACCCAAACCCAACCTGTCCACTTCCTGTTCGCAGTTTCCGGCGTAACGTTCTCCCCGACGTCTGTAGATCCGTGCTCTTCCATCTCCTCGATGGAGGAGAAATTTTGATTCGTCGCTGAACCAGACATCTCTCCATCGCAGTTGAGGCCATACCCTGTGTTGACGACACCAATGCAGTCGTTGTTGACGATGTTGTCGACTCAATATGACGCGTCGAACAGGAAGACCTGCTGCTCTTCAACGGTTTCGTACGGTCGGGTCGGAGATTTTGCGCAGTCGGGGCATTTCGAATGCGGTTGAGGTGGCTGTGGTCGTCCTTTCACGTAGGTGGCGCAGTCGGATGTAGCGATCTTGGCCGGGGGTGGTTACTCTTGGTCGTTCCGACCTTGGCCGATCACGTGTTGACCCATGCTGTTGAAACCGATCCCATAGCCTTGTGATGGTGCTGGGCGCTACATTGAAAACCAAGGCTACAGCTGATCGGGAGTCCTCTGCCTGCAAGCGGCCTATGGCGTTGTTTCCATGCACTTCTGTTAATACACTCTCTCAAAAAAGAAACGCAACCCCAGTCTGAAAAGGTGAGAAAACCCCAAGAAGAAAAAATATTGATTGTAAATACAATTTTTCTAACATGCACTTATACCATGTACACTGTTTATTAACGTAAGCGCCCAAACACACCAATTTTCGTGTACAAGGGCATTTTATTGTTACTTTAACATAGTGAGCAAAGTTTTCACGTGGCCCATGCCAAAAGCCTCATGCACGTGCAATTCATGGAAAGAGCAGTAGAAGTATGGGTTTATAAAAGCTGTTGATTAGCGATTCACTCTATCAATTTCACCGAAAGACCAGGTCGAATATGCCACGGTTGAGTGCTGCAGATCGAAATATCGCCATTGGTCGTATATAGGCCGGACAAAGCTTTGGAAACGTTGCCCGCCACCTTAATGTTCATAAAACAACGATTTCCCGACTATAGAGCCGATACACACAGTTTCATGCAACTGAAGATCGCCCCAGAAGTGGTAGGCCAAAGGTTACCACACCACCTCAGGATCGCTTCATCTGGGTCACCCACCTACGTAATCGGCTAGCCACACCTACCGTCACTGCAACACAGGTGCCAGGTTTGAGAAGAGTGTCAGCTCAAACAATTAGGAACCGTCTACGAGAGGCCGGTCTACGTGCAAGAAGACCACTTATTGGAACCTGTTTTACGCCACGAACATCGACGCCAACGACTCAGGTGGTGCACCAACGTTCGGATATGGACCTTCAGAAACTGGAGACGCGTCTGGTTTATTTACGAATCATGTTTTCTCTTACAACGCCGTGACGGAAGACAGCGTGTCTATAGAAGAGGAAACGAACGTTTTGCCCCGAACTGTGTTGTTCTGATGTGACCCGTAAAATGATGTGTTAAGATCTTTGTTTAGTGGTAGTGAGAACTACAAAGACTTGATAGTCAGAGACTGTGCTGCACTACATGTGTACACTACTGACCTGTATCCAGTGTTCTGCAGCCCTGAGAAGCAGCAGCCACGCACACCCCGGAGGTCAGCTCACTGTTTGGATCTGTTTCGTACATATCCTCTTCAAACAAGTATGATAATTTCCGATATTCAGGAGCTGAGGTCATGAAAACAAAACAGACGTTGACATTTGATCTCTCCGGAAACATTGCATTCACTGCTGTTTACAGACTATGCAGAAAATAAGTGAATGAATACGAAAAGAGCCTGGATGCAGGGGATGAACACACAATGGCAACAAGATAAAGTCAAACATTGTCAGTTAGCGTAATTAATGTGTATGACCACATCTGTGTTGTATGCACTCCCAGCAACGACGTCGCACTGATGTCCGGAGAGTCTGGAGAGAGGGATGGCTAGCCAGTCTACTTTGAGGAATTAGACTGTTGGGCTGTTGCAGATTTGATGGCTGATGATGGTTCTGCCCCACGCGTCCCCCAAGGACGCCCTTCTGATGATCGATAGGTGCATGGTCGGGCGAATAATTATATAAGCGGCTCAATATGTTGCGGAAAGGTGGTGAATGGAAGTCTTGCATTGTCGTCCTGCAAGAAGGCTCCTGGTCCAATGACATTCAGGGCTGGTAATACGCTGAAGATGCATAATTTTTTCCATGTGCCATACAACTGTAAGATTAACTTGAACATGGTACAGCGGAGTACTGTGATAATGGCTAAAGCCACACCAGTTCATCAGTGCAAACCGGTCTCTTTCACACAGTGGCATCTTGCTATTCTTAGGACACGAACCCAACACGAATTATAAAACTGCAGATAGAAGCGGGAATCTTCAGTGGAGAGTACATGTGAAAACTGTTGCCTATTTCACAGGAGATGAGATCTGCACCAGGTCGACTCGATAAACTGGTCGAAATGGGGGACATAAGTGACTACATGTTGGCAGCTCGGATGCCGTTCCTTATGGTCTCGGTACTGACTTTTGTGTGTGTGTGGCAGTCGCCAGTTGTAAACTCAGTGCACTGAGTGTGGGGGAGAGCTGTCGCAAGTTCTGACGGCTGACGGATAATCATTGTCTGGTCTAGATGTTTAACGTGGTTAACATTTGAACCTGCCAGTGGTACGAATCTATTCCATGGTCACCCATGAGGATGATGGAGTGGGATATCTGCATCACTGATGGATATGCCATCCTGAAGCCATCGTACTGCTTTTGTCCCCGATCTTTGTGTGGTCGTCCTGCTGGCATGGTTTACAGTGACAGTTGTGCCAAGTTTGGACGAACCATTTATGTCCAATGTTTCCATGAGTGTACCAACAATTGCAGTTTCAAATCTTTGAATGTATATATGCCTGGGCAGAAATACCACGGTATATTTTTAAAATAACATCATCAGTCTAAAGTTTATGCCATGATATCCGTGAACGTTTCGCCCTCATCTGATCAATCTCTTAACCTCAGAACAATATCTTCAATAATAACAGGGAGCACCCATACGAGAAGGATCTATATCTAAATAAAATATCTCTTCACAATGTTTGTTCGGTTCCAGAATGTAAACAAAATACAGAAATATGCAATGAATGCACTAAATCGTGTCCCACTGAATGCAGCAATTGAAAAAAATATATAGAATGAAGTTACCAAAAGTTATAGCTCTGGCTGTGCTTAACATGCATGTAAGCTTAAGGATTAGAATAGTTTATTTTGCAAGTTAATATCGCATCGGTGTATTGGACGTAGTACAGTTTTGTGACTTCATTTGTCAAGTCAAGTCAATCCGAATATCACATCGATGGCATTATCCAGTATACACTCAGCATTGACATTTATTATGATATTTATCTTATTCAAATTGTTAATTAAAATATTTCCTTATGTCAGGTGCCAAGAAAACCACAAACACAGAAATATCAGTATTGTCCAAGTAGGTTCATCTTTCTAACGTTAATACTTCGAAAACTTCATAACTTCTCAACAAACATGTTAATGATATGTAGAATTTCATAAATTGAAAATGGTTTCTAGCTAAAGATCTTTAAAATGACGTTGGTTTCTTGGCAAGTTAATTGATCTTAATGCGCATGTAACATTTATCCTGTCTCAACCACAACAGCATACATACTCCCGACACAGTGATCTGTCCTGTCGAAATCCAAACACAAGGTCAGAGTTTGTCAACGTATATCAAAAGTATGAAAGTGTGCAACACAGAGAACCTAAATAGTGGCTCCAGAGGTGTACATGTACCAGAAGGTCCGTGCTTGGTATAAGAGCTGACGAAAGATGGTTGGCTGACTAGACTCAATAAATTAGCTGACATCTTGTCAATTTGTCCCAGTGGCATGTTCTAGATTAGGCTTAATCAACAGGCTGATGTAAAACCCTGAAATATATGCTGACTGAGACTGTTAAACAAGCGTTCACTTACTCACTTCATTCAAATACATTTGTATGTGAACATATTTCAATGAAAACTGTCTTTTCCCTCAAAGTTAAAGGTGTCAGAGGGACATTGATATGTTGAGGCAATAAGTACGAAATTCCCGTGGACAGGAATCACTATTATGCCCTTCAGAGAGAAACTGCTGACATTCCCAACACGTATAAGAAGATACGAACATACCAGAATATGTGAAATGAGGAGGCAGCGAAGAACAGTCACATTTAGATGCTTCAATGGTGATTGCTAAGACATGAAAGTCAACGTATGTTCTGATTGGACATTCGTTCAGAAATGGAAGTAAAAAAGATTTACTGATCATGGTTGGAAACCCTCACTTGTATTTGAGGTACAAGAGTATAATGAACACCTTCATGTTCAATGTAATTAAGTGCACATGTCCTCAGACGACGACAAAAATTCATATGACCAAAGCACAATACTTCCTCAAAGATGCAATCAAATAGAAACACAGATCTAGTTACTAATCCTACATTACGGAAGCGTAAGAGTCGTTGTAAGACTTGACATTGTATTCTTTTACACAATGGGTGTTACAATATAGATGTGACTTTGTTATCAGAACTGTTTGGAACGACAAACATACTGATGTCGTAATGTCTGATATGACGGGCGTGTCAGTGCTGCATGAGTTAGAACAGAGCCTTAAATAAAATCTTTGAATGACTGCCCCGCTGTCAGTTCGGAGAATTAAACATATTAAAGCTGGCGTCCGCTTTTTATTATATTCAGATCTCAGGTAAATAAATCAACATGTAATTTGTCTGTCTGTTTTTACTGGTGTGTTCGTATATGAACCGTTGTAGTATTCTGCATGTGGTACACGTCCACATACGTGTACTTCATGCCTGACTCCAAACAAGGCCAACCCCTTATACATAGACAAAGGGTATGTTTCGCACTAGTGATAGGGATTAAAAGTAATTGATGCTGATATAGAATATACTTTCACAGATGTTAACATGTTTACATATGTCACTAGTCACATTAGTTCTGATTACATCTTTATCTCCACACACATCGTATGTGTGCTTACATATTCAAGTTAAGGTCATACAATGAGCCTTAAGAGTAAAGCCGCTTTTAGCAATATTGATAGGTGTATAATACACTGAATCGTAAAATAAACTTTCACAAATGTTAACATGTTTATTCTTTTCTTTATAGGGCAAAACAAATGCAGGACCGAAATTATATGTACTTGCATGTTTATGTTTATGCAGAGTGTATATATGCATACATATACAAGTTAGGTTCGTACAAGGACCTTCAGAGCATGACGTACGTTGGCTGCTTACAACGACAACACAATCCTTGTTTGAATCGTGAAATGTACAATTCAGGCAAGGATATAACATTTTCAACAGTGACACGTTTTTCAGTGCGACACATGTTGCATAAAACAACAACATTCCCACACTTGTAACCGTTCACCGCCATATAATGTAATGAGGGTGTTACAATGAGTGAAATAATAGACATTTAGGTTTACTAAGATCAGTAGAGAAAGTAATGGGAGGTGACGAAATCATAATACGTGGCCCTCGTTGTCAAGATATTTTATAAAACAGAGCCTTCAGGTATTCTCTTATGACGTGCGTGTGTCTATAGGACAAATTGCAGCAATTGTGCACGAAGGCGACAAAATGGCGTCAACAACCTCCCGCATGTACACATTGTGTTTAGTCCCAGTTGGTTGACCTGTGGAATATATAAACTGAGAAAGAGGACGAAGAGTTGGAATATTGTCTGATAGTTAATGAGGTAAATGAAAATGTTGACGTAGTGTGTAAATGAGAAGGTAGACAGTGGACATTTGTTGTAGCGAGTGTTTTGAAGAGAGAGTTATAGGCACTGGAAAGGATGTTGTAGGCATTATGCAATAGATTTGATTTATATTTCTATCTCGACTTTTTAGATGGAGGAAAACTTTATATGCCGATAAAAGCATGCGCTTACTGCCTTACCATAAATCATACAGTAAGCGCATGCTTTTATCGGCATATGTCTTGACGAAATGCCTGGTCAAACGTCAGATAATACGAAGTTATACATACCGTAACATTCCCCATACAACATATCCAGAATTTATTTGTCTAACTCACGTGGTGTTTGAATGGCAAGGGTATTTTACATCAAATTAACTTTTGATATGCTCCCTTGATATTTCAACATCAATAAGCGACAAAATTGAAAATGATTTTTCAAACGTTTCTCTGGTGAAAATTAATGCACATATCATATGACTGTTTTTATCCTTACCTTGCCTTGTCGATAAGAAGAAAGTGTATGTTGCATTGAATTAAATTGAGGTTGCAGAACACATGCACCGCATAGCTTCATCACAGTTTGTACTTTACGGTTAAAGGACAACACAACGATCCACATCGTGTTTCAATATCAACCAGGTTTCATAAAGATGATAGATGTTACTGACACGGGGTAAATGTAAATTTGGCTAATAGAGTGGATTGGGATAGAATTTAGTTGTCGGGTTGGTTTATCTGAATGTATTTTTCGACGAGTTACTCTCCGTCTAGACACTGAACTCAGATGTAGGGTTAATACTTAAAACTAGCAATGTTTATTCCTGTACTTTTAAAAAAGATCTAATGTAACATCAAATTGTTAAAAGTCGTATGAAGTAAAACTCGACTAAGCTGTATCCACCATTGCACGGATTGCCTTATCAATCTTGAGTTTTGCCTCCGAAGATCTCATTAGGCTTGGTCATGATTGGTTTGGAGTTTTATCATGGTAAAAGGAACGGATACTCTATCCTCCTCATCCAAGACAACACCACCTTCTGTCTTACATAGCATCAGAGAACATTAGAAAGAGGTTTCCATCCTTAGTTATCGAATACTTTAATGTTATTATTTCTATTAAAATCGATCGTTCTGATTTGCGATGGTTGATAATATTTGTATATACTACTCAAAAGAAGTTAAGGGTCAAATAATTTATTGTCTGGCATTTCGTCCTGCAAAATGGCGCCACGTCCAATTTGACGAAGTGCAGGAAGAACAAGGGGTTGAATAATCTCGTCCCTATACCGGATTCCTGTCAGATTACCCTGAACGACGTAGAGAGGTGTCCTGTGGTGAACAGAAATTCCAGCCCACACCATCACTGAGCCTCCACCATACCTGTGACGTTGTCTGACGTTGACGTCGGCAAACCGTTCCCCAGGACGACGATAGACACGAATCCTGGCATCGTTGAACTGCAGTGCAAACCGGGATTCGTCTGTGCCACTCTCTGCCATTCAGGACGTGTCCAGCGTCTGTGACGTCTACACCAGTCTGCACGTGCTCTACGATGATGTTGCAGAAGAGGTGGCCGAACTGCTTGGCGCCGTGACCGGATGTTGCTGGCCCATAGTCTGTTACGGATTGTCTGGTCAGACACTTGGGTTCCTGTTGCAAGGCGCAGTTCATCTCTAAGATGTCTTGCTGTGACAGTTCGTTGACACAATGCCAGGTTTGTGACATACCGGTCTTCACGTTGTGAAGTTGACCTGGGTCTTCCAGAACGAGGGCGATTCTGAATGGAATTGGTCACTTGAAATCTCTGCCACACTCTACCAATCACACTTTGGCTACAATCGATTCTCTGGGCAACATTTCTCTGACTCAGACCGTCCTGAAGCCATGCAATGCCTCTTCCATGATCAACAAGGCTTAGTTGACGTCGAGGCATGTTCAACATTCGAGTCGGATGAAACATGTGACTCGTACAGAATCGTTCGCGGAATTTAAGCAAAAAGCATTAATGATGGGGCAGGGATGAGTAAATGTTGTGTTCGATCGCCGTGATCGACGTCACTGGATGTCAGTTTTTGTTAGAATTTGACATTTCTCAAAGCACCAGATGCACCCACAAACTCGTTCAATCTCCATGATTTGCACATGATCCTTCAAGTTTATTCAAAATACAACCAACTGGGTGTACACAATGATTTACATTTTCATACTCTCGAAATGGTGTGACCCCCTTAGATCATGTTATTATTTGTAGAAAATCGATCATTCTGATTTGCGATAGTTGATAATAGTTTTATAAAAGCGAAAGAACTTTCCCATATTCATTAGATTCCATTAAATCATGAGCATGTGTTTATGAATAACTATCAAATAGTGATGACACCAGGTGTTCGTGAAAAAGGTTAACACATCCTGCCCCATTAGTGGCACCCGTCACAAACACATGCAAAGGCAAGTCACATGTTCATCTAAAAAGATGAACCGATGCTCTATCCCCCTGTCCACCTTCTGTCTTACATAGCTTCAGAGACCATTAGAAAGAGGTTTTCATTCTTTAGTTATCGAATACTTTAATGTTATTATTTGTAGAAAATCGATCATTCTGATTTGCGATAGTTGATAATATTTTTTATAAAAGCGAAAGAACTTTTCCATATTCATTAGATTCCGACTACATCATGAGCATGTGTTTGTGAATCACTATCAAATAGTGATGACACCATTTGTTCGTGGAAAAGGTAAACACATCCTGCCCATCAGTGGCACCCATCACAAACACATTCAAAGGCAAGTCAGTTGTTCATCTAAAAAAACAAGTGAATGTAATCATGATTCAAGTCAAAATAGGGACTTGCATTGAATATATTTTTTGTCACTGATACGTTAAATTTGGAAGTGTCGTCGACATGTCTACCATAAATCTTTTTGAAGCTTTCCTGAGGCTATGAATGTTGTAATCTTAAGTTATAACCTCAAGTCAAGTCTCAAGTTTTATGTTTTCAATTTCCGCTCAAGAATATCACTTTTCGTATCATAAGATCAACTTCTTGTTCATAAAGAATCTCTTTTTTTTATTTCTTGTTTAATCATGCTGCATAGAGATATGACAAACGTTATCTACATTTGATGATATAACTTCCTTAAGTATCGATTTGAAATGATACAGTGTATAGATGTAGTAATAATAATTGTCCATTTGGTTGAGCTATCAAGAACAGAAAGTGCAAGTCTCTGTCCCCGATTATCTGTATGCCGACCACTACAATGTTACCCCAACCTTCACCTTTCCTCTTCACTGTGCAGGTTCCTAACAATGCAATGACCCATGACCCAAAACATGAATTGTAAATGTATTTATACTGCTGCTTTCACGAGACTGGCGTATACTGTGCAGACAGGGACTCCTAATTGTGGGCGTAATAACATGTAGAGGTAGGTGTGTTTAGTGTTCACAGTCATTGTTGTGGTCGATGTAAAGACAATAAGGGAATTTCAGTTACTGGTTGTTTTGTTTGGTATCCATATCATTTGGACATAGTCACAAATACTACCCAAACTCTTACCATCGCCCCACATTGAGCGATCTCTTTATAAACACAAATATAATTTCACGCTACTGACGACCATGTCACCATGACCTGAGATTTTATTATAGGTCTGGTGTACTATAACGCAGATATCATAGTTAGTGTACTAAACAAGGAAGTAATCGTGCAGGCAGGGATTGCAAATGGTGGGCGAGATCCTTTGTGTCTTTGTGTTCAGAACACAGTAGAGACCACCTCCGTGGTCTAGTGGTAAAGCGTCCGCCTGGAGAGCGGAAGGTCAGGGGTTCGATCCCCGGCCGCGTCATACCAAAAGACGTTAAAAGATGGTACTTGTTGTTACCCTGTCTGGCGCTCGGCATTAAGGGCCTTAAACAAGGACTGGTCGGCTCGGAGTCAGTATACTGTGTCTGAGTGGGGTATTCATGTTAAACTGCGGCATGGAATCTCAGTGAGCTAGCACTATAAATCGGCATCAGTCCGGACTAGTACAAGCAGCCACACAAACACCTACACGTACATGCACGTCGCTATACAAGTGTATAATCTTGGACGCGACGTTAAACACAATTTCACCTCACCTCACCAGAGCCCAGTCATTGTGTTATCGTTGTTAAGATAATTTGGGAAGGGCTTTTACTTCTTGTTTCATGATTGTATCAATACAACCAGTGTCCTGAATATTACCCAAACCCTTACCGTCGCTCCACAGTGGGGAGATCCCTATATAAGCACAAGTATAATTTCAACCTGCTGACACCGTGACCCGAAGTAATATTTACATAGATGTTGTGTACAATAGCGCAGGTGCCACAGCTAGTGCAATCAACAAGGAAGTAATATAAATCGTTTCGACTGGGATTCCAATCAGTGGTCGGGTTCACATGTACAGATGTAAGTGTTATAGCTTTCAAGACACAGGCGTGACATTTTTATCCACATTTCTAAAAGTAAGGTGATTATCTATGCTAATATGGACAAAGTCAGATACACGAAAAGCAGTATGGACGCAGACCTCGATTCTGTCTATAATTGTAATGATCGGTGACTAACACATCCTGTTGCATGATGACATTTACGTCTGTCTTTTGTGTGATGGCAAACCTTTACTCGGCACTGCATGTCTTACTGTACACCACTTTCTCATGTAGGCATGTAATGGTTCTTTCCATGGAGGCTGAGCACAGTTCGTTTGAAGATCATTTTGATTGGCCTGCGTGTTGCAAAAATGGGTTCAATTTGGGTTATTCATATTGGCCAAGAGCTCGGTTTTCCACATACCACCAATTCCAAACTTCTCCTTTGAAATATTTATCATCCTCAGCATACGAACAAACTTGGGTAATCTCCATCTCACCAATCAGGGGAGTGTTGTTCACTTAGACATGGTGTGTTTAACGTCAATTGGGAGATGTGTTTGATTGTTTTCATTTTTTGGGAAGGGGAGGGGTTACATCAGCTCGCCAGATAATTTCTGTAAATAAACCAAAGGTATAATTAAATCTTTTTTCTGACATACATTCACATGTTTCAGGAACAGGAATTCACTTTTTGGAGAAAGAAGCATGAAGCCTTGTCATCCCTGTTGTTGTCTGATTTTCGTTACCTTTCTCCCTGGAAGTGAGTTCACAATTAGTGTTGGCATATAAACATAGATATCAGCTTATTAGTTTTTTTCACTGTAAATCAAATTCTCATCACATCATCTTCTTCTGAAACGAGGTACTTGCAAGGTATGCAGAATCAGTCATTATAACCGCAGGTCCTCTAATAGTGACCTGTGCTGCCGGGAATTACAATGCTATAAATGTTTCACATCAGATATTTTACATGAAAGAATAACCCGACATTTTGTTGAAATTTCGACTTGTGCATCACTCACTGACATGAACACAACTATTTCTTTCTCAGTCACAGGGGCAAGACTGACCACATCACCAACACAAATAACTATTGGGGGGAGTAGCCCAACATTTCAGTTGACTGTTAGTTGTAGTCCAGATGCACCTGGAATAACAAAACTGTATAACATAGCGGTTGGCAAGAAATCTTCTACTGGTTCTTATCAGCCTATAATACAAATCGGCAACACAGATTCGTCAGTACAAGTAGTGGACACAAGTCTACAACAGCGGATGACAGCCTCGGGTTCTATTAGTGGAGCAACAGGCAGCATACAGTTCATCCTGACAGATCTGAGATGCACTGATGCTGCTTCTACATACTACTGTCAAACAGTATACTTGGCAGGGTCAGCTGGAAGTGGAAGTGATGACGGAACTGCCAACATCACAACCAGAAGTATGTATGAATATATTCACCAGAACTAACATATGATTGGTGTCCTGAAGATTTCACGGAGAAGATCAGTTTTCACATTTGATATAAACACATTACTCTTTATCCTAGTATTTGTCATTCTTCTTCATAAATGTCTTATTATCCAGAACACCCATATACATTGTCTTTATCTTACAGCTTACCCCGAGCAAATAGAGATGTTCCCCACTCCCGACAGAGTCAGTTATGACAATGGTCAGCTGATCTCATTCAGATGCACTGGGAGGATCGGGAACCAGTTTGATGACAACAATCTCCAGAACCTGTGGACATGGGAGTGGCGATTTATAGACAACGAGTTCACCTCCTGGACACGATATCCAAACGACCAAAACATTACCTATGAGCCTTCTTCTCCCTTGTCTGGGTCAGGGGGATGTCAGTATAACGGGGCGTCAACACTGTTTCATACAATCTCGAATCTAGACAATGGGAGACAGTTCAGGTGTTCTGTCATTAGTGAAGACTACAGTGACAACAAGACAGTTCTTGTTATTGGTAAGATTACATAGTTATGATTGCTTCAACATTTTTACGCATTTGGTTTGCAGATCAAGCAGTCAAACTACTGCAATTTAACGTTTATACATAGCGGGAGTTCTTGTTGAAAATTGTCGGGAAAATACATCAGTTATATCATCTATCCCACGTACACCTGCACTCAAATGTCTGTAAGGATTCAATATCAGTACAACCCACATCAAGGCAAAAATAACTCTTGGAAATTATCTTTTGTAATCTGGGTCAGGCTCATATTTAAGTCTGTTATACCATGTACATCATGCAATTGGAAATTTCATTTTGGTATCTGGATTAGGCCTGTGTTTACTTTTGTAACGCCATATACATTATGAAACTGAACACAAATGTTACCCGGACAACAACAAAGATAAAGTTTCCCCGGTTCAGTGCAATTCAGGCTTGGATCAGGCTTATTTCCTAACTGCTACAACCTTGTCTTGATTTCAAGGTCAACAACCACCTGGGCCAACATCACGTCCCGAAACGTCTACAACAGGTGAGTTTTGCTGAAACGGAGCAAAGCAACTGCGAGTGGTTGACCTGTGTGAGAAGTAATTCACTTATGGATCATATATGTGAAACTCTGACAAGACTTTCGTCCCAGCACTGTGACTCAAATAGATAATGCTGCATATGTACTTGCTGTTAACGATTTAACTGCTAAAAAATGGGAAAAAAATCAAAGGTCGCGTCACCAAAGTGACTACACGGAGATATGACAAATTAAACATCAACCCCTGTTGGGCTAAACATAATCAGATTTTCTCCAAAAGAATAACAAGTTGAAGGTGCATATGCTATAATATATCTTTGTCTATGCATATCATAGAGTTGAAGTTATATCTGTGAGGATTCAATATCAGGTAAATAACATTACAAAAACAACTACTGCAACTGTATCTTGTTTTCCTGAGCGAACGTTTAGTTCCCACACGTCTCCAAGTCGCGAGTTTGGTGTCGCAAAAATGAAGCCACAGTCAGTGTCTCAGGAAATATCTATCAATGGATCACAGCTGTGGAAGTCTGACAAATAATGCCTGTTAAACTTGTCTGAATTAGTACAGTTCACAAAAATAATGCATTTATATCTGCTGTGAGGGATATTGCGAAGAAAGAGTTAATAGAACACTAGTTCTATTTATAGATTTATATCGTGGCCTGAAAGATATTGATTTGTGTAATGTGGAGCGTTAAAATATGTATAAAGATTATCGTATCTTGAAAGACATAGCACGAAATTATAGACTGATGATTGTATCTGTCTTCGAGAAGTCAACTGTGGAATCTGAAGGGTGTAAGACAAACTGCGAACATGAAGAAAACGGAAATGATGAAAGTGATAAAGTACCTATATACAAAGGTCATATAAAAAGTAAATATTACTACAGACATTCTTCACAAAAACACGCACAGGAGCTGTCTGTGAGATGGGTACCCAGAATGTTGAAACAAGATCACAAACCAACCCCGACTGAAAATCAGGAACCTTTTGCTTAGTTATCTGCAGGTCTCTGGCCATCACTTTGATCCACGATGAATTTCAGGATGATTTTGCTTCACATCCAATCAGTCTGGTGTTCTTAGTTGGCAAAATTAGAGCGTTGGGTTTGTGCAACAGTAATGGGATAATCAACACTGATTATCTGCAGTGGGTCAGAATGTCAACACAATGCCACAAAGCGACATCTGAGAGAAGCTATCAAGGAAACACATCGCGGAAAGCTTCGTTCAGGGCAAGGTGCACGCGACACAAGCGGCAGTAGCTGCATCTGCAGCTTGAAAAAGAAAAAGCTAATGATATAAAGAAGTCTTGCCCTCATTCCATACAGTTTTCGTTCGTTGCTATACCTCGATAGGACTGTTAGCTGGCGTTATTCAGGTACCACATTTCAACTCATTTTCTGATAATGTACAACAACGTGACATTTTTGTCCAATATATCCATATTCTGATTTTTATTATTGTTTCGATGTATGCATTATGTTACAAATGTACACAATAAGTGGAAGTTTAACAACTAGAAAAATATTCTGTAATGGCAACTTTAGTATTGCAGCTTAGGCATAGTTTGTGCAGATAAACTACATTTTTCATCGAGCATAAGTATAAAAATAACTATATTCATAAATAAAATACAAATTATTTTTTCAAATTAAAGGGGATGACTCTCTTGGTGTTGGAGTGGCTATAGGTGTTGGTATAATGTTGGTCGTGATCGTTATCTGTCTGAGTCTGACCTTCATCTATAGGAACACAGTGGCTGGGTGGCTGTCAGGTGAGTACTTGACGTGAAACATGTTCATTGCAAGCTCAAGTGTACCAAGAGATTAAAATTATGGTGTATATCGATCAGTACGTTTAAGAGATATGATGTCATACCACACTTGACTATTTAATTTGCCACGTATGAATCGATAGGAGATTGAGAATTTCATCCCTGTGTCCCACACCGGTAGGATTGGCATGAATATGATGGAGGGGAGTCCTTTGATGATTCCTAAAGCCTCTCGAGATGATTTGGGATCCACCACTAAACAGGTCCCTCTCATGCACAGTGGCATCTTGATACCGTTCACCGGGTCGCCTCAGTACACGAACCCGACTACCCTTAACTGCAGACAGAAACGGGATTCATCAGTTAAGAATACTTGCAACAAGCACCAATATTGGTCGAACAGCTTTCACACCTTGACCGGATGTTGGTAAGTCTGAGGTGGATCCAGATGGACTGGGTACTGACGTTTGTGCTGGTCTACCTTGCACCCTGACAATGGTACGAAATATTTGCCTTACTGGGCAGACGCCTTGCCGCAACACTAATCGATAGGTCATCCTGGAGCCATCCTACTATCCTTCCCTTCTAAGATGCACTGTGGTCATCTTGCTGACGGGGACATGGGTGGCCCAGTCGTCTAAGGCGCCGCGATTCGCTGTGCAGAGTTGCGTCCCTTGGGCACGCCAGAAACTTATATCATTGGCGATTCGAATCCCGGTTCGCCCCGATTATGTCTCTAGATTTGTCAGCACCATACCCGTGCTCGTGGGTTTCACCGAAGTGGTCAACGTCTGAAACCTGCATCACTTCTGGCCGCTCTATTCATAGCCTATGCAGTGATAAGATAACCAAAAATCATCACTTCCTCGTGCACTATTGCATTTGGCTGAATTGACAATGGAGTGGTATGGGTGAAACTTTTCATTTCTTCTGAATCATGATTTTGCTTGGACTGAAATCAGTGCAACATTTGCTGAAAAATCATATTATCTATGGACACCTTTATGAACTTCGCTTACGTAACAAACGAACGAACGTCTTCATTAAATACAGGGTGTTTCCATTCAGGATATATGTCAAAATGAAAAACTGTCTTCACATGACGGTGTGTCTAATAAACGTTGAAACCAAAACAGAAACAAACAAACAAATGTGAACCAAATCATACTACGCTGAATACAGCAAAGAGGGCAATATAAGTAACGAATGTGTTCGATATACATATAACTATTTAAATTAGGTAGTATTCCACTTTGCAATTTGGCATCGTATCAGTGTATGGGACCTATTTAAAGGGGTTACTGCTAGGTGACATGTAAAGTTTATCAGATTATCATATCAATAACATTTTCCATTGTGTTATTAACATTAATTATCACATTTCTCTTCACAGTATTAAATAAAATATTTCCCTGTTTCAGGAGCCAAGAAAACCAGAAATACAGAAACGCTAGTAATGTCCAAGTAGGTTAATCTTTCCAGCAATAATCTTGGAAGCATTTAGAACAAATTTGAAATTGATTCTAGTCAGATTGTTTATAATGTCCTTGTTTTGTTATATGGATATTAATGAGCGTCGAAATATACGAATTAAATGTGTCTGTAGCAGTGATAATTCGTCATAATATTTAGCCTGAATCATAACAGCATGAAAATGGTTTCAAGCTAAAGAGCTTAAAATGTTCTTGGTTTGTTGGCTTATATATGGATCTTAATGCGCATGTAATATTTATCCTGTCTCAACCACAACAGCATGCAGACTCATGCCACAGCGATCGCACCTGTCGGAATGCAAACACAAGGTCAGGGTTTTGTCAATGTATATTATTAGTACACAAATGACCAACAGAGAAAAGATAACTGGTAATGCCAGACAACAAAAGGCTTATGTGGTTACATGCTTGATGTTAGAGCTGTCTAATATATATCCCAGGAACATTTTCTAATGTACTTACATTATATATTTCTGTAAATGTGCAGGCGATGAGTACGAAATTCCTGTGGACAGGAATCACTACGATGCCCTTCAAACAGAGACTGCTGACATTCCCAACACGTATGAGAAGATACGAACATACCAGAATATGTGAAATGAGGAGGCAGCGAAGAACAGCTACCACGTGACATTCCGATGCAATGTCGACGCTGATTGGACATTTGCTCAGAGATGAAAATTCATCGCGAGGATTTTTTAGTTTGTAAAATAAATTAAAAAAACGAGTTTTAGTTAATCATTCTGTATTTGCCGAGCCTTTGGCGTGTTTGATATTTCCCATTTTAACAAACACGAGTCATGAATTACATTTATCATTCTCACATTATTCAAGAAATAAATGCATTAAAATTAACATCAGAAACTTGTCGAAATCTTACGAACAGATCGTGTGTAGTGATACATGTTTTCTTATTGCGGTGTGAAGTTACTGTGAACCAAACACACAACCTCTCAACTCCTTCATGGCATATTCCTTCACTGAGAAAACATCTTCCTCGGATTATTTTAAACAAAATGCTTTAACAGAGTTTTGCAGAATAATTGAAACTTTAATGATGGTAACAACGATTGTGTACCATTTGATTACAAACTCTTCAAAAAAAGAAACGCAAAGCCAGATTCGTGTGAGGTAGGAAATTACATATATACGAGGAACCGTACAAGGTATTGAGCCAAACTGTTGTCGAGAGAACTTGGTGATTGTAGTCATCTCAGTTAATCGGTAAATAGGAAAAGTTCAAGGTGAACCTACGTCAAATACGCCTATGTCCCCCGTTGGAATCGATAGCAGCCTGACATCTCCTGTCCATGGAAGAGACGAGTATGCGAATCATATTCTGGGGAATGGTAGCCAACTTGGTCTGCAACGCAAAAGCCAACTGCTGCAACGTCTTGGGTTCTGGTTGACGTCGGCGTAGCCGTCTTTCCAAATCATCCCACAGGTGCTCTATCGGGGTCTTATCCGGGGATCTGGAGGGCCAGGGGACAACATCAATGTTGCTGTTGTGTTGACAGGCTCGTTGGTGTATCGTTAAGCCGTAAGATTGCCCTGGATATGGACCAAACCTGTCCTGCGATGATGAGAGATCATAACGCTACCCAAACCCAACCTGTCCACTTCCTGTTCGCAGTTTCCGGCGTAACGTTCTCCCCGACGTCTGTAGATCCGTGCTCTTCCATCTCCTCGATGGAGGAGAAATTTTGATTCGTCGCTGAACCAGACATCTCTCCATCGCAGTTGAGGCCATACCCTGTGTTGACGACACCAATGCAGTCGTTGTTGACGATGTTGTCGACTCAATATGACGCGTCGAACAGGAAGACCTGCTGCTCTTCAACGGTTTCGTACGGTCGGGTCGGAGATTTTGCGCAGTTCGGGTATTTCGAATGCGGTTGAGGTGGTTGTGGTCGTCCTTTCACGTAGGTGGCGCAGTCGGATGTAGCGATCTTGGGCCGACCCATGCTGTTGAAAGCGACCCCATAGCCTTGTGATGGTGCTGGGCGCTACATTGAAAACCCAGGCTACAGCTTATCGGGAGTCCCCTGCCTGCAAGCAGCCTATGGCGTTGTTTCCATGCACTTCTGTTAATAGATGAGAGGGCGTTCAAAGGAAGGGCGGTGTCATGAGCCTCGATTCACACAACATACCAGAGTGTTCTTTTGTGAGTCGAACCAATCTAATATCTCTTAAATAAGAGTAATTCTTCATATATTATCCAACGTGTATGGTGTTCGCGTTTCTTTTGTCGGTGACTACATATTTTACCTATATATAAACATTACCTCAATAAGCTTATTCTTGCGTGAAGAATGGGGCAAGTTGTGGCCCTGAAACGTCATTACAAAGAACATAGACGTTGTTAACCATGTTTCGTGTCTTAAAGTTCTTCTAACTTCTAAGTGACCGACCATTTGATATTCTGGGTGTGCGGCAGAGGGTGGTTGGTCGTGGGTGGTGGGGACTAGCATTTTGCATGGAGACAAGATATTTTTCAGCTACAGCTGCAAAGAGCCAGATATTATTTTAATCCACAGGGATCTCCCTTTTTATAGGGTCTTGTTTTATATATACACAGTAAAAAAAGTGTTGCACCCCCTATACTTTTTCATGGAGGGGTGTTTTGAAAGGGTGTAAAGATAACCGAATTAATATTATAACCAGGATTTCGTGTATACCAACAAACCAGTGTATTGTCTATACAATGAACTTAAATGGGGTATTCCATGACCTTGTGGCATGTAATAATCTCATGCTGAACTTTTACGAAAAATGAACGAACAACGAAGACGCATTAAGTATGGTGACATCTCAATAATTTTTAGTGACCAAATTCATCCAATAGGGTAAGAATGTCATATGGAGATTTGACGAACACAGTAAGTCAATATCGAGAACTTCCACCAAGCACTTGGATCACAGCTTGAAGTCTTCGTCTCATACTCCTCACCAGACGTTGGAATCGCTCCATGGGCAGCTGCTGCCACTCCTCGTGTAATGCTGCTTCCAATTCACGCAAGTTCTGTGGAGGAGGGTCCCGACGATAAATCAGGCGTCCCAAAATGTCCCATACATGTTCCAGAGGATTCAGATCTGGACTCATTGCTGGCCATGGAATCTGCGTCAGAGCATTGTTGTGGATAACCTGGGTCACAGCTCGTGAACGATGTGGTCTGGCATTGTCATCCATGAATATCGGTCTGGTGGCCAGTGGATGATTGTCAAAATGGGGCACCACAACTGGATTCAGCACCTCTTGGATGTAGCGCTCCCCTGTCAAGTTGCCTCGTATGGTCACTAAATCAAGCTTACAATCAAATGAGAAGCATCCCCAGACCATAACAGATCCACCTCCATATGGTACAGTTGGCATGATGTTTCTTGCAGTATAAGCTGTTCCAGGACGCCTCCATACTCTCACTCTGCCATCCACAACATGCAGAAGGAACCTGCTTTCGTCCGACCAGTGGACTCTTCTCCAGGACCTCAAGTTCCAGTTCTGTCTCAGTCTACACCAGGCTAGACGTAGTCGTTTGTGGTTGTCTGTGAGTTTAGGTCGCTTGATAACCCTTCTGGACTTCAACCCTGCAGCTTTAAGACGATTTCTCACGGTCTGGGTACTGAACTGTTGACGAGGAAGCCAAAGACGTTTCAAGGTTGTGCTTGTAGCAAATGGATGACGCCTTACCACCCTCAACAACGCTCTGTCATCTCTAACTGTGGTCTTACGTGGTCTGCCAGAGGGTCTGCGATTCCTTACATAATTAGTTTGTGCGTGTTTTCTGACCAAACGGCTTATTGTTGAGTAGTGATGTCCGGTTCTTCTGCCAATCTCCTTGAACGAAAGACCTGCTCCATGAAGGCCAATAATCTGCCACTTGACTGCTTCTGACAATCGTCTACCCGGCATTGTGGGTTACAATAAACTGGGCTGTCAGAGAACATCTTTTATAGGCGATGTTGAGCTTAAGAAGATACTGCAATCTGCAAATGTCATGCACCATGCAATTCACGTGCTGATTGCTACGTTTTGGTGATCATCTTCCCTCCGAAAACATTACACATTTAACATCAGATCCCCAAGGAATACCTACCATTAAAACCAGAGTCGGGCGTTTTAAATGTTGTGATGTATCAAACGTATTAATGTGGGGGTGCAACACTTTTTTTACTGTGTATAGTACCATGGCCCCGTGAGTGACCGTATATATCTTGCTGCTAACTTTGGCGTTACAAGCCCCTGTGATTTAACCAAAACATTTAGCCAAAATATTGTTTTTAAAGAAAGATCTTGCGACAATCTAAATTTTGTGGCAAACAATTTCTTTTCTTTTTTTCAACAGTCTGAAGCATCATTATAATTTTCAAGAATTGTCTGTGACAATTTATTTTTTTCGATAAAATCCAAGTTAGGCAATCCTATAATGTCGCAATGTCCAGGATGTAATTTAATGAAATTGCTTCATTCCCCACGACGTATATATGTACGTCAGGGCCACGTTACTAGGGGCGGCACGACACAGGAGAGTGCTGCGCAGAGGGAAGGCGGATGTTCAGTGAGTAATGTTGAGAACGTAGGTGAGAGAGAGTAATGAGCGAGTGTAGGGAGTGCAGTGAGCGAGTTGGGTTTAACACCTCTAACAGTATTCCAGTTACATCACGGCTTGTCAGCTTAATGTGGGAGGAAAGCCCGAAGTTGTGTAGGTCTCAGACGTTTACCACGTGCACTTTGGTGACGAGCACGGGAATGGTGCTGACCAACCCAGGGACATAATGGGAGCGAACCGAACCCACGATGATAGGTTTCTGCCCTGCCCAAGAAATGCAACTCTGCACAGGGAATTCCTGCGCCTTAGACGACTGGACCGCTCGTACCCCGAGAAAGTATAGATAAGATATCGTTCTTGAGAGCGTAGATGATATAGCATTCTTGTAGATCGACTGACTATAAAAGTCCAGTTTCCACCCTTGCCGAACTATGCTTGAGTTATACTTGGGTTGGACCAACGTGTCAAGGCATAGTCCAATCAAAATCGCCTAACGACATCGGCATCCGGTTCGTAAACTGCCGTGCAGATTTCGGTCCATTGCACGATTTGCAAAGCATGTGTACCCAGAGACCCATATGGTCTCTAGTGTACCGTAAATATACATATTCCAAATCTTTTAATGTTTGTTATGAAGGTGATCAGCTGATTTGATGCACTTCGCGAAGTAAGACACGTTTAATTACAATAAAAGACGTTGATTATCGATCAGATGGTCTTGACTTGATGCCACCATTTTGTTTGAGAGGTGAAATCTGATTGGTCCATAGGAGGGACATAGAAGGGACATTACTCGTAATATAGTTGCTGGTTGCGCTACGATCGAGTCCAGATATCCCAGCCTAGTTCGACAAGGGTGGAAACTGGACTTTGAAAGTCAGTTAACTCCTTTGCCTTGGGAAGATGATGTAGATAAGGTAAAGCACCGTGGGAGTTTACATGAAATAGCGTTCTTGAGAGTGTAGATGAGAGAAGTGTAGGTGAGAGAGAGAGAAAAAAGAGTGTTTCTTGGATCTTGTTGAGAGTAAAATGACAAGTTCATGATGAAGAGAGTTTGGATGATTTGAGAGGGTATAGATGATAGAGTAGATTCTGTTTTCAGAGACACAATCAAAATAAACAATGTCAATTGTTTTACTTTTATTCATCTCATATACATTTCTTTACACAGTTTAAACAAAATTCTGTACAAATCTTTAAATAAAAATATATAATGCTCAGACTTCATCACACAAGGCAGGAATAGGACTCAATGCTGTCTTATTTCATCACAAGAACACAAGATTTTCTGTTTCAATTTTCAAACAGCAAAATAAAGATATAGATCCTGGCATAAATGGAGTCTGTTCTCTTCTAGCAGTGTCATGATTTGTTAACCTAAACTCTAGAAACATACTCTGGCTGAAAAAAATAGCATCTTCATCAACAGTGAATATCACAGTGTCAGTATGAAACCTCTGCCGTATTACACAAACTGGTAAATATCAATATCTTGACACTAAATCTCGCTGACATAACATGGACGGTTTTGTAGCACATTTATGAATCATAACACAGTACTAGATAGTGTCTGGGTTTGTGTTTGACTGGTTTAAACACTTACTGATGGATTGGACTTGTGGATAGTAAGTGAGTGAGTGAGTTTAAATGCCTCTTTTAACAGTATTCCAGTTATATCACCACGTGTCAGCTTAATGTGGGAGGAAAGCCTGAAGTGATGCAGGTCTTAGACGTTTACCACTTCAGTGAAACCCACGAGCACGGGTATGGTGCTGACAAACCTAGAAACATAATTGGGGCGAACCGGGATTCGAACCCATAATCATAGGTTTCTGGCGTGCCCAAGGGAGGCAACTCTGCACAGCGAATAACTGTGCCTTAGACGACTGGGCCACCCGTACCCCCTGTGGATAGTAAGGGGTAAGAGATGTTTCTGTAGTCGAGTCATATCACAGTGGGTCAGTTTCATGTAAGGAAAGACCGAAGAGATGCAGGTCTCAGATTTGTACTACTTTGGTGAAACCCATGAGTACGGGTATGGTGGTGCTGACAAATCTAGAAACATAATCATAATCATAGGGATGCAACTGAGGGATGCACAGTGAACTGCACCACCTCAGACGACTGTCATGGTTCTACATGTTCACAAAATACTACATACTGTACAAACACATGCACTACATTAACATCACAGTGTTGATGGTTACAAAACCGGACAAATATCAGAATTCAATTGAAGTATTTCAAACATTATAAAGTTTCAGCTGTGAAATGATATCGGTAATGGCCCCATGAATGTAAAACTGATTAGGTAATGACATGCATAACACCACACTCAGCAGTATTGAGCTATGTGACAGCAGCCTGTTAATTATCGAGGCTGGACCAGACAATCAAATGAACAATATTACGAACAGCATCCACCCCATTGGAGTACCACAACATCCAATCGTCCAAGTCACCAAGCCTGACCACCAGATCAATTTAGTCACCTCTAAAGATCAGCAAAAATTACATAGAATTATGTAATTTGAATTCACAGAATTGCCACCAAGCTCAGAGACAAATGGGGGAGCAAAAATCACTCTACAATTCCATTTTCAATGTAAATTATTGTGGGGACAATGTTTTCAAGATAGGTCAGGTGAAGTGTGACACTAAAGCACCCAGGAATCTTATATACACTATCTGGGTAATGTCATTAATGTCAGACAGAAAACATACAAAATTGTAAACCATAATAAATACCCTGCTCAACTTTTGCTAAGGACCACACCTTTAACTTATGATGACTAGTTTGGTCCTGAGCAGTGGGTATGATTATTAAGCCGTTTTTAGTATTTTTCCGGTAGGGGGACACCAGAACCTGGGTCTTCGATGTGATGGGCGAATGCTTTAACCACCATGCTATCACACCTCAGTAAATTATTGTGTTAAAAAAATAGCATTCATGTTTTACATAGAAAATCGCATATCAAACTGAAGGACTTCGATGTTCTTGGTACCTTTCATTGCTCTGTTATAAAACTCAGTGATGCCAGACAAAAAAATAATTTAATATACACCACTCAAAACAAGTTTAGGAACAGCCACAAGTAGAAGGCTGTGTGTGGCAATACCCACCAGGGATGACAGATCAACTACTTGCTGATACACAGCTGTATGGTGTGGGCCAATTTGGTAGTCGCAGAGCCAATACAGGCTTGGCTGACCAATGAGAGTGTGTCATCTTTTGCAAATCGAAAACAAAAGTATTCTAGCCCCTCCCAGAGAATATCAAACTGCAGGCTCCTAACAGGGTGTCAGGGAGCTGTGATCATTTTTCGCCAGATATAATCACAACAATATAACAACAAAATAGATAAATATTGTGTCAATATATCAGTCAACATTATGTACAGAACGGAGCTATCACAGCACTTTGTAAAATTTCAGTGAAACTGAAAATGCTTTAAATCAACATTTTCTAAAATATAAGTACAAAGTCATATCACTAATTGCTACAATTCACATTGCTGTTTCCAAAAGAGCATTCAGTATAACGAGAATATAAAATATGTCCTCCACAGATCCTTTGGACAAACGATATAAATTCAGTAAAACTTCTTCAACATTTGGACGGAAATGTGACTCGCTAAAATAATTTTCTATTCTACATAATCAAGTAAAGAATATAATACATCAAAGGTGTTGAATATTGACAGAAACCCTTTCAAAACATAATTTTATGCATATGAAGTATATCCATTGATGTTAAAAAAGTAACAACTTATGCAGCAGGTCTTATTGGTATTGAAACAACATCTGTAAGTGAACATCTGCCACGCCCAACAAAGAAGACCGCATAAGGTAAACTTTCTAATCAATAGAATAATCAAAAGTCAATAAGTACTGAGGCTCCTAACATCTCAGAATGAGTGAGCAAAGCATTCAGAACAGCATATTTGATTATTGTATCTTAGAAACAAAGTTAAACAGCCAGTTCCGAATGTAAATAATAAAAGCAGAGCACAATGGCATCTACAAATAAATTTTAATATAATATAAATTACAAGCTCCCTTCAACATACTTCCAGACAGGAGATCATGTTAATATAAAAGCAAATTAAATGCAATGCGACAATGAAGCTACTGAAGGTATGATGTTTTACAAATTCATTTTTCTGTAATACTTGATATTTAGTTTAAAAATCATATTGATTAAGGCAAAATCTTAATGGCAGACACCTCTGTAAAACAAAATACTTCAGCAAAAGCTCTTCCTGCTGTGTATATACATGTTATACAAAGCACCATACGTGTATATCTGGCTACAATCATTTGCATATTATGTTCCTGAAGAGGATATTGGAATATATATATATTTTGATTAAGTGGTGACTAATTATTGTCCAAATCTTCGTTGATACCATGAATTATTCGTGAAGAGAATTTCTTTGAACAATACGAGATTAATGGTTACAAGCTTTTTACTTCCAGAATACTGAGACTGTTGTCCTCACAACTACTTCTGAAGTCAACTGCAAACATCTAAAATATATCTATTCTGTACATGTCCTATATTTACAGATGAAACAGGGTTGAATGTATCACAAATATGCAGTTATAAATAATATCAATCACAAATACTTCACACAAATAAATAACACCAGGTGAGAAGAAGCTTGATAAATATCTTCCATTCATATAGGAAGTTGATATCTCAAAGTGGTGAACAATTCTCATTTCATACAGAGGAATGGGAAGGAAAATTGTGAAACTTTTCTTCCACACCCCAGAAATGTAAACAGGGAGAGTTGTGTGCCACCGCTGTGAACAGTATCTAGTCATGCCACAGAGTGTCAGTGTCATGATGGATAAACACCTAATGTTATACATTTCATAGATACATTTCAGGTGTGAACCCACAAGCATGGAAAACCAAGGATCATAATCTGAGGTTCGAACCCATGTCCACCACATTTTGTCAAGAATGCAATTCTGTTCATAGAAGTGATTGTGAGTCACCAAACCAAATCTTACCAAATTATAAAAAAGGTCTCAGAAATTTTCTATTATCATAATGCTGTCATCAATCCAATGGTGAACACCCAAGTAGAAGGGCATCATAATATCTTAATACTGAGCATGATGTTTATTTAGAAATAGCAATGTTTCGTTTGAGTATCTATTTCAAGAAACTAAATCCTTTCCTGCAACATTTTATCTGTAATCTCCATCCTCATCATCAGCATCTGAGACTTGTATCTTACTGACGAACTCCTCGGGCGGAACATCGTTTAGTGTCGGCCTTTTTTTGTTGAATGCGCTCGGGGGCCGGAGGACGACACTGCCGTACGTGGTCGGAGCTTTGGCCCCCCCGGCGCGGAGGCGGCTCGGGAGGGGTGGGAGGGACTTTGGGGCGACTGCGCTTGGGTCTTCGTCTTTGACTTTTTTGACTTTCGGTCTTTTTTCTTGCCTTGTTTCTTTGGGGGCGGAGTTGGCGATGAAGATCGGCTTCTTAGTGACTCTGAAAATGTACATGTATATTGTCTTAGAAGTCATCTACATGTCTTACGTACGACCATTTGATATCCTGGTGGGACGTGGGCATAGAATTTTCAGGAGAGGAAGTAAAAGAATAATATATCCATGTGTCTTTCACTAAAAAAATTGCTTAAGATGCTGAATGTTAAAAAATATAATATGTTGTGGAACGAAACAAAGTTATCTTAAAGCACCAACAAAAGACAACGTGATTAATTTCAAGAATTTAACATGGTTGGTTCCATATAGCATACAGATCTCAGTTAGAAATTGTATGAACAAGATTTTGAGATTCGATGTCCGACATAATTGACAAGCAATTTTCAATAGATACTTTACAAATTAATTATATGGTATGATGTTCCCAGTTGTTTACTGTGATGTTATTTTGATGGCCATGATGGTTATTCTTCTTCTTTTTTTACAATGATTCAGTTTGGACAGTGGTAATTTAAATCAAAGAACTCCATGGATACTCCAAAATCAGTTTTATGATATTCACATTCTCCAACCTTCAGCACAGCATGCTAAAACTGACCATATTCTGACAAACATAAATCTAGCAAATATTGTAATTCAAAATGATACATATATGACTTGGCAAATATCTCAGATATACTGATGGATTGAAATAAGGGAATGGCTAGAAAGGCCAGAATGCTTGATATGACATGTATTCATCTCAAAGATAACAACAATTTAACATAAAACATCATCTATATACGTATAAACAAAGGTGTGACTAGTTTTGTTGATGTGAAACATTTTAGCATTAACACTGCCGTGAACTTTCATTTCTGTGTTCTGTTAATTTATTCCATCAGTATATTGTGTGGAGTTTTCTTGTATCAGGCTGTGAAACGACAAACACCAGGTAACTTCATGCTCTGTGAAGACATCGATCTCAGTGTCCTGTTTAACAATGACGCAGAATTGTGCCTCTCAAGCAGCCATGATGTGCCCCGAAATCATGCTACTGAATCAATTCATGTTCACAGACACCTAGTGCCCCCAAATCATGCTACTGAATCAATTCATGTTCACAGACACCTAGTGCCCCCAAATCATGCTACTGAATCAATTCATGTTCACAGACACCTAGTGCCTCGAAATCATGCTACTGAATCAATTCATGTTCACAGACACATAGTGCCTCCAAATCATGCTACTGAATCAATCTGTGTTTCACAGACAAATTGTGCCCCAAATTGTGCCCCCAAATCATGCTACTGAATCAATCTGTGTTTCACAGACACCTAGTGCCCCCAAATCATGCTACTGAATCAATCTGTGTTTCACAGACAAATTGTGCCCCCAAATCATGCTACTGAATCAATCTGTGTTTCACAGACACCTTGTGCCCATATAATCATGCTTTGAATCATACTGTGTCTGGTTTGTTGCACCGTGATCTCATAAAGAAAGTAAAGCATCTCTGTAGTGCTGTGATCAAGACATGACTTTAAGTGAAATAATGCCCCTTCAAACAATCCACGTGACACTGACTCATTCCAAAGAGACATTGTGCAGGAGACCTACCACCGCCGTCAGTCTCCACAACCGTGGCCCACGTCTCCTCCTCCAACATGGCCACTGTGTTGGGAGAAGGGACGGGCTCAGTACTCTCTTCCGCGGAATCGGTCGTCTGATGGGTTTGATACGTCATATTGTCTGAATCAGACAGTGCGCCCTCCTCATTTTGTAACAATTCCGTTTGAGAGTTAATCAAATTTTGATCGGTATAAGAAATCTCATCATTCTGTGAGCGAGTCGACATGCGACTGAGATTTGACGGAGAAGCTCGACCAAACTGGGTCGAACTTGGAGCAACACCGTTTTGTTCATAGTTTGGCGATAGCCCGTTATATTCTAATGCCTTGTTAATGAGGCTATCACTGCCATGAGGAGATAACTCCTTCACTTCGTCAATAGGAGGCATAGGCGTTACGGCCCGATATTCCCCACTTGTCAGGTCTTTGGTTGATATTTTGGAATCATTGGACGTATGAGCATTCTGGACATTTTTTTGTTTAGACGTTGGAGACCTATCCGCCAGATAGATGACAGCAGAGAAGAAAAGGAAAAGAGCAGAAATGATTAACGATCTTATCAAATTGTTATCTTTCAGCTTTCTAACCATAAAAAATGCACAGGTTCCTTGAGCACCTGTTAGGCCAATATGAGTATTAGTGATGCATGTATAATTGTTCTCGAGTGAGTGTGTATGGTTTTACACCTCCTATAGGAATATTCCAGCAATATAAGGTCAATATAAGGTCATGATAAATTTGCTTCACATATTGCATCCATGTTGGGGATCAAACCTAGGCCTTCGGATCGGCGAGCAAATGCTTTGACCGCAAGGCCCCTTCAATCAAATAATAAAATAAGGCCTTGTAGAACTCACGGATGTCAAACGAGGTCTGAACCAGCCTTTAAAAAAAGTTGTTATGTTGCATCTTCCTACTATGTTCGATTGTTTGATTGTTGTTTAACCCTACACTTAGCAATATTTCAGCTGTATGGACAACAAATTTGATGATGATGATGATGATGATGATGATGATGATGATGATGATGATGATGATATCATGGTACACTAAATCATCTACATCTGTAAAAAAGTTGCCTGGGGCCGGCTCTAACCAAGAATCCCCACTGGGTCATGTCATGCTAAGTGCCAAATGTACATAATACTTACGTTCCATTCAGCTTCTCTTCAAAGATCGGCACCTGCACGGAGATGTTGGTCTGAACGCTTCCATCCTCCGACCCTGTCTCACTGACTAGAGCCTGCTTGTCTGTCTTCTCTGCTCGGTAGTCACCCATCTTGTAGCTGACAAACTTCATGTTGGTCTCACCAAACCTGGGATATTTACAGAGAATAGCTGTGAAGACATTCATGTTGGTCTCCCAAAACTGGGATATTTACAGAGAATAGCTGTGAAGACATTCATGTTGGTCTCCCAAAACTGGGATATTTACAGAGAATAGCTGTGAAGACATTCATGTTGGTCTCCCCAAAAGTGGCATATTTACAGAGAATAGCTGTGAAGACATTCATGTCGGTCTCACCAAAAGTGGCATATTTACAGAGAATAGCTGTGAAGACATTCATGTTGGTCTCCCCAAAAGTGGGATATTTACAGAGAATAGCTGTGAAGACATTCATGTTGGTCTCACCAAAACCTGAGATATTTACAGAGAATAGCTGTGAAGACATTCATGTTGGTCTCCCAAAACTGGGATATTTACAGAGAATAGCTGTGAAGACATTCATGTCGGTCTCACCAAAACTGGGATATTTATAGAGAATAGCTGTGAAGACATTCACTTTTGTCTCACCAAACCTGGGATATTTACAGAGAATAGCTGTGAAGACATTCATGTCGGTCTCACCAAAACTGGGATATTTATAGAGAATAGCTGTGAAGACATTCACTTTTGTCTCACCAAACCTGGGATATTTACAGTGAATAGCTGTGAAGACATTCACGTTGGTCTCACCAAACCTGGGATAGTTACAGTGAATAGCTGTGAAGACATTCATGTTGGTCTCCAAAAACCTGGGATATATACAGAGAATAGCTGTGAAGACATTCATGCTGGTCTCACCAAAACTGGGATATTTACAGAGAATAGCTGTGAAGACATTTATGTTGGTCTCACCAAACCTGGGATATTTACAGAGAATAGCTGTGAAGACATTTATGTTGGTCTCACCAAACCTGGGATATTTATAGAGAATAGCTGTGAAGACATTCACTTTTGTCTCACCAAACCTGAGATATTTACAGTGAATAGCTGTGAAGACATTCACGTTGGTCTCACCAAACCTGGGATATTTACAGAGAATAGCTGTGAAGACATTCATGTCGGTCTCACCAAACCTGGGATATTTACAGAGAATAGCTGTGAAGACATTCATGTCGGTCTCACCAAAACTGGGATATTTACAGAGAATAGCTGTGAAGACATTCATGTCGGTCTCACCAAAACTGGGATATTTACAGAGAATAGCTGTGAAGACATTCATGTTGGTCTCCCAAAACTGGGATATTGACAGAGAATAGCTGTGAAGACAATCATGTCGGTCTCACCAAACCTGGGATATTTACAGAGAATAGTCGAGAAGACATTCACGTTTGTCTCACCAAACCAGGGATATTTACAGTGAATAGCTGTGAAGACATTCATGTCGGTCTCACCAAAACTGGGATATTTACAGAGAATAGCTGTGAAGACATTCATGTTGGTCTCCCAAAACTGGGATATTGACAGAGAATAGCTGTAAGACATTCATGTCGGTCTCACCAAACCTGGGATATTTACAGAGAATAGTCGAGAAGACATTCACGTTGGTCTCACAAAACCTGGGATATTTACAGTGTGAAGGCTTTCAGCTACAGAATCATGTTTGAATATTTGCTACTACCACCAAAATCTGCACCCGAGGCGGCTCCATTCAGGCTCACACCCCAAATTTCTACTCTAAATTCTGTACAACAAGTACTGTCTAATATATGGCTCTATTGGTCACAATATCCTACCTGTCCACGTAGTGCCACTGTGAGGCTCCCTCCGGCACGACCTTGGTCACCAGACATGGGCCTGCAACACATGGTAACGAGAGCTGATCACTGACTGGTTGGTGTCAAACATAATGACAAGTCAATCATATCTACATACAGTTCAAGATACATAACAGCAGAGGTTTGATCAAACCTTGCACTGGAGCAGCACAAGAGCCAGGAGTCCGGACAGCTCAGTGTCCGAGGTCACTTGAGGGGCCGTCAGGTAGCCTAGTGGTTAAAGCGTTCACTCGTCACGCCGAAGACCCGGGTTCAATTCCCAACATGGGTACAATGTGTAAACCCATTTCTGGTGTCCCCCACCGTGATATTGCTGGAATATTGCTAAAAGCGGCGTAAAACTACTCACTCACTCGAGGTCACTTGACTTCTTTCTATCTCTTCATAGAGACACTATGTATATACTGATGGCAAGGACCCACTACACAGTTCTCATGGGCAACACATGTCATCGCTAAAGTCATTATTAAAATAAAAAATTAGTAAATCTTCTTTGGGGTTCATTCCCATAGGAGAATTCAAATAGATACATAGATATGCACAGTCAAGCTTTTGGCCTCCTTCAGGCACATTCTGTAGGTTTCGTGTGTCATTTGAGATCCTGGTTTGAGCTATGACGCAAGGGAGGCAAGGGAGTTAACGGGAGTTGCAGAACTAGGCTGGAATATATGGCTCAATTGTACCTAGCGAAGTGCTTCAAATCACTTGAGCACCTTGATTAAAAACATGAAAAGATATGCAAAATATTTGTTGACGCTCAGCTGGTGGTGCACATGCTCTGCAATCCTGCAGTCGACGTAAATGTACACGTTGAAATCCATGTTGTTTATGAACTGGATTTCTGTGTATAGACTTGTTGATCCAGCCAAAATCTAACTCCGGAAGTCCAGCCTAGTGCGGCAAGGGTGGTAACTGGACTTTTATAGTCAGTTAATACCCTTGCCTCAGGAAGATGTGTCATTACTAAATGTGACATAATTCCATAGTCCTACTTATAAATAGTTATAAGTGAGAAACAACAACGCAGGGAAGATATGTGACAATTCATTACGGTTGTGTGGTCAAAGATCAAGTACAGACATGGAATGGGGATTAGTTAGCCTAAGTTTGATGACATTTCAGAATGAGCTAACTTCCAAGAATATTTAAGAGTAATATCAAAGTGCATTTTCTGGAAAAATTCTATGTAAGTTGTGTTTGTTGGGTTACCGAAGAACAATTCTAACCCAGATCTTCATGGCTCGCTGTGTAAGTGAGCCCTATGTTACACATCACATATCTCATCAGTTTTACACAATGGCAACTGAGAGCCTCTGACAATGGGTATTCTACACTGGTACCGGTATTCTACACTGGTACCCGTATTCCACACTGGTACCGGTATTCTACACTGGTACCGGTATTCCACACTGGTACCGGTATTCCACACTGGTACCGGTATTCCACACTGGTACCGGTATTCTACACTGGTACCGGTATTCTACACTGCATGAGAGGAAGGCGACCACACATTGAGGCAACTGGATATTTCTAGGTTAATTGGCATCTAAAATTAGTAATTTTCCACCTCTCTGAGACGGAGCAGTTTAACATCACTTTAACTATTTTAATATTTTTATATTCTGGAGCTGGGCACTGCAAGTTTATTAAAACATTCCATACTCAGAGTTTTATGTTTATTTTACATGCTTACCCTTCATTACATATTGCACATTGCTCTTGGTATAAGAAAAATGTGCAATATTTAATGCAGGATAAATTAACAATAGACAAATTGTCCCCCAAACTGCATGAGAAAAATAATTATTCTTCAGACTTTTGAAAAAAATAATACATTGTTGTATGATATACTTTTGACATACAACATACAAACTCCCAGGCCCACATCCCAGGGAATATCAAATGGTCGGTCCTTTACAAGTTGGTGAAACTCTAGCATGGTTATGGTGCTAACTGTGTGTTCTAAATTAAGGGAGGTCCTGCGGTCTTTGAGTATTTATCCAGTATTTGAATCTGGGACCTCTTCAGGCTTGGAACCTTGGCATTATGACAAGAGCCCCTGAATTGTGAAGACTTTAAAGAGCCTATAGTGTTGTCGTTTACTTACAGCATCTTTCGATGACCCCCCTGCAGCAGCAGCAGACGATGAGGATGACGAGGAGGATGAGGAGCAGGATGATGACGATGATGATGACAATCAGCGTCCAGTCCATGTCCCCACCTGTACTTGCCCCCGTGTCTGTGAAGCAGAGTGAGTGAGTGAGTGAGTGTTGTTTAACCACATCACATAGAATTATAAAGGATCCAATATGGACCATGCCAAAAGCAGCAACTATCAACATATATAGTCTCACGTGAGGACAAATGGGGTTTAACATCGCATTTATTGCAACATGTGCATGCCCATGTGTGCATGTGCTCTTGTACTAGTCCATACTAATGTCAGTTATATATTGCTAGCCCACTGAGATACCATGCCACAGTTTCACATGGATATCCCACTCAGACATACCGACTCTGAGCTGACCAGTCAAAGTTTTATCCCCTTCATGGCTAGCACCAGGCAGGGTAACAACAAGGATGTACCATTTTTTTATAAAAGTTTATTGTTTTAACGTGGCTGGGAGTCCAGCCATCCACCTTCTGTTCTTTGGGCAGACGCTCTATCAACAAGACCGCGGAGGCAGTCTCGTTTAGTAACACCTAGTGACTACACAGCCTTATTTGTTTGTATCCCATGCATGTTGTAAGAGCAGATAACATTTTCTGACATGGAAATAAAACGATGTCTGCACATCAAAGTCACCCGTGCTACATGTCATGCTGACTCACCTCCAAACATGATGAGGGCAAATCTGGGATTTGAACCCAGTCATAATGGTTTCTAGCATGTCCAGGGTACATCACTATGCACAGCAAATTGTGGCTCACTAGATGAGTAGACCACCCATGCCCACTATATATTTGTACCAGAGGTCTGATTGGTTCACATGATCTTGATATTATACTATGTATCCCGCCTGGGAGGGAAATAAATTTAACAGCGGGAGAATAAATTCCTTATACCCCGCCACAAACAAGTCAGGCTGCACATGGACTTCTGAGAGGCAGAATAAATCCCTTATACCCCGCCACAAACAAGACAGGCTGCACATGGACTTCTGAGAGGCAGAATAAATCCCTTATACACCGCCACAAACAAGTCAGGCTGCACATGGACTTCTGAGAGGCAGAATAAATCCCTTATACCCTGCTTTGAAGCATAAGCCGCACACTATTTCCGAGTCAATGAAAGTCACATGCCATAGGACAAGTTAACAAGTTAATCTGTTTTAATTCTTTTACAACGTCATATTCAAACATGTCGGTAAGAAAAATTTGTTGTAGCAGGATCAATCTTGGTTTTATGTGGTTTTAAGCGTCCCTCGTTAGGTTTAATACCACGAGCCGGAGGGTGTACCCCGAGTCACAATAAAGCTGGGAACAGGCCATGTTTGATGTACTTACTTGGTGGTGATGATGTGGTCGTTACCCCAACAAAGTCATCTGAAAATACAACATATAGCATCTTTACTGACAGAACACAGCAACAAAAGCATACTGATTGAACAGCACAGATGTTACCTTCAATACAGGCTCAAGTGTTCATGATAACTGTAATATGTATACTGATGCTACTTGTCAGTATACCTAGTAACAATAACATCAAATAGAACACTGTCACTGTCTGTGTCTTACACTGCAATCACAAGAAGGCCATAAGACTGACGCAGCCAGGGATCAAACCCCAGACCTTCCGCTCTCTGGTAGGACGCTCTACCAGAAGACCATGTAGGCAGTCCTTTACGTATCATGACCAAAACTTGCAAGTGTAAGAACAACAAAAGTTAGTCATCAGCCATTTGAACATGTCTGCTAACTTCCATACGAATATTTCATAGGTTTCAGCAACTGTCAAATTTGATTTTTCCAGAGGGCTCGAAAGGGCCCGTACCCTACCTCTTCTTGTGTGCATGCACCCAACAACACACAATACATGCAGGTGCTTGCATGCCACAGACCGAACATATGTGCACTATGATGGGCATAACATGCAGTCTGAACGAGAGTTTTGCAATATGCTTCAACTTTAAAGTGTTGAAAACAGTAACATTACCTAAATTCATATAAAGTCAAATTATTAATAACAAGGGCAAAAGTGAGCGTGGCTCACCAATACCCCCGACCCGCATAGTGTGTCAGTAGTTTCAAATTAAATAATGGATAGGGTTAGGGTTTGAAAAATTCATAAAAAAATGGAAAATTCATAAAAAAAATATGTTTTCTTTTGACTGCACCCCTCCATATGACACAGATTATATGAACTAAGTTTGAGATGAATCCACTGAATCGTTTAAGAGAAATCACGCGGACAAAGTTTTCGGACAGACGGACAGAACCTTGGTATAACTATAAGAAATATTATATATTATAAAAGATTATGTGTCCAAAGTCACTTGAGTGTAGAACCAGTTTTATATGTATGTCTTTATAGCACCCAAACAACACCCCCAGCTTTGTATCTATACAGCATACCATGCCCCAGTTTGTCTGAGTTGGGTATCCAGGTTAGAGTATATTGATTCCCAAGTGACTAGTCCTTGTGTTATCCTCTAAATGCCTAGGCAGGGAAGTAATAAGTACCATCTTTTAACGATGTGGCCAGATACCATCAAAGTTCCGCTATCTGGGTAGATGCTCATTAATAATCCACTAGACCACAGAGGTGGTCTCTCAGCCCAAGTAAGCTTCTAAGCTTGTGCTACACCCTTTGACTTGAATCAACAAAACAACAAAGTTAAGACACTTGTCTTCTTCTGGGTTGGGTTTAACACCACTTTGAACAGCTATATCACGGCATGTCAGCTTAATGTGGAAGGAAAGCCTAACGAGATGCATCGGATGTTTACCACTTTGGTGAAACCCACAAGCACCGGTATGGTTCTCACAAACCTAGAAACATAACCGGGACAAACCGGGACAAACAAGTCACATGCGGAACATCACAGGATCATTCAACCTGGAACAATCACCCCAGTTTGTGAGACTTGAACATGCAGCCATGCTGAGAGACGTCACCCCACTTTGTGTATCACATCTTCCTGAGGCAAGGGAGTTAACCGAATATTAAAGACCAATTTCCACCCTTGCAGAACTAGGCTGGAATTTCATGGTTATTACGAGTTATGTCCTTTTTATGTCCCTCCTAATGACCATTCAGATTCTATCTCTCACATCACTTGCAATTGCTTCAAACAAAATGGCAGTGCTCTTTCGAGATGCCTTGATTGATAATCAAGATCTATATTGTAATAAAACGGGTCTTTCCCTGCGAAGTGCATCAAATTACTTGAGCACCTTGATTAAAAACATGAAAAGATAAGGAAGAAATATCAATCGACACCCAGTTGATGGTAAACATGCTTTGCAAATCCTGCAGTCAAATGAAATCTGCACGTTGAAAGCATGTTGCTTACGAACCGGATGTCTAATTTTGATTGGACCATGCATAGACTTGTTAGTCCAGCCAAAATATAATTCCAACATAGTTCAGCAAGGGTGGAAACTGGACTTTTATAGCCTCAGGAAGATGGTGTATCAACACTCAGCCATTTTGTACAGCCAGTCCCTACATTGATAAAATCATGCTCCACAACAAAGAATACCATACAAACCTGAAGTGGTCTGATAAACTGAAAATATATTTAATATCTTTAACAAATCGTTTTGTCACATTTTGTAATTGCATCACGAAATTGGTCTCATCCTCTTTATAAAAAGCAATAGTAGACATCCTTTTTTTTGTCAATTGTGACTTTGGCTGCAATGCTTTAATCCTTGAACTGAACTTAGTTGAACAATATTAAGTACCACATCTAGCACCCTGGTCCAATAACCACCCCTGACCAACTTCAGGACCAATTTGTAAATATAGTTCTTGTAAGCGCTGAACATTTTAAAGATGCTCTTGCAGAAAACATACAGAGTAGAAGAGGAAAATAATTGCCCAGGAACTATTATCAAAATTCTTTAAGTTTCTTTGTGTTTCAACTAAATTTGTTCGATTTTCGATCTATGAAAATATATTTAACTTGTGTATGACTTTAATAAGCAACCCCTTTAATCATTTTCCTAAGCATCCAGAGTTCTTGTTACAGTGACTATGGTATAAGCAGTGTACTCACTTCCGCACTGTGTGACTGAGTCTGACCCCACAGCCTCCGTGGTGAGCCCCAGCCCACACGGCTCACAGTAGAAGGTCCCCGGGCCGGGCTGGTAGAACCCCAGTCCACACTGCTGACACTGCCCCACAGTCAGGTTGTAGAAGTTGCCGGTCGAACACGTCACTGGAAGCAGAGTGAACATAGGTTTGTTTGTTTTGTTTGTTTGTTTGTTGATGTGGTACTCAGCAATATTCCTTCTATATGACGGAGGTCTGTAAATAATCAAATCTGGACCAGACAATCCAATGACGATCATGATTGTACCAGCATCGATCCATCTAACTGGGATATGATGACATGCATCAACCAAGGCGAGCCTCACCACCGGATCGCAATCGTCTCTTACAACAAGCACAGTATCCTCTTTATAATGACAAGCATTGGCTGCTGGAGACCTATTCTAACCTGGATATAGTGAATATTGAGGTTAATAAAGCCATCTAAGGAGTCGTCATGAGAGCTGACATGTTTTAAACGGTAAACTGTTATAACTCAGAAATAGTTAGGGCTTTTGTCATCAGAGAATTTTCTTCTTCTGGTTCATTTGCGAAAAGTTTCGGGGTGGACTATGAATATGTTACAATGCTTTTGGAAAATTCCCAGTTCTGAATGGTCAGAGGTTTCAAATCACAGTTACCCCCTCCGATAGAAACCACTGGTCAAAGGGCTTGGTACATAATACATGTCAAGGTTGAATCCTCACCTCTACACTCGTCCTCCGTCTGTGCGCCGGTGTTGGGAGTGGTCTTGCCTCCAGTGCACAGCTGACACGGACTGGACAGTGCTGTCCCCACCTGACCAACGTCCGCCAAGTATGACCCACGCTGACACACCACACACCTGCCCAAATCCGTGTTGAAATAGGTCCCTTGCCCACATTCAGCTACAAATACAACACATGACCTGATGACTGTGACTGGTCTGCCATGTATGTGTTTGTTGTTTAACGCCGCACCCAGCAATATTCCAGCCATATGACGACGGTCTGTAAATAATCGAGTCTGGACCAGACAATTCAGTGATTAATGTTTTGAGGAATGTTCCACACCATCGGGGTACACTGACCAGCCATTAAACAAGTCAGCAAGCTGGACAACCTGTTCCACCAAGTCGCCTTTTACAACCAGCAATTCCAACGCAGAATCACCCCAGCAGACAAAATTCTGATTTTGTGGGTGATTAGACATTGTATAAAAAACATAATTAAATCATTTTGTAATACATATTGTGAGCACCATTACATAATTCCTGATAATGAATTGCAAACAAGAAAATACACCCTTCACCAAAGAGCTGTATCCCTGCTTGAGATATGTACGCATATAGTGAGTGAGTGAGTAAGGTTTACACCGATTTTAGCAATATTTCAGCAATATTTCAGCAATATCATAGAAGGGGACACCGGAAATGGGCTTCACACATTGTACCCACAGGAGGAATCAAACCCGTCTCATCGGCGTGATAAGCAACGCTTTATCCGCCAGGCTACCCTTCAGCCCTGTACCATGGACCAATGGTGTACATCACGTGGTACATGGGGATCCTGATCCAGGGTCCCGGGACAGATGAGTGACTCACCACAACAGTCTCCAGTCAGCTGTCTCCCTCCGTCACATGTCGGAACATCAGCTGTCAGGAACGATGAAACTATCGGAGTACCGATCTGCCAAAACACGCGAAAACATTCATCATCATTCGCATCATAACAGGTGAACAGACAGGGTGTCATTATTTTAAAAAAGGCCACACATTGTTTATTTTTTCGCTTCATGGTCCTGCCACCCCAACTGAAAAGCAGCTGGCCCATGAAATAAACCAAACATTCGGCCTTTTCAACTGCCCTCCTTCATCGGGCAGTTAATGGAAGACCTCAGGCTTCTGCAAATGATAATGCCCTGAAAAATAGCGTTACCCTTATAATAGCCTTCAACACGAGCAGGGCTGTGTTAAACAGTGATCACCAGACTATAGGGCTGGGACAAGTCCAAATTCACTACCCGGGTACCCACTGTAGGTCTCAGGAGATGTCTCATAATGTCCGATTGGGAACATTTTTAGCATAGCCCTGGCAAAATGTATTTAGATACACGTATTAAACAATCTGGTCAATCTGGTTATATCTTTATTCAATCATATGAAAAATCAGAAGGAATGGGTGCATAGTCAGAAAGAAATGCAAACATTAGTGACTTGTAGTGCAACCATAGAGTTCTAGATAATTTTTGTCATTAAACAATATATCACGTGACTAGCCACGGGTCCGGGGAGTCCTGTGGGTACCCAGGTCCTACTCAGTACCCGAGTTACCCGTCCCAGCCCTACTATACCCAGAATGCTCATAATGCCTACCTGGAAGTGGAATTTCTCTTCATCAATGATGGCTACTGCCAAAATCTCTGGTGCCGACATTTTCAAAGAATTGGCATTGGTAAGAGCAGCCCTGAAAGAACAGTTTAATAATAATAATAACAACCATTAAATAACAGTGGATGAGTGTGCAATATTTCAGTTATATCACAGCGAGTAAATTAAATGTAAACGTGAACAGTTGCCTTAGGCCTGTACAACTCACTTGACTGTAAGGAGGCGGACAGTGACAGTCATCATGCGTGTGTCCGGTATACACACAGCACGCACATCCACACTGGAACATGTCACAGCGTTACACAGCTCCTGTCTCCATTGGTTGTTGATCTCTGACAGCGCCCCCTGGATCTGGGTCTGCAGTGTTGCCTCGAGGGATGGGGAGCAGAGGGTTGTCATGAGGAAGTCCATGGTCACGACGATGTCATGCTTGGGGGTGGTGCAGCCTGTCACAGAGAGAGAGAGAGAGTTACTTTACCAGTAACACATATTCCAGCCACATATCACAGATACAGAAGCTCACCTTGTGTTATGTGATTGTTGGTTTCACTGACTGCAAAATATTGCATCCTATATGCCTAAAGATTGAGAAATTACATGCACTACGAACGTCATAGGATGCAAAAAAGAGTAACTTCCCAAGGCAAGGGAGTTAGGTGACTTTAAAAGAGTTATAGCATGGATGGACTAACAAGTCTGTGCATAGTGAAATCAAGATCATGTCATGAACTAGACATCTGGTTCATCAACTGCTGCGCAGATTTAATTTGTTTGCAGGATTTGTAAAGCATGTGTACTACAAACTCAGCGCAAACACATATTTTCCAGTTAACTCCCTTGCTTTAGCAACCCATGCTTGCCGTAAAAGATGATTATGCTTAATGGGATCGGGTGGTCATGATATCAATCACTGGATTGTCTGGTCCAGACTAGATTATTTACAGACCGCCATCATACAGCTGGAATATTGCTGGGTGCGGCGAAAAACAACTAACTGACCAACCAACCCTTGCCTCAGGAAGATGAAAAGAGAGTGGCTATTCAAACCATTTCAACTGAACTGTGAGTTTGGTTCAACCCCATTTTCAACAGTATTATCACAGCATGTCAGCTTGATGTGGGAGGAAAGCCCAAAGAGATGCAGGTCTCAGACATTTACCACTTTGGTGAAACCCTCAAGAACTGATATGTTCCTGACAAACCTAGAAACATCATCAGGGAACCAGGATCACATGTTTCTGGCAAACATTAGGAACTAAACTCCACATAGTGAATAGCATGCTCCTGAATCTAAATGCAGTTAAAATTTGACATTTCTATAAAAATAACCAGACACTTCATGCCACTGTATGTTAATGAAACACTTCCAGAAAAGTGTCAATATTCCAGTCACTCTGTTAAGGAATTCTTTAAGAAATTACAAGCCGAGGGTTTTCCAAATGACCAAATTCTTTCTTCCAAGAAGAACATGACTGACGTAAACTCCACACAGTGTTCTCTGCTACTTACTAGTGCACGCTGACAGCTCGTAGGGCAGTGGAGTATCAGCCTCTGTGTACATGCCGTGGAGGCCGCAGCTGTAGTACTTGGGGCCGGGTGTTGCCATGGCGAAGTTGTTCTGGTTGCACTGCACCGTACACCGGAACCCTCCTTCTATCACGGTACATGTCTCATCACCAAACAGAGGCTGAGTGGGCACCACACACGCTGTGCCTGCAATAGACAGAGGGCTGTCCTCAGGGCCTGGTTCAGGGTGCATGGTATTACTGGTGTATCGGTACATTCAAGTTCATTCTTTACATGTTATGTATCACTGTATCATTTTTACATGCTCGGTACATCAGTTGATGTCAAATCGTGATTGTTTTTGTGTGTTTCATGTTATACACGTGCCAAATACCTTCACTGACCCTGAGTGTACATCAGGGCCTGAGGTTGCTGTGTATTTGTTGACTGAGAAGCCTGTGAGTAAGTGATGTTCATTCAATGTGTTCATAGTTTATTTAATTCAATTGGATTAACATACAATAGTGGTATAAAGGGGGTGATAAAAGTTGGTATATCGTTACTGACTGACATTCTCATCATGAGTTTGAAACGAAAACACCATGCTTACGATGCTGCATTCAAACTGCGAGTTTTCGCTCTAGCTGATATTTTTTCTCACGGGTTCATAATTCTATATACACCGATTCACAAAATGGCGCTTCGTTGTTGATGGGCAACATATAACGATCATTATGAGATTAAAAAAAGACAAGAGAAACAGCTTCCCACATTATGAGAGTCGATTACTGGTGTGTTAAATCTTTATTAGAAATAATAATGACTTTTTCAATATAATTACAACGTTTTTCATCTTATATTATTGAATATCTGCGAGTACCGGCACATGTCTTGCAGTCCGATTTTTTTGCCTTTCACTTCTTGGTTCGGCTTATCTGCCGGTCATATCATTTTCTTACGTATTTCAATGATCAAGTTTATACCTCGGCTTATCTACGGGGTCGGCTTCTCTGCGGTCCTATACGGTAAACTTTATGTTGTACCAGCATCTTGTTTTGTTCTATTCATGAACTTCAATTCATACCTTGATGATACATAGGGGTACCATGTTACACCTACCTTGTACCGATACATACACAGTCAAACACCGTTGTGTCGAGGTTGGAGGGACCTACATAAATACTTCCGAGTTTTTCGAGGTTCTACGCAACCGAAAATGATGAATAAAGAAGGCACATGCAGGGACCAAGGTTTTACTTCGAGACAGCCGACTGTAGACACATAAAGGTTTGACACAATAGTGTTTGACTGTTCTCGAGTCTCAATACATAAGGCTAAAAAAATATAATAGTCTTGTTTCTCAGGCACCGCCCGCATCATCATAAAGTTCGCCACACATTTTGTTTTTATTTCCATTTTTTTTAAAAACCAAAAGAATCCTTACATATTCCAAGTCCAACGGCAGTCAAATATTGTATTCCAGTATTTAACTCACCAAGGAATACATTTATGTAGGGAGGCCCTTTCCCAGGTTGATTGTACACAATTATTGTTTATTGATTCCACAACTGTTTATTGGCTACATACTAGTTTGAACAACAACAACAACAACAAAAAACACACTGTCCGCTCGCACTTTATATTAAAAAAACATTGCCTGAGAACCATTTCTTTTAATTTTTTAAGCCTAATATGCATCTCTTTGCGTGTTCTGGCTAACAAGGTTGTTGTTATCAAGCACTCCTGTCTAATTTTCATGCCTAATTAATGTGGGTCTGATTCAGCATTGTGTGTGGTGAATGCAGGTGAGGTATAACACTAGCCCAGCTAGCCATCACTACTCACTCCAAATACCCAGCAACACAGAGATAGTGTGAAATCCTGAGCTGGGTTTTTAAGCCATATTTTAAAATATCTGATGAATATTTAAAGAAAAAAAACAGGTCTGTACAGCAAATTGATGTGTAAAACTTGGACTATTGTGTTATTTTCCAAATGGAGCTCTATATTCCTGGACTTTTAAAAACCTATCAGAATGTCCATCTATTGTAAAATACCAGTAAAAATCATACATTCAATGGAAATGTTTCTACTTTTATACACTTTCATGTGTATACAGTTTGCGACTCTGTCAGGTTCATTATATCCCACATATTAACATTATTCCTGCTATGTATATTATCTCCACAAGAAGCTGTACTTACGTCTGTTGAACAGCCTGAATGTACAAATGGCTGCATCTCCATCCTCATCACTTCCAGCATACGCCACGCCATACGTCCCCCACGTCACCTTGGTCTCTGAAACACACAGGCACTATGTCAGTGGTCTCACAGATGCTTGTTGAGTCACAGGCACTATGTCAGTGTTCACACAGATGCTTGTTGAGTCACAGGCACTATGTCAGTGTTCACACAGATGCTTGTTGAGTCACAGGCACTATGTCAGTGTTCACACAGATGCTTGTTGAGTCACAGGCACTATGTCAGTGTTCACACAGATGCTTGTTGAGTCACAGGCACTATGTCAGTGTTCACACAGATGCTTGTTGAGTCACAGGCACTATGTCAGTGTTCACACAGATGCTTGTTGAGTCACAGGCACTATGTCAGTGTTCACACAGATGCTTGTTGAGTCACAGGCACTATGTCAGTGTTCACACAGATGCCAGCCTGTCCATACCGATGCTAGCTTAGTCATACAGATGCTGGCTTGTTCACAGAGGTCAGTCAGACAGGTGGTAGGTCAGTCAGACAGATTCTGGCTTGTTCACAGAGGTCTGTCAGACAGGTGATAGGTCAGTCAGACAGATTCTGGCTTGTTCACAGAGGTCAGTCAGACAGGTGGTAGGTCAGTCAGACAGATGCTGGCTTGTTCACAGAGGTCTGTCAGACAGGTGATAGGTCAGTCAGACAGGTGCTGGCTTGTTCACAGAGGTCAGTCAGACAGGTGATAGGTCAGTCAGACAGATGCTGGCTTGTTCACAGAGGTCAGTCAGGCAGGTGGTAGGTCAGGCAGACAGATTCTGGCTTGTTCACAGAGGTCAGTCATACAGTTGGTAGGTCAGTCAGACAGATTCTGGCTTGTTCACAGAGGTCTGTCAGACAGGTGGTAGGTCAGTCGGACAGATGCTGGCTTGTTCACAGAGGTCTGTCAGACAGGTGATAGGTCAGTCAGACAGATGCTGGCTTGTTCACAGAGGTCTGTCAGACAGGTGATAGGTCAGTCAGACAGGTGCTGGCTTGTTCACAGAGGTCTGTCAGACAGGTGATAGGTCAGTCAGACAGATGCTGGCTTGTTCACAGAGGTCTGTCAGACAGGTGATAGGTCAGTCAGACAGGTGATAGGTCAGGCAGACAGGTGATAGGTCAGGCAGACAGATTCTGGCTTGTTCACAGAGGTCAGTCAGACAGGTGATAGGTCAGGCAGACAGATTCTGGCTTGTTCACAGAGGTCAGTCAGACAGGTGATAGGTCAGGCAGACAGATTCTGGCTTGTTCACAGAGGTCAGTCAGACAGGTGGTAGGTCAGTCAGACAGATGCTGGCTTGTTCACAGAGGTCTGTCAGACAGGTGATAGGTCAGGCAGACAGGTGATAGGTCAGGCAGACAGGTGATAGGTCAGGCAGACAGGTGATAGGTCAGGCAGACAGATTCTGGCTTGTTCACAGAGGTCAGTCAGACAGGTGATAGGTCAGGCAGACAGATTCTGGCTTGTTCACAGAGGTCAGTCAGACAGGTGATAGGTCAGGCAGACAGATTCTGGCTTGTTCACAGAGGTCAGTCAGACAGGTGGTAGGTCAGTCAGACAGATGCTGGCTTGTTCACAGAGGTCAGTCAGACAGGTGGTAGGTTAGTCAGACAGATTCTGGCTTGTTCACAGAGGTCAGTCAGACAGGTGGTAGGTCAGTCGGACAGATTCTGGCTTGTTCACAGAGGTCAGTCAGACAGGTGGTAGGTCAGTCAGACAGATGCTGGCTTGTTCACAGAGGTCAGTCAGACAGGTGGTAGGTCAGTCAGACAGATGCTGGCTTGTTCACAGAGGTCAGTCAGACAGGTGGTAGGTCAGTCAGACAGATTCTGGCTTGTTCACAGAGGTCAGTCAGACAGGTGGTAGGTCAGTCGGACAGATTCTGGCTTGTTCACAGAGGTCAGTCAGACAGGTGGTAGGTCAGTCGGACAGATGCTGGCTCGTTCACAGAGGTCTGTCAGACAGGTGATAGGTCAGTCAGACAGATGCTGGCTTGTTCACAGAGGTCTGTCAGACAGGTGATAGGTCAGTCAGACAGATGCTGGCTTGTTCACAGAGGTCTGTCAGACAGGTGATAGGTCAGTCAGACAGATGCTGGCTTGTTCACAGAGGTCTGTCAGACAGGTGATAGGTCAGTCAGACAGATGCTGGCTTGTTCACAGAGGTCAGTCAGACAGGTGATAGGTCAGTCAGACAGATTCTGGCTTGTTCACAGAGGTCTGTCAGACAGGTGATAGGTCAGTCAGACAGATTCTGGCTTGTTCACAGAGGTCAGTCATACAGTTGGTAGGTCAGTCAGACAGATTCTGGCTTGTTCACAGAGGTCTGTCAGACAGGTGATAGGTCAGTCAGACAGATTCTGGCTTGTTCACAGAGGTCTGTCAGACAGGTGATAGGTCAGTCAGACAGATGCTGGCTTGTTCACAGAGGTCTGTCAGACAGGTGATAGGTCAGTCAGACAGGTGATAGGTCAGGCAGACAGGTGATAGGTCAGGCAGACAGATTCTGGCTTGTTCACAGAGGTCAGTCAGACAGGTGATAGGTCAGGCAGACAGTACTGGCTTGTTCACAGAGGTCAGTCAGACAGGTGATAGGTCAGGCAGACAGATTCTGGCTTGTTCACAGAGGTCAGTCAGACAGGTGGTAGGTCAGTCAGACAGATGCTGGCTTGTTCACAGAGGTCTGTCAGACAGGTGATAGGTCAGGCAGACAGGTGATAGGTCAGGCAGACAGATGATAGGTCAGTCAGACAGGTGATAGGTCAGGCAGACAGATTCTGGCTTGTTCACAGAGGTCAGTCAGACAGGTGGTAGGTCAGTCAGACAGATGCTGGCTTGTTCACAGAGGTCAGTCAGACAGGTGGTAGGTTAGTCAGACAGATTCTGGCTTGTTCACAGAGGTCAGTCAGACAGGTGGTAGGTCAGTCGGACAGATTCTGGCTTGTTCACAGAGGTCAGTCAGACAGGTGGTAGGTCAGTCAGACAGATGCTGGCTTGTTCACAGAGGTCAGTCAGACAGGTGGTAGGTCAGTCAGACAGATGCTGGCTTGTTCACAGAGGTCAGTCAGACAGGTGGTAGGTCAGTCAGACAGATTCTGGCTTGTTCACAGAGGTCAGTCAGACAGGTGGTAGGTCAGTCGGACAGATTCTGGCTTGTTCACAGAGGTCAGTCAGACAGGTGGTAGGTCAGTCGGACAGATGCTGGCTTGTTCACAGAGGTCTGTCAGACAGGTGATAGGTCAGTCAGACAGATGCTGGCTTGTTCACAGAGGTCTGTCAGACAGGTGATAGGTCAGTCAGACAGATGCTGGCTTGTTCACAGAGGTCTGTCAGACAGGTGATAGGTCAGTCAGACAGATGCTGGCTTGTTCACAGAGGTCTGTCAGACAGGTGATAGGTCAGTCAGACAGATGCTGGCTTGTTCACAGAGGTCAGTCAGACAGGTGATAGGTCAGTCAGACAGATTCTGGCTTGTTCACAGAGGTCTGTCAGACAGGTGATAGGTCAGTCAGACAGATCCTGGCTTGTTCACAGAGGTCAGTCATACAGTTGGTAGGTCAGTCAGACAGATTCTGGCTTGTTCACAGAGGTCTGTCAGACAGGTGATAGGTCAGTCAGACAGATTCTGGCTTGTTCACAGAGGTCTGTCAGACAGGTGATAGGTCAGTCAGACAGATGCTGGCTTGTTCACAGAGGTCTGTCAGACAGGTGATAGGTCAGTCAGACAGGTGATAGGTCAGGCAGACAGGTGATAGGTCAGGCAGACAGATTCTGGCTTGTTCACAGAGGTCAGTCAGACAGGTGATAGGTCAGGCAGACAGTACTGGCTTGTTCACAGAGGTCAGTCAGACAGGTGATAGGTCAGGCAGACAGATTCTGGCTTGTTCACAGAGGTCAGTCAGACAGGTGGTAGGTCAGTCAGACAGATGCTGGCTTGTTCACAGAGGTCTGTCAGACAGGTGATAGGTCAGGCAGACAGGTGATAGGTCAGGCAGACAGATGATAGGTCAGGCAGACAGGTGATAGGTCAGGCAGACAGATTCTGGCTTGTTCACAGAGGTCAGTCAGACAGGTGATAGGTCAGGCAGACAGATTCTGGCTTGTTCACAGAGGTCAGTCAGACAGGTGATAGGTCAGGCAGACAGATTCTGGCTTGTTCACAGAGGTCAGTCAGACAGGTGGTAGGTCAGTCAGACAGATGCTGGCTTGTTCACAGAGGTCAGTCAGACAGGTGGTAGGTTAGTCAGACAGATTCTGGCTTGTTCACAGAGGTCAGTCAGACAGGTGGTAGGTCAGTCGGACAGATTCTGGCTTGTTCACAGAGGTCAGTCAGACAGGTGGTAGGTCAGTCGGACAGATGCTGGCTTGTTCACAGAGGTCAGTCAGACAGGTGGTAGGTCAGTCAGACAGATGCTGGCTTGTTCACAGAGGTCAGTCAGACAGGTGGTAGGTCAGTCAGACAGATTCTGGCTTGTTCACAGAGGTCAGTCAGACAGGTGGTAGGTCAGTCGGACAGATTCTGGCTTGTTCACAGAGGTCAGTCAGACAGGTGGTAGGTCAGTCAGACAGATGCTGGCTTGTTCACAGAGGTCTGTCAGACAGGTGATAGGTCAGTCAGACAGATGCTGGCTTGTTCACAGAGGTCTGTCAGACAGGTGATAGGTCAGTCAGACAGATGCTGGCTTGTTCACAGAGGTCTGTCAGACAGGTGATAGGTCAGTCAGACAGATGCTGGCTTGTTCACAGAGGTCTGTCAGACAGGTGATAGGTCAGTCAGACAGATGCTGGCTTGTTCACAGAGGTCAGTCAGACAGGTGATAGGTCAGTCAGACAGATGCTGGCTTGTTCACAGAGGTCTGTCAGACAGGTGATAGGTCAGTCAGACAGATTCTGGCTTGTTCACAGAGGTCAGTCATACAGTTGGTAGGTCAGTCAGACAGATTCTGGCTTGTTCACAGAGGTCTGTCAGACAGGTGATAGGTCAGTCAGACAGATTCTGGCTTGTTCACAGAGGTCTGTCAGGCAGGTGATAGGTCAGTCAGACAGGTGATAGGTCAGTCAGACAGATGCTGGCTTGTTCACAGAGGTTTGTCAGACAGGTGATAGGTCAGTCAGACAGATGCTGGCTTGTTCACAGAGGTTTGTCAGACAGGTGATAGGTCAGTCAGACAGATGCTGGCTTGTTCACAGAGGTCTGTCAGACAGGTGATAGGTCAGTCAGACAGATTCTGGCTTGTTCACAGAGGTCAGTCATACAGTTGGTAGGTCAGTCAGACAGATTCTGGCTTGTTCACAGAGGTCTGTCAGACAGGTGATAGGTCAGTCAGACAGATTCTGGCTTGTTCACAGAGGTCTGTCAGACAGGTGATAGGTCAGTCAGACAGATGCTGGCTTGTTCACAGAGGTCTGTCAGACAGGTGTTAGGTCAGTCAGACAGGTGCTGGCTTGGTCACAGAGTTCTGTCAGACAGTTGATAGGTCAGTCAGACAGATGCTGGCTTGTTCACAGAGGTCTGTCAGACAGGTGATAGGTCAGTCAGACAGGTGATAGGTCAGGCAGACAGGTGATAGGTCAGGCAGACAGGTGATAGGTCAGGCAGACAGATTCTGGCTTGTTCACAGAGGTCAGTCAGACAGGTGATAGGTCAGGCAGACAGATTCTGGCTTGTTCACAGAGGTCAGTCAGACAGGTGATAGGTCAGGCAGACAGATTCTGGCTTGTTCACAGAGGTCAGTCAGACAGGTGGTAGGTCAGTCAGACAGATGCTGGCTTCTTCACAGAGGTCTGTCAGACAGGTGATAGGTCAGGCAGACAGGTGATAGGTCAGGCAGACAGGTGATAGGTCAGGCAGACAGGTGATAGGTCAGGCAGACAGATTCTGGCTTGTTCACAGAGGTCAGTCAGACAGGTGATAGGTCAGGCAGACAGATTCTGGCTTGTTCACAGAGGTCAGTCAGACAGGTGATAGGTCAGGCAGACAGATTCTGGCTTGTTCACAGAGGTCAGTCAGACAGGTGGTAGGTCAGTCAGACAGATGCTGGCTTGTTCACAGAGGTCAGTCAGACAGGTGGTAGGTTAGTCAGACAGATTCTGGCTTGTTCACAGAGGTCAGTCAGACAGGTGGTAGGTCAGTCGGACAGATTCTGGCTTGTTCACAGAGGTCAGTCAGACAGGTGGTAGGTCAGTCAGACAGATGCTGGCTTGTTCACAGAGGTCTGTCAGACAGGTGATAGGTCAGTCAGACAGATGCTGGCTTGTTCACAGAGGTCTGTCAGACAGGTGATAGGTCAGTCAGACAGATGCTGGCTTGTTCACAGAGGTCTGTCAGACAGGTGATAGGTCAGTCAGACAGATGCTGGCTTGTTCACAGAGGTCTGTCAGACAGGTGATAGGTCAGTCAGACAGATGCTGGCTTGTTCACAGAGGTCTGTCAGACAGGTGATAGGTCAGTCAGACAGATTCTGGCTTGTTCACAGAGGTCTGTCAGACAGGTGATAGGTCAGTCAGACAGATGCTGGCTTGTTCACAGAGGTCTGTCAGACAGGTGATAGGTCAGTCAGACAGATGCTGGCTTGTTCACAGAGGTCTGTCAGACAGGTGATAGGTCAGTCAGACAGGTGCTGGCTTGTTCACAGAGGTCTGTCAGACAGGTGATAGGTCAGTCAGACAGGTGATAGGTCAGGCAGACAGGTGATAGGTCAGGCAGACAGGTGATAGGTCAGGCAGACAGGTGATAGGTCAGGCAGACAGATTCTGGCTTGTTCACAGAGGTCAGTCAGACAGGTGATAGGTCAGGCAGACAGATTCTGGCTTGTTCACAGAGGTCAGTCAGACAGGTGATAGGTCAGGCAGACAGATTCTGGCTTGTTCACAGAGGTCAGTCAGACAGGTGATAGGTCAGGCAGACAGATTCTGGCTTGTTCACAGAGGTCAGTCATACAGTTGGTAGGTCAGTCAGACAGATTCTGGCTTGTTCACAGAGGTCAGTCATACAGTTGGTAGGTCAGTCAGACAGATGCTGGCTTGTTCACAGAGGTCAGTCATACAGTTGGTAGGTCAGTGAGACAGATTCTGGCTTGTTCACAGAGGTCAGTCAGACAGGTGATAGGTCAGGCAGACAGATTCTGGCTTGTTCACAGAGGTCAGTCAGACAGGTGATAGGTCAGTCAGACAGATGCTGGCTTGTTCACAGAGGTCAGTCAGACAGGTGATAGGTCAGGCAGACAGATTCTGGCTTGTTCACAGAGGTCAGTCAGACAGGTGGTAGGTCAGTCAGACAGATGCTGGCTTGTTCACAGAGGTCAGTCAGACAGGTGATAGGTCAGGCAGACAGATTCTGGCTTGTTCACAGAGGTCAGTCATACAGTTGGTAGGTCAGTCAGACAGATTCTGGCTTGTTCACAGAGGTCAGTCATACAGTTAGTAGGTCAGTCAGACAGATTCTGGCTTGTTCACAGAGGTCAGTCATACAGTTGGTAGGTCAGTCAGACAGATTCTGGCTTGTTCACAGAGGTCAGTCATACAGTTGGTAGGTCAGTCAGACAGATTCTGGCTTGTTCACAGAGGTCAGTCATACAGTTGGTAGGTCAGTCAGACAGATTCTGGCTTGTTCACAGAGGTCAGTCAGACAGGTGATAGGTCAGTCAGACAGGTGATAGGTCAGGCAGACAGGTGATAGGTCAGTCATACAGTTGGTAGCTATCTTGAAGGTTGACTCTTCACCTGGCTTCTTGAATTTCACATTGGCTCCCTGAAAACAATTGCTAGGCTGCAAGGGGAAAATTAAACTTTGAGGCCTGTTTCAGTTACACCACCAGGGCCAATCTAGGATTCAAAACCATCATCACAGGTTTCTGGCACGCTTATGAAACACTGCACAGCGAAGTTTTATTCTTAGAATCCATAGGCAACTGGCCCACCCGTGCCCTCTAGAGCCTAAGCAGCTACAATGTAAATATTCTGTAACTGGGAAAATAATACTTCATGGAACCAGGGGGCACGGGTGGCCCAGATGTCTAAGGCGCCTTGATTAGCTGTGCAGAGTTGCGTCCCTTGGGCATGCCAGGAACCTATGATTGTGGGTTTGAATCCCAGTTAACCCTGATGTTTCTAGGTTTGTCAGCACTACACCCATGCTCGTGGGTTTCACCGAAGTGGTAAACGTCTCAGACCTGCATCACTTTGGGCTTTCCTCCCACATTAAGCTGACACGGTGATATAACTGGAATACTGTTAAAAGCAGTGTTAAACCCAACTCCTTCACTTACTCACTCATGGACCATCGCTATCATTTAACAGTGTTTCAAGTTAAGCATGGAGGTCAAGGGTTTTTTTCCATAACCCTCATGTTGATATTAGATACAAGCTCCAGATTAGAATACTACAGAGCAAACCTCAATGGCCCCAGATACTTCTTTAGTTCAAGTACTTTATAAAATGCTTAGATTATTGTCAAACATTCTGCTGTCAGTTTTCTACTGTGTTATTTTGTATTGTTGTAACTGCACCTACCCCCAGACACATAGTTGGCACGAACTGTGGTGGCACCACTGAACACGGGAACCGGCCATTCTGGGATGGACTCTCGTGGAGGTATCCGCAGCTGGTCATCAGGACAGGAGGTGAGTTGAGGGCTGGACGTCACTGGAAAATATGGTCACAAATTGTTCATGTTATTGGGCAAATAACAACCCACTATGGTGCTACATGTAACATAAATGATCGTTTCAATTCCATGTAGGTTCTCATAAGAAATATTCTGCAAGATTTTGTTCAATCTGTGTCTTTTTCATTTAGGCCACACATTTTTTTTTTTCGTTTCACAGGCCTGCCCCCTGCTGAAATGCAGCGAGTCCAATAAATAAATAAAACACAAATAAACATTATTTTTTTATTGGGTCTTCCGCGAGAAATATAGACTCTCTCATACAGATGAAATGTTATAGGTAAATTCCATGTCTACATCACTATCAGTGATTCAAGAGGCCAGCTGCAGTTTTAACTCAACAGCAGAATGACTTTTGTATGAGGGAAGAATTTCTTTTTGAAAAGATTTAGATTAAATAAACCAAACCCTGTTCCACAAAGCAAGGATACAGCTACTATTCTCTATAAGTCTGTACTAAAGTTTTGGGACTGTCTTAGAACAAAGATTGCTTGATGGAACTGGGCCCCCATGTCACAAAGCGATCTTAGCGCTATGACGAACTGAAGTCGGTTCTAAAGTTTGGGAGCTACAGTTGTCCATGATTCCATGGGCGGTAGTGATAGCACTACATTGTTTGCATGAATAGGTTAAAGTACATTAGTTGTGATGGTTATAGTGCTACAGTCACTTTGTGAAACCAGGACTAGGCCCCTGGAATGAAGTGATGCACTCAATCTCATTAAAATCAGATCTTAGTTCTCGCTACCGCGAGGACATCCCAATACAGGTCACGGATGACCGACCTTTTGTGAACTTTGACCAACCAATAGAATAACTGACAAGAAATTGACTTTAACCAAACAGAAAGTACGGCTCGTAGCTTCTTTGTGCTTTATAGCACCAGTTTCAAACTGGCGACCAAGCTTTGAAAACATATTTTGACAAATTCTTGATTAAAAGTTTAAAAACTGATCAAAAGAACATTCTGGAATGGCTAACAGATGGCCTAGACTGTATGACTTCAGTCACATAGCCGTTAAATTTTATTCAAAATACTCCCTGTTAACTTTTTCGAGATTGCATGATTAGAAAACACATTCCGACTGTCACTTTCCTGATCTGGTAAGCGGGGCTCTGACTGGTCAGTTGAAAAGTTGTTCTGATGTGATGTGTTAAGATCTTTGTTTAGTGGTAGTGAGAACTACAAAGACTTGATAGTCAGAGACTGTGCTGCACTACATGTGTACACTACTGACCTGCATCCAGTGTTCTGCAGCCCTGAGAAGCAGCAGCCACGCACACCCCGGAGGTCAGCTCACTGTTGTAGTCCACAAGTCCATTGATGCCGTCCATCATGTCCGAGGTGAAGCCCAAGATGGAGTCCGAGGGAGTGAAGTCTTTGTTACTGTAAAGGTTTTCTCTCTCAGCAGTTGTCAGTTTCCGTGGCACCAGAGACAGACGGCTAATCCTGCCCACCATCCCGCGTGATTGGTCCACTGTTCCCTTGGAGGAGTCATAGGTTCCGTCCAGAACTAGCCAAATGCTGGAACAAGATGGTGGAAGAATATTTGATACCAGTCTTTGATTAGCAATTAGAATAAAAATAAATAAAAACATTTTTATCCACAAAAAGTTTTATGTCTTCACATGAATATATCTAGACCTCCATAGAAGAGTTTCAAAAGTCCCCCACATTCAGAGGTAGGCACTAACTTTAAGTCAGATGGCCCCAATAAATTTTCTCAAGGGTCCAGCTGTCATGGGTTATCTCAGAGCAGACACATGAACGTGATGATACATGACATCTTGACATGACCCTGTCCATGGAAACAAACATACATGACAACAGTTCCAGGAAGGTACCATCATTATAAACCTACTGCTACTTTTGCCTACTGTATTGTAGATATCTTTCTGTCTCGTAATAACTTCTTGGGAGGTTTTACTTTTTCAAGGTAAGACCTCATCCCTGGTACGAGGTTTTACTTTTTGCAAGTAAGACCTGATGATTTGAGTAGCAGATGGACTTTGAACTTAGTGTTTCAAATGTCCAATGTTCTAAAATGGAAGACAAGACATGAAACATTTTCGTTATGAATGACAGGAATCAAGCCTGCAACCTCACATATCATGTTAAGTTTTGTAACCCACTGTTTTCCCACTGAGAACGCGGCGACAAGTGGGGCAATGACGTTCAATTGTACAGGTCATGAATTAGTATGTCTGAATTAGGGTATGGTTTTATGCTACTTTTAGCAATATTCCATCAATATCACAGCAGGGACACCAGAAAATGGGCTGCACACATTGTGCTAAAGTGGGGAATAGAACCCGGGCCTTCGACGTGACAAGCCAATGCTTTAACCACTAGGCTACCCCACTGCCCCTAGTCATTTCTGAAGGGTTATATTGGTATGTAGGCTGTCAAACATGAACATATGCCAACAAGCATCAATAGATCTGGGTGTGTAGAACGTCAAACATGAACATATGCCAACAAGCATCAATAGATCTGGGCGTCATTCAGTCATTGTGGGTATAAAATGGTTCATTCCAGATGCAACCGAATTGAAAACTTGGAAGTTAAAAATCTGATAATCTGAGCCCTCAATAATGACACTGAGTAACCAAAGCTGCTCCTTACTAAGATGGGATGTTGGTGTTCCAGTTGTACTGCTGCACATTGATGAAAGTCCCATCTATATACACCGAAAACTCCCGGCTGGCGGAGTCCCACACCAGGATGATATGGTGCCAGCGGCCGTCGTCCAGGGAGGTGAAGGAAATCTGAGCCTGCTGTGCGTTGCCTGGATTCTTCACCATCACTCGGTCCTTCTCCAGTCTCAGCAGCTCCTGGGCGGTGCTGTCTATAGTGCTGGAGCTGGAACATTAACACCAATTGTAGCAATTGTTCCGACTGTCTATTAATAGGGACGGTCGCCATATATTCTGGGAGCCTGCATTTTTCTATGAAATAATATTCCTTAAAAATGCTGGAAAAAGCTAATGTCCTAAGGATATGGAAAAACAAAAATACCATTTGCTGGGAATGCTGCGCATTTGGTAACACAATGTGTTGTGGGTAAATACAGTTGACTGGTTCCTCCTCTCCTGTTGTGAAGTGCTGACAGAAACAGTACTCGTCTCAAACCATAACAAGACAGTGAGCAGGGCTCACTAATACCCCCGACTTCGACTCCAACATATTTCTAAATTCAATACATGAAAAAAATCATATTCAGAAAATCTGCTTATAGAAATCAAACTTTGCACTGCACCTCTCCTATTGGTAGAAAAACAGTACCCACAATTTGAAAAGTAGTTTTCTAGTTACAGGTCGCACAAATGCTTTTGTACAAAAATTCTAAGTAAAAAAATGAAAAAGAGCTGTATTTTTTCAAAAATATAAAAATTTAAATCGAACTTCGCACTGCACCTATACGTATAAAAAGTGTTCAAGTAGTAGGGCTGGGATGGGTAACTCAGGTACTCGGGTCAGGTGGGACCTGAGTAGGACCCGGGTACCCACAGGACTACCCGGACCTGTGGTTAGTCACGTGATATATTGTTTAATGACAAAAACTCACTATAGCTCTGTGATTACACTACAAGTCCCTAATATTCGCATTTCTTTCTGACGATGCACACTTTCTGTTTGACTTGTATATGTTTGAGTAAAGATAAATCTTCAGTCAATTTCATTGATCGCATGATCTAAATAGTTTTAGCCAGGGCTGCAGTAAAACAATTACCAATCAGACATTTTGTTCCCTACTCTTGAGACCTGCAGTGGGTACCCGGGTAGGGTCGGGTAATAGGGGGTCGGGTACCCGGGTAGTAAATTTGGACTCGTCCAGCCCTATCAAGTAGGAAAAGAATTTATGGAATAGCTTTTAAGTTATAGGTCACAAAAAAATGTTCTCTGCAGGTGGGACGGATGGATGGAAGGATAGACAGACAGACTTCCTTGGAATAACTATATACCCCAGCCCTTTTTGGTCAGGGGTGTAACAATCTCCCACCTAAAATCATGAAAAGCTTGTTCCCTATATAGTAATGTCCTGATGATGCATCATTATTAATACAGAGAAATCATGGCACACCTGACAGAAACATTCAAAGTAAATACGACATATATCAACACATGTCAATAAGTGAGTGAGTGAGTTAGTTGGGTTTTACGCCGCTTTTAACAGTATTCCAGTTATATCGCGGCATGTCAGCTTAATGTGGGAGGAAAGCCCGAAGTGATGCAGGTCTCAGATGTTGACCACTTCGGTGAAACCCACGAGCATGGGTATGGTGCTGACAAACCTAGAAACATAATCGGGGCGAACCGGGATTCGAACCATCAGTCATAGGTTTCTGCACAGCAAATAGTGGTGCCTTAGCAACTGGGCCACCTGTGCCCCCACATGTCAATAAGAGATTTTTACCTGAGGCCATAGAGTGTAGCAATGATCCCCTGGGGGGTCTGGGCAGTGTACCGGAGCCAGACAGACAGGGAGAGGGACTGAGACCCAAGCTTCTGGGGTGTCGACAGGGCATCCACAAGGTAGGTGCTCGGCCCGGGGAACGCCACATCAAAATCTGCTGACACAGCTGAAACAGTGGACATTGCATCTTGGATACCATTGGAGTTCTCAGAGACCAAGGTTGTTTAGGTTAAATATGTTACATATAATGCAATGTATTGTCACATCCTTGATTATGAGTGAGTGAGTGAGTGAGTGAGTGAGTGAGTGAGTGAGTGAGTGAGTGAGAGTGAGTGAGTGAGTGAGTGAGGGAGTGAGTGAGTAAACATTTGATGTAGCATCGGCATTATTTCAGCCATATATCTACCCTTGATGATGATGATGATGATGATGATTATTATTATTATTTTAGAATAAGGGGCAGCAACACAGAAGCTGCAGTGATGCTGAATGATATGGAGCCAAAGATATGTAAATTGGGATAATGAACAAAGTCACCAAGTCTGACCACCCGATCCATTTAGTCATCTCTTAAGACAGTCATAGGTTGCTGGGGACAGTATTCCTGGAATTCCACAGGTTCACAACCACTGCGGCGACAATTTACTATTATTATTATCCAGTGTAAGAAAGGTGTATTCTGTAATGACATTGTCAAAGGCAGATGTGCCACAGCATCACAGATACTGAGGAGGACTGAATGTTAGATAGCAAGTTTATTAACTAAGCCATGCAACCTCAGAATTATGTTTTTGTTCAGCAAAACTGAGACGACAATTTAATTGAAATTACATAAAAGGATTTGTGCAAAGTCTAATGAAACATACCAGTAATTATTAACGACCAAAATTGTTTAAATTTCTTTTAATGTGGAAAAAAGCTGGGTCTGATAAAATGCCGGCTAAGTCTGCCATCCAGTGCCAACCATTTCAACATGTAACAACACTGTGAATGTGAAGCTAGGAGTATTAGCATGGTACGCTATATTATCATGGTAGATAATTTATAATGGAACTTCGTTAATGGCGAACACTTATAATCCTTTTAAATATGTCGTACGCAAAATGTTTCTTGTTCCTTGTTCAACTTTTATGACACATCAATTACAATTGATCGATGCTGATTTTCTTTACAAAGTTCCTGTCATAAGCGACTCAAGGGCGGGCAACTCTCTATTATCGTGTTATCACTATTTTGTGGTGTGATAAGTGTGGATTACGTGGTTTACATCACTTCCTGTTTTGGATTATGCATACTCAGTATACATTAGACCTAGGTTGGGTCAAGGGACATCGTCCAAACAAATGGATTCTTTTCTAACCCAATTTCAAATGGAGGTAGGGGTAATTCCACTTCAAACACATTCCAGACACTATCATTAAAAGTTAACGTTTATACTTATGAGTAGCCGTGACATACCACAACGAGTCCTGCATTCGATCAAGCGATGAAATATCGTGCATAGATTTGCATAAGTAAACAGTCGACAGGGTGTGTGGATTATGAGATTTACCGCGCTAATGTCATGCTATACCTTTCTGGCAGGTTTCCCCGATCTTGTCTGGCTGACACTGACAGGTGTACGAGTTGATGCCGTCGATGCACAAAGATCCTGTGGGGCACGGGCCGCTGGCACAGTCGTCAGCGTTGGTCTCACACCGGTCACCGCTAGTACCTGGATGACACAATTACCAGCTGAACCATCAAAACAGTTTCACTCTTATTGCACACAGCATGTCAGAGCAATATCTGCCACATTCTCAGCTTATCAGAAGATTGTTCTGTTTGCAGTTTAATGCGCCACTCATCAACATTCCATGAAAATGAAGTTGTTCTGTATTTCTGGACCAGACAATCAAGTGATTTATATTATAAGCAATGTTCAAACAAGTCACACTGATCCTGATCAACCAATTCCAGAATCACCACAGGGGAGACAAGCATGATGTCTGTTTGTTTGTTTTTGTTTGTTTGTAGTTTAATGCTGCACTCAGCAATATTCCAGCTATATGACACTGTCTGTACATAATCAAGTCTCGACCAAACTATCCAGTGACTGACATCATGAGCATCGATCAACACAATTGGGATATGATAACATGCATCAACCAAGTCAGCAGGTCAGACTGCCTGTTCCTGTTAGTCGCCTGTTATGACAAGCATAGTCGCCTTTTACGGCAGGCAGGGGTTGCTGAAGACCTATTCTCAACCCCAATCTTCATGGGCCGATAAGCATGATGTACTGGGGGCCTATTATGCTTCAGAATCATCAAGAAGAAGGTGGACTCCCTACCTGCAGGACAAGTGCACTTGATGGTCCCGAGGTTGTCGTTACACGTCCCTCCGTTCTCGCACGTGGTCGCGCTGCATTCAGCTGTCCTCTGTTCACAGTTGTCGCCTTTTTTACCTGAAAATACACGAGGCTGAGATGATCATTTGCTGTCACCTTGGACGCAGTGTCAGTTTAATGTGCAAAGAAAGGCCACAGTGATGCATGTACCCACAACCAGAAGTAGGGTGTTGTCAATCCAAGAAGTATGACGAGGGATTCGGACCCATGATCACTGGATTCTTGCATGACTAAGGGAGACTACTCTTACAGCAATATCCCTTGTGTTAGATGGCTGGGCCAGGAAATGAATAAGATGTACTTATTGCGTAAAACATATAGTTTTTTAGCAGGATATAAATTAGCAGGCTCCTGCTGGACAGTGTCTATGAGCATTTTCTGGACCAGTGCAAGTTGCAGTGATACTGGACACAAGAGTTTTCGAGCTGAGTTCTTATATCTCCTAAAGTTTAAATGGTAAGATCAGGCCAGGGCTCCAGATATCATTTTTGAGTCATTAAGAATTCATATATTGTATATATTTACTTTTTGGATCAAGTCCATTGGGTGTTGTCAACCAATGAGTCGACTTTGAAAAATGATTCCACTTCTGTTGGTTGGTTGTTGTTTTTTTTGGTTAAATGCCGCACTCAGCAGTATTCCAGCTTTATGAGGTCGGTATGTAAATAACTGAGTCTGGACCTGACAATCCAGTGATTGATATCATGAGCATCGATCCACGCAATTTGCATCGATGACATGCATCAACCAAGTCAGCGAGCCTGACCACCCGATCCCGTTAGTCGCCTTTTATGACAAGCATAGTCGCCTGTTACGGCAAGCATAGTCGCCTGTTATGGCAAGCATAGTCGCCTGTTATGGCAAGCATGAGTTGCTGAAGACCTATTCTACCCTGGAATCTTCATGGAACTTCTACCTCTGTGCTGTTACACATTCAGTAAATTATGTTTATAATAAACACGCTTATAACAAACTGACGGATATAATAAACTGGTTTTTTTGTCCTGGCCATTTGCTCTGAATATGCTGTGTGTATATATATATGTTTATAGCAAACTGTGGTTATAATAAACTAAAATCAGTGATCCTCTAGTTCGTTATAACCATAGTTTACTGTAACTTCTAATTGTCATGTGTTCATGTGCTCCCCTGGTGATGTATTTAAGAAATAAACTACAAGTGGAAGTAATTCATCATACAACAAAACACTGCGGGGAGGGAAAAACATGAGGGGTGAAGTCCTGAGTGGTTTAATCTCCCTGCAGCGTTTTATTGTACCATAAACAACGACCATGGGTCTCTCCCACTTTGGAATGCAATTGTTCGGCCACTGCGTTATCTGCGTAGCCCAGCTACATCTATGGGGAACAACTTACTAGACACTACCCTCTCAAAAATAATGTCCTTCAATATATGACGTCATTAATTTGCAAGCGCATATTCGAATCTCAAGAAATGACATCATGACAATGTTTTATCGTGAAATAAACCATGCTTCCTTCTTCTTTGTTCTTTGCAATTTATCGTGTGGCTGTCTTATATAATCTCATATCAGTGATACATGCCACAGGTGCAATAAGCAGGATGTTGCACATTTGCGCATTATTCCCTGCACTATATATCATCTGATGCCTGCATTCAGTCAGAAATAAAAAGACACATAAAAGACGTGTACACAATTTGGACAAGAGTCATCAGAAAGATGACCTTTCCCCCCAGCAGCTGTCTGTAAAGTAACCACAAGTAAATGTGCAATTCTGTATGTAATGAGTCAAGAGTTGAATGTTCTTGAAGAAGCATACATTGTTTACCAACAAAAGATCAACCATGGTCGCATCCATATGAAATGGAAAGTAAAATAAGTGTGTTTCTGTGGGTTTTTTTATGCAAACAAATGACAAATTAGAAACAATAACTAAACAAGCATATAGTCAATGAATTCATCCATATCCCCCGCCCATTTTTACAAGTTATGGTCCCAAACCAGAAAACTGACCCAACATTTCTCTTAGCCCATGTCAAAATAGCTGCAAAGGAAATTCTAAAATAAACATTTCTAAAACTCCTTAATATCAAATGGCACCAGTTCAGTATGTGCTTTATATGAAGACATGCAATGTTTGGCAAGCAAATACTTAACAGTTTATTTGTTACACTCCATAAGTGAAGCCACCCTACATTAAAATTTAAATCAAACTTGTTGCCATGAAAACGTAAAAAATAAAAATTTATAAAATTCCTAAATAGCAAAAGGCACAAGCTCAGTATGTGCCTGATAGACATGCAAAGTTTTGTAAGAAAGTATTTAACGGTTTTTGAGTTACGCTCTGGAAACGAACACCACCCTTATAGAACCTAAGTCCAACTTGTTGCCATGGAAATGTAAAAAATAAAAATTCCTAAATTTCCTAAATAGCAAAAGGCACCAGTTCAGCATGAGTCTGAGAGATATGCAAGTTTTGTTAGAAAGTATTGAATGGGTTTTGAGTTATGCTCCGGAAACGAACTCCACCCTTATAGAACCTAAGTCCAACTTGTTGCCATGGAAATGTAAAAAATAAAAATTCCTAAATTTCCTAAATAGCAAAAGGCACCAGTTCAGCATGAGTCTGAGAGATATGCAAGTTTTGTTAGAAAGTATTGAATGGGTTTTGAGTTATGCTCCGGAAACGAACTCTACCCTATAGAACCTAAGTCCAAATTGTTGCCATGGAAACGTAAAAACCAAAAATTTCTAAAATTCCTAAATAGCAAAAGACATCAGTTCAGTATGTGCCTGGTAGACATGCAAAGTTTTGTAAGAAAGTATTTAACAGTTTTTGAGTTACGCTCCGGAAATGAACACCACCCTTATAGAACTTAAGTCAAACTTGTTGCCATGGAAACGTAAAAAAAATAAAATTTCTAAATAATAAAGGCACCACTTCAGTATGTGTACGGATGGACAGACTGGCTGATGGCTATTTCTTAAAAAGCTACATAGTGACACCTAACTGGCAGTAGTCATTGTAAGTCACGCCTACCTGCAGCACATTCACAGACGGCCTTGTAGCCGTTGTTAAGACAGGTGCTCCCTGAGCCAAGACATGGCCTGGATATAGTGCAGACATCGTACACACCACTGCAGGTCAACCCCAGGAAGCCAGGCGGGCATCTGAACACAGGAACATACAAGAACATGCATTCGGTGAACACAGGAACATACAAGGACAGGCATTAGGTCAACACAGGAACATACAAGGACAGGCATTAGGTCAACACAGGAACATACAAGAACATGCATTCGGTCAACACAGGAACATACAAGGACAGGCATTAGGTCAACACAGGAACATACAAGGACAGGCATTAGGTCAACACAGGCACATACAAGAACATGCATTCGGTGAACACAGGAACATACAAGGACAGGCATTAGGTCAACACAGGAACATACAAGGACAGGCATTAGGTGAACACAGGAACATACAAGGACAGGCATTAGGTCAACACAGGAACATACAAGGACAGGCATTAGGTGAACACAGGAACATACAAGGACAGGCATTAGGTCAACACAGGAACATACAAGGACAGGCATTAGGTCAACACAGGAACATACAAGGACAGGCATTAGGTCAACACAGGAACATACAAGGACAGGCATTAGGTGAACACAGGAACATACAAGGACAGGCATTAGGTCAACACAGGAACATACAAGGACAGGCATTAGGTCAACACAGGAACATACAAGGACAGGCATTAGGTGAACACAGGAACATACAAGGACAAGCATTAGGTCAACACAGGAACATACAAGGACAGGCATTAGGTCAACACAGGAACATACAAGGACAGGCATTAGGTGAACACAGGAACATACAAGAACATGCATTAGGTGAACACAGGAACATACAAGAACAGGCATTAGGTCAACACAGGAACATACAAGGACAGGCATTAGGTCAACACAGGAACATACAAGGACATGCATTAGGTCAACACAGGAACATACAAGGACAGGCATTAGGTCAACACAGGAACATACAAGAACATGCATTAGGTCAACACAGGAACATACAAGAACATGCATTAGGTGAACACAGGAACATACAAGGACAGGCATTAGGTGAACACAGGAACATACAAGGACAGGCATTAGGTCAACACAGGAACATACAAGGACAGGCATTAGGTGAACACAGGAACATACAAGGACAGGCATTAGGTCAACACAGGAACATACAAGGACAGGCATTAGGTCAACACAGGAACATACAAGGACAGGCATTAGGTCAACACAGGAACATACAAGGACAGGAATTAGGTGAACACAGGAACATACAAGGACATGCATTAGGTGAACACAGGAACATACAAGGACAGGCATTAGGTCAACACAGGAACATACAAGGACAGGCATTAGGTCAACACAGGAACATACAAGGACATGCATTCGGTGAACACAGGAACATACAAGGACAGGAATTAGGTGAACACAGGAACATACAAGGACAGGCATTCGGTGAACACAGGAACATACAAGGACAGGCATTCGGTGAACACAGGAACATACAAGGACAGGAATTAGGTGAACACAGGAACATACAAGGACAGGCATTAGGTGAACACAGGAACATACAAGGACAGGCATTAGGTGAACACAGGAACATACAAGGACAGGCATTAGGTGAACACAGGAACATACAAGGACAGGCATTAGGTGAACACAGGAACATACAAGGACAGGCATTAGGTCAACACAGGAACATACAAGGACATGCATTAGGTCAACACAGGAACATACAAGGACAAGCATTAGGTGAACACAGGAACATACAAGGACAAGCATTAGGTGAACACAGGAACATACAAGGACAGGCATTAGGTCAACACAGGAACATACAAGGACAAGCATTAGGTCATCACAGGAACATACAAGGACATGCATTAGGTCAACACAGGAACATACAAGGACAAGCATTAGGTGAACACAGGAACATACAAGGACAGGCATTAGGTCAACACAGGAACATACAAGGACAAGCATTAGGTCATCACAGGAACATACAAGGACAGGCATTAGGTCAACACAGGAACATACAAGGACAGGCATTAGGTCAACACAGGAACATACAAGGACAAGCATTCGGTGAACACAGGAACATACAAGGACAGGCATTAGGTCAACACAGGAACATACAAGGACAGGCATTAGGTCAACACAGGAACATACAAGGACAGGCATTAGGTCAACACAGGAACATACAAGGACAGGCATTAGGTCAACACAGGAACATACAAGGACAAGCATTAGGTCAACACAGGAACATACAAGGACAGGAATTAGGAATACATGTAGCAAACAGTTTGTTTCATGTTTATACCTCCATAGACACAAAAACATATGAATATAAATATGATAGGTAAGGCTAACTGGTAATAAGGCCACCTGGTCAGTATTGAGTTAAAATGGATTCATAAACTACAGTGTCAACCCTCCAACATAACTAAAACAAGCACAAAATACTCATATCCCCCGCCAATATGACATGTCCGCTTGTGTGCAAGGCATTAGCCCTCCGGAAACAAGCACTACTGCCATTTTTAGTCTAAGTCAAAGTTGTTGCTATGGAAACTCGAAAAATAATTTTTTCAAAAATCCCAAACTATCAAGAGGCACCAGTTCACCACTAGACCTATCTATGTGCCAAGTTTTGTTGAGATATCTCTCATGATTTTTCAGTTCTGCTCTATAACGAAATATGACGGACGGACTGACAGACAGCACCCATTCCTATATCCCCCTTCCACTTTGTGGCGGGGGATAGAAATTAACTGAATAGCTTTAGACCTGACGATGCAGTGCCTTGTCAATTGTTTTTTCACTCGTATTACACCCATAAAATAATCATTCAATTAATGATATCTCCTAAACGGTGATTGACCAGGTGGTCCCATTACTGATAGCCTTCCCCAATCATACAGTCGAACGTCATTGTGTTGAACTCCTGGCGACCTGGAAAAAGGACCGAGTTATCTGGGTTCTAGACATCAGGAAACCTATATGCTTAATTTGGATAATTGGGACTCCCAAATGTGTCAGAGACAAACAGGAATTCGACACATCCAAGTTCGACACAAGGAGGTTTGACTGTATGTCAACAGCTTCACAGAGTGCCTCTTTAATCATTAACACAAAAACACTGTAGAGATATTAATATGAAATCTGTGCTATAATATAACATGAGCCCTGCGCAATGAATTACGAGCAAATCAGGAAACAACACACCACTAATGGTCGTGGCATATTTAATACCGGTTTTAGGAGACAATTATTTGCCACAGAATAACTCGCAATTTACTTATTCAAGTATAGCAACAAGGGAGGGAGGGAGATATTGACCTCATATATAGTCATATAATTGTATGACTTACTTGCAAACAAATGAAGTATCCGAGTTGATGCAGGTGCCCCCGTTGATGCAAGGGGTGCCGGTGCAAAACTCGATCCTTGTCTCGCAGTCCTTGCCAGTGAAGCCGTTGGGACAGCTGCAGACGTAGGCGTTGGTGCCGATGTCGATGCAGGTGGCGCCGTGGCGACATGGGAAACTCTCACAGTCGGTATCCCCCTTCTGTTAACAGCAGCAAACACCATATGTAAGGTTTGACTTGCCCACAAACACCATATGTAAGGTTTGACTTGCCCACAAACACCATATGTACGGTTTGACTTGCCCACAAACACCATATGTAAGGTTTGACTTGCCCACAAACACCATATGTAAGGTTTGACTTGCCCACAAACACCATATGTAAGGTTTGACTTGCCCACAAACACCATATGTAAGGTTTGACTTGCCCACAAACACCATATGTGAAGTTTGACTTGCCCACAAACCCCATATGTGAAGTTTGACTTCCCCACTAACACCATATGTGAAGTTTAACTTCCCCAGTAACCACTTTAGACCAGCTTAGTTTGTCTGTTTTCAGTTCCTGACTTTTACAGCTTTTATCATCATACTGGTATTACCTGTATATAATAGCACTATCTAATTGTTGTGCTTCTCTGTAGATAAATCAGTAATTTAACGAAATATTTAAAAAAATATATATTTGATAACATAGGGGGAGGGGGCTTAACATTACAATATCTTGTAGGAAAACTAAAAAATCCTACAACTATCCACCTGTCTCACACTGGTAGTCAGGTGGCAATGTCTTCCTCCATACACATTTGTGAAATAAATAAATAAATAATTAAATAGGATCTACCAACTTGATTCTTTCCTACTTATGCCTCAAAGTGAGTTTGTTCGGTGGTCTGATATTAATGGAGCCAAGACCAGACAAACTAGTGATTCATATTTTGACCAATGTGCCAAGTCCTAGAGTACGATGACACCATCAGTCAAGTCAGAGCTTGACCAACCCATCAGTAAGTTGCCTCATACAACAAGCATAGGCTGCTGGAGGTCAGTTCCAAGCATGGTAGACTATGACAGGCATGGAGAACTGTGTACGCACCTAGAGTCATTCAGCTGATCATCCAACTTTTAAACATTTAAGAGAGTGAAAAAATTTCACTATTTTGAAAAGTAGTGTCATGGTGTGTCAATTTTATGTGTGCGGAAAACTTACTTTATTACCTCTTCTTGCAATTAAAGAGTAATATTTTGAAATAAAACCATTTTATCTTCATCAAAGTGACAAGAAAATGTGACAGGCAGTATTTATTCAAATTATTTCTTTTATCCAACTATAGTCTAAAATGGCAAATCAGTTGTTACAATAAAATAATACTTGATCTATGAGTGTGAAGTTTCTACATGTACTAAATAATAAACAAGAAATAAATATACCAGTATCTGTAAAAAAAATTCTAATTTGTATATTTAATTCAGAAGGATGTTACAGTCATTTATTTGGTGTTTTGTGTTAGTTTTCCAAAATATAAATAAAATTTGAAAAAAGGATTTGAAAAACACCTTAAAAGACAAGTGTAAAAATGGTATACAAACAGAGTTCATACTTGGACATTAATGTTCACTAATACATAATTTCATGCACATGCACATGCATAATCATGCATACAACTTATCCTCGTCTCTGTGACTACAAAGACTTTTCACAAGTATCCCACACTTCTGTGATACAACCCTGTGTACAACAATATGATGACCTGATGACCTGATGACCAGATGACCAGATGACCTGATGACCTGATGATCTGATGATCTGATGAGGCCAACAAACTTGCTGGTGAACTTGTGCTAACAAGACCAAGTGACCATGACCTTCACTTGGGAAGAAGCTAACATGCAATGACTACATGCTGACATCTTCAGACTGAAGACAGTGAAAACACGATGTGAATCTAAACTAAGGATGACTTACAATTAGAGATTCCTGGAATAGAATAATACTGTAAGTAATATGTGGACACAAACGTAGCTTCATTTTCCATAGATTTTAAGAATAATAATATGGACTAGCAGCTGGGCTTGCTTGACCTAACCAAATTCTAATATATTCAGACTAGTGGATTTTTTGTTCGTTTGTTGTTTAACTGCATTCAGCAATATTTCAGCTTTATGATGGTGGTCTGTAAATAATCGGGTCTACACCAGACAATCCAGTGATTGACATCATGAGCATTGATCTACACAACTGGGATACGATGATGCATCAACCAAGTCAGCGACCTATGATGCAGTCATTTCAGATAGGTTTACATGAGTTAGGGATGAAGCTCAATCTCATTAAAATCAGATCTTTGTTCTCGCTATCACTAAACAAAGACCTGAGGACATCCCATTAGGAGTCACGTCAGAGCGACCTTTCTTCCAACCAGTCAGAGCGTCGCTTACCAGATCATGAAAGTGACAGTCGGAATGTGTTTTCTAACCATGCAACCACGAAGTATTTAACAGAGGGTATGCCAAACGACAGTTATGGGTTTTATGATAAAACCCATACAATCTAGGCCATCTGTAAGCCATTCCAGAGTGTTCTTCTTATCAGTTTTAATTTTTTTAATCGAGAATACGTCAAAATATGTTTCGAAGCGTAGTCGTCAGTTTGAAACTAGTGTTGTAAAGCTCGAGAAAGCTGCCTTCTGATTGGCTAATGTCGATTTCTTGTCAGTCATTTCATTGGTCGGTCAAAATTTGCGAAAGGTCGTTCTGACGTGAACTGTAATGGGATGTCCTCAGATCTTTGTTTAGCGATAGCAAAAACTAAGATCTGATTTTAATTAGATTGGGATGAAGCAGCTTAGACATCTGGGACACCCTAGCCCCACAATTCTGAGGAGACTCACGGAGCAGTTCTTGCCGTAGTATCCTTGTCTGCATGTACACTGGTAGTCCTTGAACAAATCATTGCAACGAATGGTCCCCACAATGTCACAAGGGAACGGGGTGCAGTCATTGTGTAGATCTTCACAGTTTTTGCCTGTTGATGAAAACACATTGTTGTTATACCTGATAAACATTTGGCTTCCTCTAAAGTAACTGAACCGAATTATACCTGTACGAGCGAGGTGCACATCAATTAATAAACACATTCACAAGATTTCTGACATTATCATAAATATCATCATTTATAACTATTGTGATATGTGGTCAAATATATGATATAAGACCTTGTCCACTCTACTGATTATGTAACAAGAATGAATTTACACAAGATGACAATGCCTCTCTTACATTTCATTATTTACATTTAACAGGAATAACTTTCTGTTACTTTAATTGCACAAATGAATTAAAATTCAAATAACAATACCTGCTAATATTTTCTTATCACTTACAATTTATAAAGTGACTGTTTTCTTTTCATGCTTTTTCAATGATTAAATTATTGATACTTTAATTGCATGAATGAATTCAAACATATATTTATTTCTTAATTACAAAAGTCTCATTCATTCATGTTTATTTCAAAAGAATACAGTTTACCAATGCTGACTCCAATATATAACAGGAATAACAATAGTTATAGATATGTATATACAATCTTCAGCATGCGATTCCATGCATTTTTAAAATCAAATAATAAATATCTTTAAGTGTCACTTTTAGCTAATCAGTGAAATACATCGATGTGAATGCTCTTAATCTAGTCAGTGAATGAGTTGGGTTCTTGGAAACTTTGCAGCAATATAATGCATGAAACCACTAGACCATCACAAATAATTCAATTTTAATCTGCAAAACAGAGCCTCAATGACGTAATTCATGCAGTTTTGAGGAAATCTGTTGTTATGTGGTTGTGATTACATGAAACCTATAGATGGGACTGGAAACAAGCCGTGACCAATACAGACAACACAATGCTAAAAAACTGTTTGATTGGTAATTTTCAAAGTTGGTAAATAGTAAAGACAAGATATTTTTTGAATGACAACTTTTTTATTTAATATTTGTTTTGTTTGTTTGTTTGTTGTTTAACGTTGCACTCAGCAATATTCCAGCTATATGACGGCGGTCTGTAAATAATAAAGTCTGGACCAGACAATCCAAGGATTGACAACACAAGCATCGATCCACGCAATTGGGATCTATGACATGCATCAACCATACCAAGTCAGCAAGCCTGACAACCCGATCCCGTTAGTCGCCTCTTACGACAAGCAAAGTCGCCTCTTACAGCAAGCTTGGGTTGCTGAAGACCTATTCTACCCCAGATCTTCACAGGCCTCTTTTTTTTATTAAGGATCTATACCAAAACATCACATCCTAATGAATAAATAAGTCATCCATAAAATATCTAGTCTTTATGAACACAATGCTATCCTCTCATCTTGCGAGCAATAAAATTTGTTGTTTGGTTGTTTTAGAAATTAAAAAAAACAAATGAAATTATATAATTATAAGGTTTCATCCACACATGCTGTAACGACAGTGATCCCGCTGGCTTTAGAAACTGCCCGGCCTGGGGGACTAGCAACTCTCAAAATTACCATCCCCCTAATTTTTGTCAGTCCCAACTTTAACAAAAACGCATGAAAATTACCAGGTTTTAATTTCAGTAATATGTTCAATTTATCTCTGAAGTAACCTAATTAGATCTACATGTCATTAACACAAAGTTTAGTCACAATTTTCTCTTTTGTTTTGAATATTTCGAGACTAAGTCGCCACAAATATACATTTAACCTTGAAGCAAAGTGAAATTTTATTTCCTTGACTGAAAATAGACAAGGGAAAGCCCTGACAAGCTGACTTTGTTCGAAAAACATACTATTATGAACATCTCTGATGTTTTGTTCAACAGAAAATATTTATATAAGGTACTTTATTTGCCGGTCCACAGGGAATGGCAGTCACATGAATTACCGGTCCAAGCCTAATTTTACTGGTAAAAAACTGGTGATTACCTGTAAACGGGAACACTGTGTAACGGTTTGGTAACATACAAATATCACCCGTTTCACTTCTCAGGCAGTAATTATCTGTCTAAAAAGTCCATCACTAAAAAAGTCTTCATTAATGATTCAAAACAATCCAAATATTGTTAGTAGCAAGCACTATCATTGTTAGAACGGCAGGATCTAAGCACTGAAATATCCCTTGTAGCATTAGGACAAACAGGGAACCTTTCCCATGAGTTAGAACTACGATCTTAAATGACATACAATCTCAACCAAATCAGATCTTTTACCCTAATACGATACTTAAGCTGTATAAAACCTTCTATAGACCACATCAAGTGAATATATTAATAAGCCAATTAGTGCCAAGGCTGGAAAATCCTCAGTAAAAGTGAGTGAAGCCTCCAGAGCAGTACCATCTTCCTGAGGCAAGGGAGTTAGTTCACTGACTATACATATAAAAGCCCTGGGAAAACTCTAGAAATACAACCGACTATTCAGACATACCAGGATTTGGTTGGGCAGAAATGGCAGGTACATAAATATATTTCACATATATTTGTTTGTTGTTCAACTCCAGCTACACGATGGCAAACCAGTGATCGATATCATGAGTAACATCCCATTGCTGTGACACACAATAAACCTGCTTCTCATATTAATTGCCAAGAAAATCCGTAAAAACAAGAAACGACCTGACTGTTTTGTCATGTAAAAGTACATGTACCTTGATCACAAAAACTATGCATTCCATGTAGGGCTGGGATGGCTAACCAGAGCTACAGATAAGCTGCGTATTTGCATAAAATAACCCCCCAAAATATTCAAAACCCAATTACATTCAATTAACTTGCATACTGAAATGCATGTATTGAATACAAAACTTAAATGTATAATAACAGCACCCGTAAATACCCAATGAAGCTTTTTCAGCATGCGTACAAAGGAGCTAACTTCCGAAAGACAATAATGAGCTAATTTACTTTCGGAGTCAAGACTATATATTTAGAACAGTTATATACATCTAAAACATTATTTCATTTTTTTAAATCTTAAAATGTTCACTAATATTTTACAAGGAAAAACCCAACAGAATGATGAATAGATGAGTGAAAAAATATTGGTTACCTAATGAAAAATGTAACAACCCAATTAAAATAGAAACCCTAGAGTAAAAACTCAATTGTTCAAAATGTTTTCTGGAGCTCTGGGTAGCTCAGGTCGGGTGGGTTCTGAGAAGGACTACCCGGACCCGTGGTTAGTCTTGTGATATATTGTTTAACTGACAAACATTATCGAGAACTCCATGGTAACACTACAATATACGTATTTCTTTCTGACTATGAACTTCTGACTTTCATATGTTTGAATAAAGATAAAGCTTCAGTCAACTTCAGTGAACGCATGATCAGATCATGTTATACGTGTATCTAAATACATTTTGCCAGGGCTAAGGTCAAACTATTCCCAATCTGACATTTTGTACCCAATTCTTGAGACCTGCAGTAGGGTCGGGTAATAGGAGGTTGGGTACCCAGGTAGTAAATTTGGACTCATCCCAGCCCTAATGCCATCCACAGTACCGATCTGAAGAAGATGGAGACAAGACTACCCCAAGATATATATTCACAAAGGGTTACGAATGTATATCAATACATGAACATGGATGGAGGTGAACTAAAGCAAGCACAGATGGCTAGAAGGGAGAATGTTCTACTTACCGTAGGTAGAATTAGCATCTATACACACGTAAGCAAGACATTGTTACATAATATAACTAACGGCTACATAGTTACTCAGGGCAAAAACATGTTGTGGTTCCAGTAATTGTTCCCGCAGATCAAACAGATAAGGAACAGGCCATTTAATATTCGGGAGGGGGTTGGAGGGGTGAAAGAACAAAATTTATCCAGAAACTTCTACAAAAAATAACCCAACCTCAGGTTTTACCCCCAAAACAATATCCGTACAAAAACGTATTTTGAGTGAGTATGCTTTTACCCCGCTTTTAGCAGTATTCCAGCAATATTACGGCAGGGGCACCAGAAATGAGCTTCACACATTGTACCCTTGCGGGGATTCGAAACTGGGAACCTGACAAGTGAACACTTTCACCATAAGGCTACACCACAGTCCAAAAATGTGTTGTGAACAGAAATATGTTCAAATTCTTTCTGACAAAAACTCTTGACTCTTGAAGCGGTGACAGAGAAACCTTGACTCCACCCTGCACACGAACTGGACATTTGTTAAGAACAAATGCCGTTTTTTTAGTTAATATGGTACACTACTGACAACAGTGTTCGAGTAAGGGAAAGAGGGGAATCAGAGCCACAACATGTTCCTGTTCTAGTCGGCATGCAATTACGCTACAATTAATCTCAATTAGTATTTGTCGGATTTGGAAGCAATGGCAGCTAGACTCCTACACAGTTGATATAGTTCTATAAGGTATGGACAAGCAGATCCAAAGCATTATACAATGTGTGATACACTGAATTATCAGACTTATGCCTTCTGACAAGTTCTATATAGGGTTTGTTTGTTTGTTGTGTAACTCAGTTGCCAATCTTCCAGCTATATCAAGGTGGCCTGTTAATTATTGAGTCTGACACCAACAAACCAACAAGTGTTTAATATGCTGTTTGATATGATATTTGTTTGTTTTGTTTGTTTGTTTGTTGTATAACGCCACACACAGAAATATAACACTATGACAGTGTTCTGTAAATAATCAAGTCTGGGCCAGATAATCCTGTGATTGATATCACAAGCATCGATCCAGGCATTTGGGATATGATGACATGCATCAACCAAGTCAGCGAGCCTGACCACCCGATCCTAATAGTTGCCTCTCACGGCAAGCATGGGTAGCTGAAGACCAATTCTAGCCTGGATCTCCATGGGTCTGGTGTTCATAGTGTTGACAAGAAACAAAATATTCAGTTTTAGATATCCAGTGTTTGTTGTTTAACGCCACACCCAGCAATATTCCAGCTATATGAAGCGTTCTGTAAATAATCCAGTCCAGACAATCCAGTGATTGATATCATGAGCATCAATCCACGCAATTGGGATTGATGACATGCATCTCAACACCAGGTGTCTCTGAGCTAGGACTTTCATGAGCCTGTGAGGTGGTCTTAACACCAGGTGTCTCTGAGCTAGGACTTTCATGAGCCTGTGAGGTGGTCTTAACACCAGCTGTCTCTGAGCTAGGACTATTATAAACCTGTGAGGTGGTCTTAATGCGAGGTCTCTGAGCTAGGACTATAATAAGCCTGTGAGGTGGTCTTAACACCAGGTGTCTCTAAACTAGGACTTTCATGAGCCTGTGAGGTGGTCTTAACACCAGCTGTCTCTGAGCTAGGACTATTATAAACCTGTGAGGTGGTCTTAATGTGAGGTCTCTGAGCTAGGACTATTAAAAGCCTTTGAGGTGGTCTCAATGCGAGGTCTTTGTGCTAGGACTATTATAAGCCTGGGAGGTGGTCTTAACACCGGGTGTTTCTGAGCTAGGACTATTATCAGCCTGTGAGGTGGTCTTAACACAAGGTGTCACTGAGCTAGGACTATTATAAGCCTGTGAGGTGGTCTTAACACCAGGTGTCACTGAGCTAGAACTATTATAAGCCTGTGAGGTGGTCTTAACACCAGGTGTCTCTGAGCTAGAACTATTATAAGCCTTTGAGGTGGTCTTAACACCAGATGTCTTTGAGCTAGGACTAATATAAGCCTGTGTGGTGGTGTCAACACCAGATGTCTCTGAGCTAGGACTATTATCAGCCTGTGAGGTGGCCTTAACACCAGGTGTTTCTGAGCTAGGACTATCATATGCCTGTGAGAGTATGGAAGAGTCTGGCATTATGTCAGTGTTAATAAATGTCAAGTTGGTGCTGTCTGTGAGTGCTGTGCCAGTGCTCCTCAAACAGCAGTGCATGCAAGTACAACACCACTGATAGGCTGGAGAGATCAAGTAGGAACTACAGCAGGCCAACGTAACTAAGCCTGTTATCAAGAGACAAACCCCTCCAACAAAAATATACTGTAAGCAGCTGTAAATCATCAAGTCTGGGCCAGGCTGCCCAGTCATCATACATCATGAGCATCGGTCGATACAAATGGGTAGGATGACAAAGCTTGGTACACCAAATGTAGAAATCCACATCGATGCAGTTGGGCAGATTAGATATGCTGTAACAGTATTACACAATACTGACTATAATGTTTAAGTTTGGCTCCTTGATTTTTCACCTGGCTTCTTGAATTTCACATTGTCTCCCTGAAAACATCTTCCCGAGGCAAGAGAGTTAATTGACTTTAAAAGTCCAGTTTCCACCCTTGCCGAACTAGGCTGGAATTCCTGGGCTCGAACGTAGAGCCACCAGTGGCTATTACCAGTTATATCCCTTCTGGACCAATCAGATTCTACCTCTCGTATCATTTGCGTTTGCTTCACACAAAATAGTGGCGCCCAGTCAGGATGATCTGATCAATAATCAAGAGCTATATTGTGATAAAACCGGTCTTACATCGCGAAATGCATCAAATCACGTGAGCACCTTGATTAAAAACATGATAAGATTTGGAAAATATCTGCTGACAATGAGTTGGCGGTGCACATGCTTTGCAAATCCTGCAATCCACTGAAATCTGCACGACAGTTTACTAACTAGATTTCGAATTTGGTGCGCGATTTTGATGGGACTATGCATAGACTCGTTAGTCCAGCCAAAATGTAACTCCATAATACCAGCCTAGTTCGGCAAGGGTGGAAACTGGAATTTTATAGTCAGTTAACTCACTTGCCTCGGGAACATGCCCTGAAAACAACTGTTAGGAACATATGGCTCTTTAGGAAAAGAAACAAACTTTGCAGCCTGGAAGGAACTGTGACAGCAGAGACACCTACCTCCAGTATCGGGATTCGCCGGGTCACAGATGCAGGCATAGTCGAGGTAGTTGTCCACACACGTGGCGCCGTTTTTACATGGGTTTGACGCACACTCGTCCGTCTCATGCTGGCACTGGAAGCCCTCGTACCCCGGCAGACACCTACAGCTGTAGCTGAATGCGTTGGACTCACACGTGGCGCCATTCATACAGGGCGTGCTGGAGCAGAGATTCTTCAACACACACACGTTGTTCACTGGAAAAAAAATCAATATAAAAAACGGTTGACAGATTTATATCAAATGATACGCCAAGATCTGTGGTGAAGAATTGGAGGAAAACTATTGTCCAAAGTAGCTCAGGCTTGATGCTCTTTATAGGTTTATTCACTGTTTGATTGGCATTCTAGAAGTAGGTGAGTAAATAAGAAAACATACAACTTTATGGATAACAACTTCTGGTTTATTGCATATAGTATGTGTTGATGTAGATTCTTACACCGTTATCAAGCTAGAGTGACTACAACCTTGTATTAGGTGCAAGAGGTGGGATAACGGTGTAAGAATCCACATCGAATTGTCGCTATATGCAATAATCCAGAAGCTGTTATCCATAAAGTTGTATGTTTTGTTAGGTTTATTCAGCAAGTGGACATCGCAGTTGTTCCTGATGCACACCTCACTTGCAAATCTATCGGATTTGTTAACAGCATTCATCCCCACAACTGCGGACTCGGCGGAAACAATACAGCAAGGTCATGATACGATACGTATCATGTTACATAGGTCACGATACGATACGTATCGCGATACGCATATTTATGTCCAATCATGTGGAAACTTAAAAAAATAAAGGTCCAAAAGAACAGCTAGCTGGAGCCATGTTTTCGTAGCTGCTATTTTTAGAAGTTAACTTAAAGCTAATTATAACACATGTTGCAATATTTGACTGACAAAGTTGTAAGTTATTTATTTTAGCAAATGTATCATCTTTTATCGATACAGTGAGTGAGTGAGTATGGTTTAACGCCACTTTTAGCAATATTCCAGCAATATCACTGCGGGGGGCACCAGAAATGGGCTTCACATATTGTACCCATGTCGGGAATCGAACCTGGGTCTTCGGCGTGTTATTGATACAGAAGAAAACATACTGTGTCTCGTATCGTCACATGACAACTCATGATGCACCGATGTATCGTTTCACCCTCACTGTGGACAATCTTTTCAGCGGGGACCTGGAGTTGTTGTTGCTAGAATAGTATGGTATTCCCTGATGCTGCCAATCAGATAAGGTCATGGCTTCACCAAGGAGAACTTTGTGTTTCGACTTACCACTCTCATATCCGCTGGCACAGACACAGAGAGTCCTGCCCGTCATGTAGTCGTCCACACAGGTTCCCTGGCTGCCACAGGAGTTGGAGAAACACTGATCATTCCTGACCTCGCACACCTTGCCACCGTAGTCGCTGCCACACTCACAGGAGAAGCTGTTGTTGCCGTTGCGACACGTGCCTCCGTTCAGACAAGGGTTGGACAGGCACTCATCTGAAAGCAACAGCGAATCAGTTTTTAACTATCTCTCTGGTCGGGACACCAAAGCCTGACTATACCGTCTACAGTACAATAAAGTTATGTGCTTCCTAAACTCAGTTGATATTTTTATCTTTTGGGTTTTATTTCGACAACAGCAACTTCCGCTTATAGTGTCTCAAAATGTAGACTCCATAGCATTGGATAAACTAGTCGCGTTCATAGCAGACAGTGTAACTATTGTCCTCCTATTTAGCAGTATCTTTGAAAATTAGTCCTTGATGGTTATATTAGCATGATATTTGTATGAATTAAGGAAGAAATTGTCTCACACGATGCATTTCTCTTTCTTCTTTCGATCCTAAGTGGAAACGTGCCTAAACGTGCTTCAAGAAATAATTCACCCGAACACACCTAGCATCACACTGGTCACCTCCCAACAATCTCGGTCATGCATGATTTTCCTGCTGGTCGACCAACACGGGCTGAACACGTAGTCACCCTCGACAACTCATTCTCTTTCTAATCGCCACTTTATACACATGGGAAACGTTTGGATCGAAAGAAGAAAGAAATGCATGGTATGAGAAAGGCTACGTTTTTTTTCATAATGAATACCAAAAAACTGGGACAATTGGCAGCTTTTATGCAGCTAGATACTGCTCTGTGAGGGGACAGTGCCACCATGCCCCAGTATGGACCAGCAGGCTAGGAACACTGACAGACGTAGTCAATACCACCTTGGATGATATCTGTTGTTTCTTGTCTTCTTACCAATATCTTTTGTACAGTCTGGCCCGGTTAAGCCTGCACTGCAAACACACTTGCGGCGCACATTGCCGGCGGCAACACACTGGGCGTTGGCCGGGCACGGGTTGTCTGTGCAGGGCTGGCGGAGTCTGGAGCAGCTGGAACAACAACAGAAAATATTCCAATGAGTGAGAGTCTTTAATGTTACGTTCAGCCACTTTCAGCAATATTTCATCTGTATGTGTGTTTAACACCTTAATCACTCAGCAATATTCCAGCTATATGGCGGCAGCCTGTAAATAATCAAGTCTGGATCCAGACAATCCAGTGATTGATATTGTGAGTAACAATCCACACCATTGGGGTACCAAGTTACTGAGCCTGACTGTCCGATCTATTAGGTTGCTACAGCATAGGTTCCGGGGAATCAACTCTAACATGGAACCCTCTTGGGGTTCCTTCTTTAAGGCACTGACCATTTGATATTCAGGGGGAACGTTTGTGTAAAAAAAATATTGTTTCAGAAAATTCGGGAAATAAATAATTTTGTCTCAGGTATATCCTAAAATGATTTTTTTAATTGAAAGTTTACACGATATGCAGCTTTTCCATTGGACGAGAGGTTGGTCACATGACTGCAAAATTGACGTTTATAAGTGTATGTGTAAGATGTTTCTGAAGAGCAAGTTAGGCATCCATTGGCTAAATGGTCAACTCTCTTTTTGAGGAACTGTTTTATTCCGCGATATAGCTGGTTGTTGTATGGCTGTCAGTGTAAACATGAGGTCACACATACTAAATAAAATTGTGTTTAGATCTTGGCCTACCTTTGCGGTAAGAAATTGTGATAGAAAAATCATAAGCAAGCTCCGACGTTCATACAGTATTGACCTCACTCTATGAAGGTTCATACTCCAATGAACTCACACAAAGTGAAGGTCAATTCTTAAATATATTGTGTGAAGCAGTCACAGAAGAACAATTTTGTCTCAAACTTGTCTGAACACGGTTTCACATACCTGCTGCCAGTGAATTCACTGAAGGATGGACACAGACACGCATATGCCCCAACTTTGTCGTGGCAAGAACCATAGTTGCGACAGGGGTTGAACTCACAGTCGTTTCTGTCAATCTCACATCGCTGTCCTGAATACCGACCTGAGAAAGGACAACAACAACATCACAGACAGAACATGGAAACTGTAAACATAGATACACTCTTCGTGATCCCATCTCCCTTGTCTTTATCTTGGCAGCAATGAGATTCTTTCAGTCCTATCATTTAATTTCATCATAAAGTAATTCAGTGAATATGAAAGAGACAAAATCCTTTCCATAATTATCTATTTAATGACTCCTACTATATCATAAGCATGTGTTTATGAATCACTATCAAATAGTGATGACACAAGGTGTTTGCAAAAAGGTGAGCATATCCTGCCCCTCCCGTAGCACCCATCACAAACACATGCAAAGGCAAGTCAATTGTTCACCTGAAAAAACACGGGAACATAGGGTACATGTCAAAAGAGGGAATTGCATCCAACATACGTTTTCATTGATGCATCAGATTTGGAAATGTCCTCAACATGTCTACCATGAAACATTTTAAAAGCTTTACCAAGGTTGTAACCTTGATCAAACAACTTTTCAGCAAAAGCAGTACGACGCACTTTGAAAGCAAATGCCACCATCATCTCAAAATGCATACATTTTTGTTTTGGAGTCTGTGATGCTCAATAAACATATAAACTATTATTATGTTCATCCAAAAGCCAATTTTATAATACCTTTCAGTGCACCACATATTAAATCTCATTAACCAATTTAACCGTTGAGAATTGTTTTGGTCCTTCAAACACAGTCATGGATAATTAATGTCAAAGCATCATACAGAGATTCAATCTCACCAGAATCAGACAATACTCAGACATAGTTTGGAACTTACACAAAGCGCAATTTGTACCAAAAGCAGCTAAGAATACTTACACAAGCTGTAAGCACACTAAAGAAAGAACAGGATAATTTCAACTATTTCTTTTTGGAATTACACACTGACCACACACTTATTTCATTTGAACAGTTAGATTTAATAATGATAAAAATTATTTAACCTATCAAAGAAAAGGTTAAATATTCTGGTTACAGACCAATGGTTGATGACATCAGTCAGCTGGTTGCTATGACAATAAGGCAGCAGGGAGAAGAAGTCAGAGAAAAGACTCAGCAAAGGCTTCAAATTACAAATCTAACTACTCTTCAAAGTACTACAAATTCAACAATAAATAATCTATGGTATCACATCAGGGATAGACAATCTTTTTTAGCAACGTTTTTAGCAATATTCCAGCAATATAACGGAAGGGTGCCACCAGAAATGGGCTTCACACATTGTACCCATGTCGGGAATCGAACGCGGGCCTTCGCCGTGACAATCGAAGGCTTTAACCACTAGGCTACCCGACCGTCCCTAAACTGTACATTAAGCATGGCTGTTTAGTCATTGTATTTGTTTGTACTAATTATTTTTGAGAAAGAACATTTATCACTGGCCATCATCACAAGGATATTTTTTCAGGAAATGTTTTTGAAAAAGTTAGCCCTTCATTCACTACAAATTAATGTAGCTGTGCCTCAATGTTCGATGAATGACAGGCTCGACCCTTTACAAAAAAACTTTAATCTAGAACGCTATATCAAAACTATCCTGTTATCTGGTACCGTATGACTTACTGAAAAAAAATGTGTTCTTTAATTTTTCCTGCTAACTTTGAAACCTTTACAGGAAACAATAAGGTGAAGATTTATATTTCAAAATAATCATTTATTTAAACATTTATGTTGATTTAAGCTCTTCTGAAATATCAAGCACTCTTCAGGAAAATGCAGACAATAAAGACGAAGCCACTTGGCTCCCAGGGTAAGCCAGTTAATATAGATTCCATCTGGCGAGCTGCCAAAGGATGCTGGATCAGTTTCACAGCAGGGTCACATTCCACAAAGCAATCTTAGCGCTACTGTTAAATATACTGCTAAAAAGTCATGAACCCACAATCTGAATATTCTGTGCAGTCGATAACAACGGTGGGGGGGGGGGGGGGGGAGGTTCTGAGCATGGCGTAGTCGGTTGTGTGTTCGCTTCCGGCTTACTTTACTAACTACCTGGTGCCAGTTGCAAACGATGTACACAATGGATGAAGCCAAGTGTTGTTCAATGAAACGGAAATTACAAAACAGTTACAGTGCATATGTTGAATCGGCCTGCTGCTCTGACATGAACTCTACATGCACTGCTTCAAGATTCCACCAAAGTCCTCTGTTATACTGAAATGGATTCCAGTGGGAGAAACTGGCATTTGTAGTCCACTAGTCCTTATAATGACAACATATAGCAAAACCCTTCAAAATGGCAAATTTCTACTTGTCCTTATGAGACCTAACCTATTGGGCAGTTTGGCAAGGACTACAGGATTGGTGGCAATTTCAACTGCTGGATCCTTCATTTGCACATGGAACACCAACGTTCCCAAAAGACTGTGATAAGCTTCTAAGCTTGTCCTTCAGGACAAAAATTGTAATGCCCCTTCTCCAAATTAGCCTAGGACAGTCTTAGCGCTAAGATCGCTTTGTGATCTCTGTTTCAGAAAGAGAGGAATCAGAGTGAGATCTACTCAAGATGAGAATGTTTACTTTGGATGATATTACGGTAGTACACACGCCACCTCTACCACAGGAAGCAGAGATCAGGAGCAGGTAATACACATACTTACTAGACGAACCTGTGCACACAGCAGACAGAGTTAGTGTCATTATTGAAAAAGTAACTGCCATAACAATAAACAAAAACACATGCATTTAAACAATATACAGTGAAACTTCGCTTATCCAGGACTCCTGCTTCCCAGACGATCTTGCTGGGTGGGTGAGTGAGTGAGTGAGTGAGTATGGTTTAACGCCGCTTTTAGCAATATTCAAGCAATATCACGGCAGGGGACACCAGAAATGGGCTTCACACATTGTACCCATGTCGGGAATCGGACCCGGGTCTTCGGCGTGATGAGCGAACGCTTTAACCACTAGGCTACCCGACTGCCTCAGATCTTGTTGAGAATAGATAATGTAATAAAAGGAATACATGGTGGACTCGGTCTAAACCGGCATCTAATCCAGCACTATTTATAGACCGAACCAATGAAGATCCGGGGTAGAATTGGTCTTCAGCAACCCATGCTTGTCGTAAGAGCTGACTAACGGGATCGGGTGGTCAGGCTTGCTGCATGTCAATGTATCCCAATTGTGTGGATCGATGCTCATATCAATCACTGGATTGTCTAGTCTAGACTTGATTTTCTACAGACCACACATATAGTGTGGCGCTAAACCACAAAAAACTTTATTAACCGGCATCTGACCCAGCACTGTGCCATCTGGATTTACAATGTTTCATTGCCTTGATGTTCATAAAATCTCAAATTTATTTGTTCACAATATGATGATGAGATATTAGTTCAGATTAATGTCAGCATATGAAAAGTGGTCATGTTTGCACACAAAAGACAGACTTAACATTTCTAAGGATTGATTTTCCATTTACTTCCTAGCTCTGATTGAATATTTCTAATAAATCAAAGTTCATTATTCATTGTTTAAGAACACTCAAGAACCAGTTGATTTTCTGGCAACACTTTTGTATTGCTTTTATAACCTCCTTGATCTTGCAGAGAGTCTTAACTGATGCAGACCAAGAAAACTAGCAGTTTTATTACCTATTAGTCCCCACTATACAGCGTTTGAAGCTTTTTTAGTCCACTAGTCCTTATAATGATAACATATAGCAAAACCCTTCAAAATGGCAAATTTCTTCTAGTCCTTTATACCTTAGCTATTTGGCAGTTTTGCAAGGACTACAGGACTAGAGGCAATTTCTAATGCTGCTGTATCCCGTAAATGTATGGTCGCAGAATGTTTTGCAGGAATGTCCACTCGGTTCAGAAAAGTACTTATCTTGTAGAAAATCACATTTTGTGCAAAACTTGAGCAAAATTTTGCATTTATCTGCGCAAAACTTTTCAAATAGACATACAAGTTGATGGCTGGTTTTTAAAGTGTAAACAGATATTTAGTTCCTTTTAAAGTGAAGTTGACCTTTGTATTATTGCTTACTGAAAGTGCAAGTCTTTGTGGTTACAGTAGTGATCTCCAGATTCACATCAACAAACTGTTCTAGCCGTGATAATGTTTATCATAAAATGCCTACCACAAGTCAAACAGGTGCAAACTACGAAATTCACGAAAAATAATCTTAAAAGTTTGCAGAATTGTTTGCAGAATTATTCAAATTTGGTTGCAGAATTTAGAAACATTGACAGCAGAATTTTTATTTTTTTTAATATAATACAGCGGGGACTGATTTTGTTATGGAATGAATCACAAAAGTGATACTTGACATAATTCTAAACCCTGAATATTTATTCACATAAACCTCCACTGATGCCATAATATTTTTCTCCAATCAGGTTAAATCTCATAAACAGGATTTTATATAATATCCCCAGGATTATTACATGTACGACCGGTGATATTGTAACATGTGGAAGTCTGCAATATTCGAACCACTAGAAGTGCAAAACATTTGTTTCCATGAACAAAGTCGATTTCATTGGAATAATTTGTAATTGCTTTGCACATTCTTAAATTATGCAGATCCTGTGCATCAAAACATACCCTTATCATAAAAAAACAGTTTCAAGTTAAATGAATAATTAAATTAATAATAACTGCAGCGTGGATGTGACGTACTTGATTGACAGTAGCAGGTGTAGTCGAGGCCTCCGCTGTTCAAGCAGTAAGCGTTGTTGTAGCAGGGGCTGGAGTCACACCCCCGGAGGACCGTCTCACACGCACGCCCTGTGAAAGCTGCACAAACATAAACACACAGCAGGGTAAGGAATACATCTTATTTTCACAAGTCTACAGAACTAACCTGCTGCGGAAAGAAGACAATAAATATTTCAAAATGTTTATTGTTAAAATGACTACTGTTGGAATGGCGAGATTGCTGACATGGCCCAATGTTGAGAGGGCCTACTGTTGAGAGGGCCTACCGTTGAGAGGGCCTAATGATGAGATGGCCTAATGTTGAGACGGCCTAATGTTGAGACGGCCTAATGTTGAGATGGCCTAATGTTGAGATGGCCTAATGTTGAGACGGCCTAATGTTGAGATGGCCTAATGATGAGATGGCCTAATGATGAGATGGCCTAATGTTGAGATGGCCTGATATTGAGATGGCCTAATGTTGAGATGGCCTAATGTTGAGATGGCCTAATGTTGAGATGGCCTGATATTGAGATGGCCTAATGTTGAGATGGCCTAATGTTGAGATGGCCTAATGTTGAGATGGCCTAATGTTGAGACGGCCTGATATTGAGATGGCCTAATGTTGAGAGGGCCTAATGTTGAGATGGCCTAATGTTGAGATGGCCTAATGTTGAGACGGCCTAATGTTGAGATGGCCTAATGTTGAGAGGGCCTAATGTTGAGATGGCCTAATGTTGAGATGGCCTAATGTTGAGATGGCCTAATGTTGAGAGGGCCTAATGTTGAGATGGCCTAATGTTGAGATGGCCTAATGTTGAGACGGCCTAATGTTGAGACAGCCTAATGTTGACATGACCTAATGTTGAGAGGGCCTAATGTTGAGATGGCCTAATTTTGAGATGGCCTGATATTGAGATGGCCTAATGTTGAGACGGCCTAATGTTGAGATGGCCTGATATTGAGATGGCCTAATGTTGAGATGGCCTAATTTTGAGATGGCCTGATGTTGAGATGGCCTAATGGTGAGATGGCCTAATGTTGAGATGGCCTAATGTTGAGATGGCCTAATGTTGAGATGGCCTAATGTTGAGACGGCCTAATGTTGAGATGGCCTAATGTTGAGAGGGCCTAATGTTGAGATGGCCTGATATTGAGATGGCCTGATGATGAGATGGCCTAATGTTGAGATGGTCAAATGAGACGGCCTAATGTTGAGATGGCCTAATGATGAGATGTCCGAAAACCTATGATCCGAAGATAATAGTATTGAATCGTGAATAATTGTAAAGGCATATATGATGCTGAAAGCTCTGATCGAAAACATTACAATCCATGACGGTTGTCTGGAAGCACGATATTATTTTTTGGAGAATTTAAAAAAAAAAATCTTTTATTATATTGATTTTTTTCCCTGAGGACTAGTTGGTTTTTTTTAAAATGTGATTTTCCTTCTTTCCACATCCCTGTGTATGGATATACCACTCACCAGGAGGACAGTCACAGAAGTATTCATGGTTGACGACCCGACAGGTTCCACCATTGGCACACTTGCTAGAGTCACACACAGTACTAACTGCAAGAGAATGAGTGAGTGAGTTAATATTTAACGTCTACTGCAAGAGAAGAAATAGTCAGGGATCATTGGCATTTCTTTTAATCCTAAAATAATAAGACAATCCTAACTGGAAGGAGACTAACTGGGTCCCAGGACAAACAGGTATCCCGACAAAAATGGTTTGGGGCTAACAGATAAAACAGTTTTGGGGGGATAACAGGTTTCCAGACAAACAGGGTTTGGGGGAATAACAGGTTTCCATACAAACAGGTTTTTGGGGATAACAGGTTTCCAGACAAACAGGGTTTGGGGGAATAACAGGTTTCCATACAAACCGGTTTTTGGGGATAACAGGCTTCCAGCCAAACAGGATTTTGGTAATAACCGGTTTCCAGATAAAAAGGGTTTGGTGCTAACAGGTTTCCAGACAAACAGGGTTGTGGGATAATTGGTTTCCAGACAAACAGGATTTGGGGGATAAAAGGTTTCCAGACAAACAGGGTTTTGGGTATAATTGTTTTTTCAAACAAACAGGGTTTGGGGGATAACAGGTTTTCAGACAAACAGGTTTTTGGGATAACTGGTTTCAAGACAAATAAGGGTTTCAGGGGTAACAGCGTTTCAGGGTTCACAACTCGGATTTCTGGGCTAAAATGGTTTCTGTTTAACAGGGTTTTCAAGACAACAGGGTTTTCTAACTAAGAGGGTTTTGGACCTACAAGGTTTCTAAACTAATGACTCTGTATAAGCAAGAAGACCTACTGGCAATGATGCACTGTCCCGACGATGAAGACCCTACTGCTGGTGTAGTTGTGTCTGGGGAACACTCCACACATGTTGTAGCCCCTGACAACGGCTGATAGTAAGCTTTGGGGCAGCTGAGACAGGGTGCGAGTCCGGTGCTGGAGTACGTCCCTGGCTGACAGCGACCTGCAACACAAACAAACAGATGATGAGGGTCCTTGTAGGGAATACATCTCCTGGTGTTGCTCGGAATATCAGTAAAGACATACTGGGATCTACATCTTGCATCTTTCACGCATTAAAATAGGGAATGGATGCAAACAATTTACATTGCGGGTAAGGCAAATAAACATGGCTGGTTGAATCACAACATTTGTCAAAAAATGTGTGCTGTTTTGCCTTTGACGACCAATTGAATCTGTTTCATCAGATAATCGAGGCTGGTTGTTTCCTGGTGTTGATGTTTTATATTTATGTATAACTGACAGATCTATCTGGTGGGAAAAACACTCCCAGGTGTTCATCGGAAGCTTCTGGTTTCTGGCTTGATTCGACATCAGCATCCTTCTTTGAAATCAAGTGAAGTATGCAACATGTCACAAGCCTTGGACATCCATGTTTATGTCATGACCCCCAAAATTACTACGAAGAATCACCTGGAGTCGAAAATTGATCCAGGTAAATTTCTGGAATAAGCATCCCCGAGTTGTTTATTTGCCCACACAAACAGGAAGACCTGTTGAGTTATTAAACTAATATAATTTTCCTAATTTGAAGAAGGATTCAACTAAGGTGACAGAATCTGACTCATACCATATCAACAATGATAATAATAAAACAATTACTCTGCGGGACCATTCCATGCCCGACTCTGGAGATTTCCCACCCTTCACAATGATGAATCATGAACATTTCACCTACTTCTACAAGCAGTGCTGGAGGCGTGCCCCGGCCCACGTGTGAACTGCCCGGTGGGGCAGGGCTGGCAGCTGGTGGAGCTGATGCTGTAGGTGTTCTCGGGGCACTGGTTACATGGCGCCTCCCCAGACGTGGAGAACATCCCCTGCGGACACACACCTGGGGGGAAGAACAGACAAGGCAATGGATGAATAAAGCATCTCAAGCTGTCATGATCTGCTTGTGCCTTTTTTACCCAAGGATCCATTCAAAAAAATGTTAAGGAGACAAACAAAATTTCAAGGAGTTATAATGTAGGTGCCAAAAGGAGTTATAATGTAGGTGCCAAAAGGAGTTATAATGCAGGTGCCATAAGGAGTTATAATGTAGGTGCCAAAAGGAGTTATAATGTAGGTGCCAAAAGGAGTTATAATGTAGGTGCCAAAAGGAGTTATAATGTAGGTGCCAAAAGGAGTTATAATGTAGGTGCCAAAAGGAGTTATAATGCAGGCGCCATAAGGAGTTATAATGTAGGTGCCAAAAGGAGTTATAATGTAGGTGCCAAAAGGAGTTATAATGTAGGTGCCAAAAGGAGTTATAATGTAGGTGCCAAAAGGCGTTATAATGTAGGTGCCAAAAGTTATATTTGTACATGTATTTCGAATGTGTTTTTGATGGATGACGACCAACAAGCATGCATGGTAACTCTTCACACCACTGAAACACACAGCTGTAGTAAATAGTGAAGAAATGCTTCCTTATATCCGTGTTTGGAGCTTACATTAGCAGTAGCTAGCGATTCGCTAGCATAGTTTATATTTTTAGCGAGATTGGCGAGAACTAAAATATGTTATAATTTTAACACAATTTCTGTGTATTTTTTAAATACACTATGTTTTTATTCTCAACCAAAATATAGTTGTCAAAGTCCATTTTATACTTACTGGGATCGATCCCAGAGCTTCACTCTCTGGGCAGACGTTTTCCACTAGACCACGGAGGCAGTCTCAAGACTTCATGAGTGAGAGTGAGTGAGTAGTGTTTTACGCCGCTTCAAGCAATATTCCAGCAATATCACGGCGGGGAAAACCAGAAATGTTCTTCCCACATTGTACCCATGTTGGAAATCGAACCCGGGTCTTCGGTGAGACAAGCGAACTCTGCATATTACCAAAGGAGTCAAGTGAGATAGAGGTGACATTATTTTCAGGAAATGCCATTGCATATGTTCTTGCTTCACATTAAGGCCAGGCTTTTTTTTATTCTTAGGATTATGGATTTTTCAGCCCAAAGTCCAGGGTTGTAGAAGAAAAAAAAGAAAAAAAGCCAGATGCATTTTTTTAATGCAGAATGCCTCTGGCAAACTTAATGAACATATTCTGTGCTCAAAAGACCGCCATTTGTAACAATAAAAATTCTACCACTTACAACACGGACAATTGTCATGGGAGGCAATTCATGTTTGGCTTCGAGATCAACAAAGATTGATTATGTATCTCTTTACTAGTTTACAACGGTAAATACATATGTTTTTTATTTTTAAGGTGATGATAAGAAATAAAATAACTGACTACGTGGCTATCAGCGGGGAAAAAAAATGGAAATCTGATTTTTTTTTACATTTTCTCAAAAATTAAGAGTCGGCGGGTCCGTAATCCGAAACATATAAAATGCCTGGCCTAACACTTATTAGAATGAAGCAACATGCTTGTTATAGCTGAATACTGCATCCCTGCACCCAGCACTCCCTTCCTCCCCCCCTCCCTCTCCACAGACTTACGATAACATTCAGCCAAGCTGGTGAGTCCTGAGGCAAAGTTGCTCGAGAGTGGTGGACAGGGGAGACAACTGAGTGATGCCATTTCCCGGTACGAGTGAGGACCGCACTGACTGCATTTGCCACCACTGAGGACAAAACCTGCTGGACAGGCCACTGGAAATACCAACACATTATCAGAATTAACAATTGCATATATACAGGGTGAACGACAGACACTTCTCTCTGTACTTGACTGCAGATAACCAAACATTCTTCAAGAAAAGGCTGGGCTTTTCTCACACTTGGCTTAAGTGTACAACGACACTCAAAATTTGAAACGTGAAAATAAAATAAAAAACTCATAAATAACAGATATAAGCAAAATGTTCACAAAAAACACCTCATTTACTGTCACTATCAATATATAAATAAATTACTTAAAATATCATTCTTAAAACCTCTACATTTTATTTTGTTAATATTTCTTTCCCTTCCTAGTGAACATTTTTGGGAAATAAAAAAAAATACTTGAAATTGGAATTATATATACAGGAATTTCATTTTTGTAGAAAACCTGTATTATTGTGTAAAAACTCTGTGACCCTAAAAATAAGGAAGTCTGACATAGTAGATGAGATCTGGTCCAACAAACATCATTTGAACTCACCACATATGTCGCCAGATTCTATGACGGAACTTCGGACTTCTTCTATGCCATAACAACCCACACCCTCTGCTGCGGTGTTGCTGTACGTCGCTGTTGACGATGCAGCACAGTTGCCCAGCTGTGCAAGCTGCATGACACTGCTGATGAGGTTGTTGCTGGAGGTGAAGATGTTCCTGATGGTGTTGACGCACTGTGAGTACTGACTCGCTGAGTACCCGTGAGGAAGAAACTCCAGGTTAAACGTTCCTGTTACCTGAAGTGCGGGAGAAATTGTCACATGACAGTGGTCGGGTTCAACATGGCTTTGAGTTTCACACACATGCTAAAGTTGTAATGAAACCTGGATTTCTGGCGCGACAAGAAAACTCTTTGTCTACAAGGCAACCTGACTGTCTATTTTGTTCTAGGGAGCTTCACTCTCTGGGCAGACGTCTTCAATTAGACCACGGCAGCAGTCTCAAGACTTCATGGTTTTATGCTGCTTTTAGCAATATTCCAGCAATATCCTGTTGGGGGACACCAGAAATGGGCTTCACATATTGTACCCATGTCGGGAATCGAACCCAAGACTTCGGCATGATGAATGAACGCTTTAACCACAAGGCTACACGACCACTCCTATATTATGTTCTAAGAAGAGTGAGTCATATGTTTTCAACAATAATATAAGAATAAAACAACATTATCCCCAGATGAGTTAGTCATAGTGTAATAGTAAGTTTGGATACACCTTACACCAGGAAGTTGGGCTTAGTGACACTTTGATCAGTGAACTTAATGTGGGAGGAACGCCTGAAGCCATGCAGGTCTTGGATGATTATCACTTCAGTGAAACAAACAAGTCAAGTGTGGTGTGGACAAATTAAGAAATAAAATCAGGGCAATTCTGGGACTCAGACTCATGGTCATAGGATCCTGGCACACTCAAGGGAGAAAATCAGTTAAGTATCAGTGTTATGCCCAGTAAAAATGGAAAGACTATGCATGGTAGGGGTGGATACCATCACGGAGGTGAACTGACCCTGTACTTACCACACCAGCGAAGGAGGAGATGGTGACTGGGATGTAGCTGGTGGGGAGGGATGCCGTCACAGAGGGCGACTGATTCTGTACTTACCACACCAGCGAAGGAGGAGATGGTGACTGGGATGTAGCTGGTGGGGAGGGATGCCGTCACAGAGGGCGACTGATTCTGTACTTACCACACCAGCGAAGGAGGAGATGGTGACTGGGGTGTAGCTGGTGGGGAGGGATGCCGTCACAGAGGGCGACTGATTCTGTACTTACCACACCAGCGAAGGAGGAGATGGTGACTGGGGTGTAGCTGGTGGGGAGGGATGCCGTCACAGAGGGCGACTGACCCTGTACTTACCACACCAGCGAAGGAGGAGATGGTGACTGGGGAGTAGCTGGTGGGGAGGGATGCCGTAACGGAGGGCGACTGACCCTGTACTTACCACACCAGCGAAGGAGGAGATGGTGACTGGGGAGTAGCTGGTCGGTAGGGATGCCATCACGGAGGGCGACTGACCCTGTACTTACCACACCAGCGAAGGAGGAGATGGTGACTGGGATGTAGCTGGTGGGGAGGGATGTCGTCACGGAGGGCGACTGACCCTGTACTTACCACACCAGCGAAGGAGGAGATGGTGACTGGGATGTAGCTGGTGGGGAGGGATGTCGTCACGGAGGGCGACTGACCCTGTACTTACCATGCCAGCGAAGGAGGAGATGGTGACTGGGGTGTAGCTGGTCGGAAGGGATACCGTCACGGAGGGCGACTGATTCTGTACTTACCACACCAGCGAAGGAGGAGATGGTGACTGGGATGTAGCTGGTGGGGAGGGATGTCGTCACGGAGGGCGACTGACCCTGTACTTACCACACCGGCGAAGGAGGAGATGGTGACTGGGGTGTAGCTGGTCGGAAGGGATACCGTCAGGGAAGGCGACTGACCCTGGCAGAGGTTGCTGAGCGTGGGGAGAAGAAATGCGATCTTGTTAGACAAGTCATTCTGATAAGCAGTTTCACACTCAGTGGTGATGACCGTCCCTGTCACGTAGCGGAGACTCGGGGCGTAGCGGTATGGGCTTCTCTGCTTGCCTACAAAGATACAAAGGACGCATGTTGTCACCTAACCATCAAATCATTCTGATTGCTAACAACACTTCTGTCCCTCAAGCTCTTCTGCGCTAGAAAGAACAAAATTATTCATGCTGTTCCAAGAAAAAATAATTTTGTGCAACATTTTCGAAATTTGGGCACTTCTGGAGAAGAGTCGGTCATAATAGGCAACTGAGGTTAACATAGCTAGTTGTTCATGCTATCAACCACTGGTCTGCCTGGTTTGATCATCAGGCTGCCATGCTCTCAGCAATTTTACATCAATTCCTGTTGAGAGTTGTTTTTCCTCCGTTTTTAGCAATTCCCAGCAACATATCCAGCTTCACATGTTGAATCTATTTGTGAAATCAAACCTGGCCTTCACCATGGTTAATGAGTGTTATAACCACACGGCCACCCAACTATGCCTGCAATAACCTGAAGCAACTCACGGACACACTGGGGGAAGGTCGGCCAGCCCACTACGCCTACAATAACCTGAAGCAACTCACGGACACACTGGGGGAAGGTCGGCCAGCCCACTACGCCTGCAATAACCTGAAGCAACTCACGGACACACTGGGGGAAGGTCGGCCAGCCCACTACGCCTACAATAACCTGAAGCAACTCACGGACACACTGGGGGAAGGTCGGCCACCCCACTACGCCTACAATAACCTGAAGCAACTCACGGACACACTGGGGGAAGGTCGGCCAGCCCGTAGAGTAAGCACATTGGATTGTCTTAGTGACAGCGTCATTCTCCTCGAACAGTGTGTAGCCAGAGTTGCAGGTGACTGTGCACTGGTTACCGAAAGCCGTGTTCTGGCAAGATGTCTGCCCATTCTGGATGAGCACGGTCCACTGTTGACAAAGAGGACCTGAAACATGAACAATGTAAAATATAAGATAGCTACGCGATAAACTCAAGAACAATGATGAACGAAGCATGGTTTATTTCACGAAAAACTATCGTTCTATCACATCATTTCTGGCCATTTGAACATACGCTGGCATCTTGATGATGTCATAAATTGGATGACATTATTTTTAAGAGGGAAGTGTCTAGTGAGTTGTTCACCACAGATTTTGCTGGACAATGCAGCTGAACTATTGCATCCAAATGTGGTTGAGATATGACAATTGGTTTCGGGAGAAAAGGTACAGAAAACTGATGTGAAATTGTGAACATATCTGAAAATACCAAATTTATCCCCCTGTTCAATAAATGGACTTATCCGACATTGCCGAAGTCAGATTGTATTCAGGATGTCATTATTAAAAGACAGATAAATATTTTTAAAACTCGTACATCTTATCAACATCCTTAAAGAGGCTGTATATGGTGTAGATATCTCATATATGATGATTGTGAGTTGTATATCATACAATAAAACACTGCAGGGATAATGAGCTACTCGTGAGCCCCAAATGGTTTATTCTCCCTGCAGTGTTTTCTTGTGTAACTCCCACTTGTCATTTATTTCTTAAATAAATAAAACAAAGCTGTGAAACATGTAATGTCACTTGTCTGCTCAATGTCAGAACTAGGAATACAATGGGAGGCTGCTGGCAGGCACGAGACAGGTGAGGTGACATGTGGTTTCACACTGTACTGATCATGGGAGTAGAGTATTTGATAGAGGACTTGTGACTATCAGGATAAACAGAACAGTTGGAGGACAATAGGGCTCAGCTTCCCCTCTGTAAGACAGATACAGGACTTGTGACTATCAGGATAAACAGAACAGTTGCAAGGACAATAGGGCTCAGCTTCCGCTCTGTAAGACAGATAGAGGACTTGTGACTATCAGGATAAACAAACAGTTGGAGGACAATAGGGCTCAGCTTCCCCTCTGTAAGACAGATACAGGACTTGTGACTATCAGGATAAACAGAACAGTTGCGAGGACAATAGGGCTCAGCTTCCCCTCTGTAAGACAGATAGAGGACTTGTGACTATCAGGATAAACAGAACAGTTGCAAGGACAATAGGGCTCAGCTTCATCTCTGTAAGACTGATAGAGGACTTGTGACTATCAGGATAAACAGAACAGTTTGAGGACAATAGGGCTCAGCTTCATCTCTGTAAGACTGATAGAGGACTTGTGACTATCAGGATAAACAGAACAGTTGCAAGGACAATAGGGCTCAGCTTCCCCTCTGTCAGACAGATACAGGACTTGTGACTATCAGGATAAACAGAACAGTTGGAGGACAATAGGGCTCAGCTTCCCCTCTGTAAGACAGATACAGGACTTGTGACTATCAGGATAAACAGAACAGTTGCAAGGACAATAGGGCTCAGCTTCCGCTCTGTAAGACAGATAGAGGACTTGTGACTATCAGGATAAACAAACAGTTGGAGGACAATAGGGCTCAGCTTCCCCTCTGTAAGACAGATACAGGACTTGTGACTATCAGGATAAACAGAACAGTTGCGAGGACAATAGGGCTCAGCTTCCCCTCTGTAAGACAGATAGAGGACTTGTGACTATCAGGATAAACAGAACAGTTGCAAGGACAATAGGGCTCAGCTTCCCCTCTGTAAGACTGATAGAGGACTTGTGACTATCAGGATAAACAGAACAGTTGCAAGGACAATAGGGCTCAGCTTCCCCTCTGTCAGACAGATAGAGGACTTGTGACTATCAGGATAAACAGAACAGTTGGAGGACAATAGGGCTCAGCTTCATCTCTGTAAGACTGATAGAGGACTTGTGACTATCAGGATAAACAGAACAGTTGGAGGACAATAGGGCTCAGCTTCCCCTCTGTAAGACAGATACAGGACTTGTGACTATCAGGATAAACAGAACAGTTGCAAGGACAATAGGGCTCAGCTTCCCCTCTGTAAGACAGATACAGGACTTGTGACTATCAGGATAAACAGAACAGTTGCGAGGACAATAGGGCTCAGCTTCCCCTCTGTAAGACTGATAGAGGACTTGTGACTATCAGGATAAACAGAACAGTTGCAAGGACAATAGGGCTCAGCTTCCCCTCTGTAAGACAGATAGAGGACTTGTGACTATCAGGATTAACAGAACAGTTGGAGGACAATAGGGCTCAGCTTCCCCTCTGTAAGACTGATAGAGGACTTGTGACTATCAGGATAAACAGAACAGTTGGAGGACAATAGGGCTCAGCTTCCCCTCCGTAAGACTGATAGAGGACTTGTGACTATCAGGATAAACAAACAGTTGGAGGACAATAGGGCTCAGCTTCCCCTCCGTAAGACTGATAGAGGACTTGTGACTATCAGGATTAACAGAACAGTTGCAAGGACAATAGGGCTCAGCTTCCCCTCTGTAAGACAGATAGAGGACTTGTGACTATCAGGATAAACAGAACAGTTGGAGGACAATAGGGCTCAGCTTCCCCTCTGTAAGACTGATAGAGGACTTGTGACTATCAGGATTAACAGAACAGTTGCAAGGACAATAGGGCTCAGCTTCCCCTCTGTAAGACAGATAGAGGACTTGTGACTATCAGGATAAACAAACAGTTGGAGGACAATAGGGCTCAGCTTCCCCTCTGTAAGACAGATAGAGGACTTGTGACTATCAGGATAAACAAACAGTTGGAGGACAATAGGGCTCAGCTTCCCCTCTGTCAGACAGATACAGGACTTGTGACTATCAGGATAAACAGAACAGTTGCAAGGACAATAGGGCTCAGCTTCATCTCTGTAAGACTGATACAGGACTTGTGACTATCAGGATAAACAGAACAGTTGCAAGGACAATAGGGCTCAGCATCCCCTCTGTAAGACAGATAGAGGACTTGTGACTATCAGGATAAACAGAACAGTTGGAGGACAATAGGGCTCAGCTTCCCCTCTGTCAGACAGATAGAGGACTTGTGACTATCAGGATTAACAGAACAGTTGGAGGACAATAGGGCTCAGCTTCCCCTCTGTCAGACAGATAGAGGACTTGTGACTATCAGGATTAACAGAACAGTTGGAGGACAATAGGGCTCAGCTTCCCCTCTGTCAGACAGATAGAGGACTTGTGACTATCAGGATTAACAGAACAGTTGGAGGACAATAGGGCTCAGCTTCCCCTCTGTCAGACAGATAGAGGACTTGTGACTATCAGGATTAACAGAACAGTTGCAAGGACAATAGGGCTCAGCTTCCCCTCTGTAAGACAGATAGAGGACTTGTGACTATCAGGATAAACAGAACAGTTGGAGGACAATAGGGCTCAGCTTCCCCTTGCCTCTTTCCGCTCGTGTTCTGTCACTCATCTCTGTCTACCAGAGACCCTGTATCACTGAGTACAGGCCTCAAAGTTGCGACTAAAATGGTTGCCAATGCGACCTAAATTTCAATTTGTCTACTGTCTAAAATTCAGAGGTAGCCAAATGACTACCAAATGACTATCATCATCATTAGACCAGAATTGCTATGGCTGGCTTGTCTGAAGCTCTTCTCTCATTAAAATTGCCAATGTTCAGTATTTCTCAGGAAAGCATTATCCTGTTTCCCTTGGTGGAACATGTGCAATGGCAGAATTTCTGCAAATCCTCAAAATATTAACATCAGTGAAATATCTTTTACAGGGATCTTACTTAACATGAAACATTTGGCCTAAATGGTAACAGTATACACAACAATCCTCTGGAAAGCCTGCAATACCACGTTATCTTCCCGAGGCAAGGGAGCTAACTAACTATAAAGTCCATGCCACGTTCACTCACCTGTCACTGTGCCTGCAATACCACGTTATCTTCCCGAGGCAAGGGAGTCACTCCCCTGTCAATGTGCCTGCAATACCACGTTATCTTCCCGAGGTAAGGGAGTCACTCACCTGTCACTGTGACCTGTATGTTGCAGGTGTCTTCATTGTTTGCAGCATCTCTGGCCGTCACGGTGATGGTGTTCACTGTGCCGATGCTGTTCTTGTCCAGGGTGAGCTGTGTCACTGAGAACTGGAGGCTGCTCACGCCGATGTTGTCAGAGGCTGAAGCGAAGGTTGTTACATCGAACGTCTGTTGCTCGGACTCGTTGAGAAGCTGATAGTTGAATGAGTCTCGACAGATGAGCACAGGAGGTTCCTCATCTATAGGAAGACAAAGTTTTATCCATCCAAACACAGGCCAGGTTTTTTCTACTGCTTTATCTTCTAGTGATGTGCAACAAATTTTGGTCAGTTCCATGAAATACAGACAATATGGGCATAGTGATATATGTTTTGGTGCAGCTCGAGAAAAATAAGGAAAGAAGTTCAGTTTGTTAACATTTCAGATATATCATATAGGGGTTAAATGATACAGCAAAACACAACATATGGGTCACGAAACAATACGTATCACGATACGCACGTTTATGACAAACCCTGCTGAATATTCCTGACTTAGATTAGGTTCTAAAGGAAAATCTAGCTGTAAACACATAGTTTGTAGAGGCTATTTTCAGGTGCACTTGAAACGCTAATTATAACACATTTTGCAACATTTGACTGACAATAGTGCTGGGGCTCTTAAATGAGTTGTAATATATTTTAGCAAGTGTATCTATCGTGTTGTAGCAATACAGAAATAAAGGTATTGTGTATCGTATTGTACATGAAAACGTTCGATGCACCAGTGTACTGATGTATCGTTTCACCCCTAATATCACATTTCTCTGTCAGAATCAAATCTGGACCTAGCAAACCAGTGGTCGACAGTATCAAGGATTTATCTAGGGTTCTAACCCAGATGCCCTGGAAGGCAAATGGGGGGGAAATCATTATTTTGTTGAAAATTGGGATTTCTCAAAAATTCGTATTTTCCTTAATTCTGAGTTATTTTAACATTGAATGATGTAAAAGTAAGCATCAAATCCTCTTCCTCTATATTGGTCTTGTTATCAGTGTTAAAAAGTAATCTCTATCAGTTTCAAAGCCATAACATTAGCAAAATTAACATGAATTGGGATATTTTTAACACCAATTTGGGAATTTTTTACTAATCTTTGCTCCAGACTTGGGACCAAATATCAGGCTTTGAGCAGGTCTAGATAAACGCCTGAGTATGAACAACATTTCACATCATCTACAAAAACTGACAAACAATTACCGGTAGCCAGGTCACAGGTGGGGAGGTGAAATGGGGTTTAACATCACATTCAAGATTATTGCACTCATATAGCGACATGCATGCGTGTGTGTGGCTGCTTGCACTAGTCTGGACTGATGCCGATTTTAAAGTGCTAGCCCACTGAGGTGACATGCCACAGTTTTAACATGAATACACTCTCAGAAACAATAAACTGATTTCAAGTTGATGAGTCTTAATTTTAGCCCCTTAATGGCAAGCACCCCCCTTAATGGCAAGCACCAGGCAGGTACAATCTTTTGGTATGACGTGGCCAGGGATCAAAACCCCATGCTTACGCTCTACCAATAGACCACAGAGGTGGTCACCAGGTCACAGAGTTGAAGCACCCAAAGTCATATGAAGACAAGCGTAAGACACTGGTGATCTTATCTTTAACAAATAAGCTGTCACATTCAATTAACATACCAAGTACTTGAACTCACCAAAGACTTTGACTTTTTCAGTGCAAGATTAAATAATATTTACAACTCGCCCGTTAAGAGATAACCTGTGTAATAACAATAAGCTGGTATTACGCAGTGTTGAATACCAAAGCATGTGCTAAAGTACTGCGGAAAAAGTTTTGCTAACAAATATTGAAAACTCTTAACATCCCTTGTATAATTCAACAACATTTCGGTAGAGGTGATAGATCACTGAGAGGAGCTTATGCACACTTGATGACCCCAGCTCAGTTAGGCTGACATCACATGGCATTGTTTCGCAGATGTATCTTGCAACAAAATTTCACAAATTATGTCATAGGGTATACTCTGACGTATTTGTAAACTTGGTGGTGCAGGACCCTGTTGCACAAGGCGTTCGTAGTGCAACAACAGCCGTAAGTCTCTGTTAAAGTATCAAAGGCTGTTAGAATCACCTTAGCGAAACAATACCTCTTTGGAACAGACCTTTGAATTCTAAAGGTGGGCCGGTGTATGGTATTAAATTAATATGTGTCAACTTTTGACATGTTTGAAGTATTATTCGTTCAAACACAATTGGATCATACTGTCGCGTTTTTAAAGTTATAAACATCAAGTATTAAATAAAATACTAAGCTCACTCATGTGTAATAAGAATTTAGGAACCTCGTAAATAGTTCTGTTATTTGACGAGTGACAGCCAGAACTATTCTCTCATTATGTACAGTTGGTATTACACGGAGGCTCGTTTAGTATTCTACGTACCGTATTGTCTTGAGTATAGTGCGCACTTTTTAAAAAAAAATACAGCAGGGTAGAAGGGGTGCACATTATACAAGCCATGATGGGTTTTTTTTCCCTAAGGCAAAGACATTACTGTGAACACATAACATCGCAAATACCATGTCAACAAATCCATACTGAGGTACGCAAATTAATCATGTAATTACACTGTCTGGCTATAAAAAGTAATCGGTAGTAGTACATTGCAAATGGATATAGGTCAATTATATAATGTCTGTAGTAGCTCTGTGCATAACTAATATAGAATGCAAAGCAAAATTGATGTGTGTGACTATCTTGTTTAGTTTAATAAAGTGTTTGTAAATGTCTCTTGCATTCATGAGTTTGCTTCAGTTCTGCATTGTAGTTGCAAATAGATTGATGTCTCGCAATTTTTTATGAATGAAAAAAGTAGTTCCGGTGTGACAAAGGTCACAGTTATCCAATCAAAACGAACTAAATGAGGTCAACATTGTATGACACACGTGTGACGTATGGATTTAGTATCTTACCACCTGTATCTTCACCATTAAGCTGGACACCTTCTGAAGAACTCACCAATGACCTTGACCTTGACCTTGACAGTGCAAGAGTTCATAGAGATATGAAACAAGTATACAGACAACCGAGTCGCCTAGGTTCAGAAGTAGTTGAACTTACCAATGACCTTGATGTTGATAGTGCAAGTGCCGATGTTGCCAGCGTAGTCCTCTGCTTCGTACAGCACCAGCATGTCAGAGGCTATAAGTGTCTTGTTCCCCTGAAAGTTGGGTGGTGACACGCTCCGTCTCAGCAGCAGGACTGTGTTGTCCTGTGGGTTGGGGTCAAGATTAGGCAGGGTCTGGAACCGCTTGACTGACCTCTCACCCGATGGGCAGTTGTAAAAGATAGGTTTCTGCTGATCTGAAACAGGCACATTTGTGACGATTAGAGAATAACCAAGCTGCTACTAGGTGTCCTGAGTGAATTAATATTGTTACAGGAATGTTGTAGCAATGTTGCAGGAATGTTGAGGCAATGTTGCAGGAATGTTGTAGAAATGTTGTAGAAATGTTGCAGGAATGTTGCTGAAATGTTGTTGCAGTGTTGCAGGAATGTTGTAGCAATGTTGCAATATTGTAGGAATGTGGTACAAATGTTGTAGGAATGTTGCAGGAATGTTGTAGCAATTTTGCAGGAACATTGCAGGAAAGTTGTAGCAATGTTGCAGGAATGTTGCAGGAATGTTGTAGCAATGTTGCAGGAATGTTGTAGCAATATTGCAGAAATTTGCAGGAATGTTGTAGCAATGTTGCAATATTGTATGAATGTTGTACAAATGTTGTAGGAATGTTGTAGGAAGGTTGCAAGGAATGTTGCAGGAAACGTTTTTAGATAATGTTATACCACAGCATTGTAGCAACATTAAAAAAACATACAATTTAACATGGCACCAGTTTTTTGTCTCCTGGGATGGGTATGGTGCTGTCACGTGGAACCCTTGCGGGTTGTGAACGAAGAAGGCCGTGGCCCTACCTGTGCAGTTAGGCATGGTGCCATTCCATTGCAGGGAGACAGTCTGATAGTTGTAGACACATTCTAGGGGATATGGGTCAGTGGGCAAGAAGCCTCGGTCACATCGGTAAGACACCAAGCTGAACTCCTCGTATGACGTGACCACCTGTTCCCCACCAGGGGGCGTGCCAGGGTCACTACACATTGGGCCTACAACACAGGAAAAAATTCACGAGTCATTTTGCAGTTTTTCAGTTCCTAACATTTTAAACAATCTTATTCGCCATGAAACTTCTATTAATATTAGAAATATGTTAGAGGGAAAAAAATACCACAATTTTAATGCGACGGTTTAAGGTTCATTTCCTAAATATAATAATTGGAATGAAATGAATTTAATATTTGTTCACTTCTGCAAAACCGTGGCCTGGCTTGAGAATGATACAATCTTAACATCACTGATCAGACAATCTGCAGGACAAGTTGGGTTTAAGAAATATTTTGAGCCCTGCTGATCACATGAACATACATGTATATTCTGATTGGTGCACAACAAAAAAATTTTTTAGAAATACATGCTGCACCAGCATTTCATGCAAACTAATGTTCAGAAGTGATGTGAGTCAGACAGATATTTGTTATTGTTTTTAATGCTGCACTCAACAATATTCCAGCTATACTGACAGTGGCCAGTAAATAGTCGAGCCTGGAAGTTAAAATACTGATTGATATCATAAGCACCAAGACACAGTCTGAGTACCATGACAGACAAATCAATTAAGTCACCATGCCTGACCACCTGATCAACATAGTCCCCTCATTCATCAAAACAAAGGTTGACGGGGATGCTATTCTAATCCAGAATCTCCACAGAGTTAGCACAGATGGAGCAAGATGCAGCAAGATGCAGCAGAGATGCAGCGAGATGCAGCAGAGATGCAGCAAGATGCAGCAAGATGCAGTAGAGATGCAGCAGAGATTCAGCAGAGATGCAGCAAGATGCAGCAGAGATGCAGCAAGATGCAGCAAGATGCAGTAGAGATGCAGCAAGATGCAGCAGAGATGCAGCAAAGATGCAGCAGAGATGCAGGAGAGATGCAGCAGAGATGCAGCACGATGCAGCAAGATGCAGTAGAGATGCAGGAGAGATGCAGCAAGATGCAGCAGAGATGCAGCAAGATGCAGTAGAGATGCAGCAGAGATGCAGCAAGATGCAGCAGAGATGCAGCAAGATGCAGCAGAGATGCAGCAGAGATGCAGCAGAGATTCAGCAGAGATGCAGCAAGATGCAGCAGAGATGCAGCAGAGATGCAGCAAAGCTGTAGCAGGGTGTAGCAGAGATGCAGCAAGATGCAGGAGAGATGCAGCAAGATGCAGGAGAGATGCAGCAGAGATGCAGCAAGATGCAGGAGAGATGCAGCAGAGATGCAGCAAGCTGTAGCAGGATGTAGCAGAGATGCAGCAAGATGCAGTAGAGATGCAGCAAGCTGTAGCAGGATGTAGCAAGATGCAGCAAGATGCAGCAGAGATGCAGCCTGTAACATTCAACCTGACTTGGTCCAATTCTAACTGAGAATCACTGCAAAGTGTAACCAGAGAATGTGTGACAGATTGTTTAACACTTCACAGAGAGCAGGTATCCCACCTATACATCGAAGGCTGTTGAAGTCCCACTGTCCGTCAGAGCCACACCGCACGTAGGCGTCATTGTAGGAGCTGGTACCATTCCGGGTGAACAGCGGAGCCTTGCACTCAAACAGAAACTGGCAGCCGGACTTGGTGCAGGAAGTGATGTATGAGGTCGTCCCTGAGACGCGAGGGGGACTGCCACAGTCCACGCCTGGAATAAGGAGGAAGTGGTATTAGAGAAACAAAATCAATTGATAAAACTTGGACCATATCTTTCAGATACATCTTAAGGCTCATATCCCATGTTGATAATCTAATGGATACTTGAATTGGCTTTTGTAGTTTGTTTGTTTGTTGTTGCACACAGTAATATTCTAGCTATATGACAGCAGTCTGTAAATAATCAAGTCCAAACATCATGAACATCGATCAGAGCATTGGGGATGTGACATGCACCAGCCGATCCATTGAGATGCCTCTGGTTGCATGGGTTGCTGAAGTTGAAGTGTGAGATAAATTGCCGTAAAATGTCTTGTTTAAGATTATTGCACTAAGATAGATGTGTGTGTGTGTGTGTGTGTGGGGGGGGGGGGGGGGGAGATTATTGTACTTAGATAGATGTGTGTGGGTGGGGGGGGGGGAGATTATTGTACTTAGATAGATGTGTGTGTGTGTGTGGGGGGGGGGGAGAGATTATTGTACTTAGATAGATGTGTGTGTGTGTGTGGGGGGGGATTATTGTACTTAGATAGATGTGTGTGGTGGGGGGGGGGATTACTGTACTTAGATGTGTGTGTGGGGGGGGGGGGGAGGGATGGTGCACTCTCATTTAGGCACTTAAAGACGAAACAATAGTTTTCTGCATCTAGGCAACAATCTAATCTACCAACAGATCCCATTTGAAAAAAACAAAACGATGGAGATTGCTGATTATCTAACAGTGTTGAATGACTATAAATGTACTCTAAAATGCCTTCTTCATGCAAAGTATTCCAAGAGACCGGTCATTTATTATAGGAGTGCTAGGCAGTATTTTAAAAAGGGATGAATCCTCTCTCAGATAATTTTACTCTCTACAACATACTAACTACATTTGGTTTTCAAAAGGGAAAGGGGGGTCGGGGGTGTGGGTGGGGGGGTCTGGACCCCTTGGATCTCCCTCTCGATCTGGAATGAGGGGAGGGTCACCAAAAAATATGAGGGGAGGGATATAAAAAATGTACATTTCATTTTTCATAAATAATATTCAGTGCTTTTGCATTTTGTCTTTTCAGGGAGGGTCATGTACATGGGGAGGGTCATCCAAAATTATGAGTGAGTGAGTGAGTATGGTTTTACGCCGCATTTAGCAATATTCCAGCAATATCACGGCGGGGGACACCAGAAATGGGCTTCACACATTGTACCCATGTCGGGAATGGAACCCGGGTCTGCAGCATGACGAGCTCCAAACTAATGACAAGCATTAGGGGAGTCATTATTTACAATGCAATAGAGCATCAAAAACCTCCCACCCACTCCTCCACAAGGGAAAATTGGGGAAAAATTACGACATTGTTCAAACTTTGATTTCTTTAATACTTTTGTTCATTCAATTGCATTGGGAAATGTTCAATCACGACGTAAGCTCATATGATTCATGTCTGTGAGCTCCATAGAGGATGTTCCATACTCACTGGGGCATGTGAGGGAGGTGGAAGACACCTGGTAGGAACTGGTGCGCTTGTTGTAGTAACACGGGCGTTCCTCTGCCGTCGTGCCACCCCCGGGCAAGGAGCAGGTGAGCCTGAAGTAGGCAAGGTAGGGGATGCTCCCCTTGGGGGTGACTGTTGGAGCGTTAGTCGAGCCCGGGGAGACAGTCAGCTCGGGACAGCTAGCCGCTGGAAAATAAAACACATGCATATCAACATATATCTAAAGCTCCCAACTCTGATTACTGAATCCTTTGCTTTCTCTCCAGGGTGAGAAAAGACATTTCAAGCACTGTGGTGGAGCTTGAAAACAAATATTTAAAAGGGAGATAACTCACTTAAGACAGCATCATACCACTAGTGAAATTTGAGGCAATAGGGTCTTGAAATGTATTTTCATTGCCAGCTGGAATGCATCCCTGAATCTTCCAAAATACAATATTACAATACAAAAATACAGTCTGCGAATAAACTCTATTTAAGCTTTAACACTCATTGATAGGCACTGAGTTTCTGTCCCAAGGAACTCACAGTTGAAGAAGACACCTACCGACACATACAGGAAACGAGGCACTCCATGTGTTGCTGCTGACACACTGCAGGGTTGTCTCCCCCTGTGGGATGAAGCCGATGTCACATATGTAGGTGACCAGGTCACCGACACTGAAGGTGGTCGACGTGGTCAGAACTTGACCATTGGGGATTGTCAGTGCTGGAGCCGGGCACTTCTGTCCTGTAGCAAACACACACAGGTCATGGTTTGTTTAAGCCATCAGTCAGATTGTACTGACACAGGTGTGGTTGTACTGACAGGGGTCTGGTTGTACTGATACAAGTGTGATTGTACTGATACAGGTGTGGTTGTACTGATACAGGTGTGATTGTACTGATACAGGTGTTGTTGTACTAACACAGATGTGGTTGTACTGACACATGCGTGGTTGTACTGATACAGGTGTGGTTGTACTGATACAGGTGTGGTTGTACTGACACAGGCGTGGTTGTACTGACACAGGTGTGGTTGTACTGATACAGGTGTGGATGTACTGACAGGCGTGGATGTACTGACACAGATGTGGTTGTACTGATACAGATGTGGTTGTGCTGACACAGATGTGGTTGTACAGACACAGGTGTGGTTCTACTGACACAGGTGTGGTTGTACCTATACAGGTGTAGTTGTACTGATACAGTAGTGGTTGTACCGATACAGATGTGGTTGTACTGACACAGATGTGGTTGTTCTGATACAGGTGTGATTGTTCTGATACAGGTGTGGTTGTACTGATACAGGTGTGGTTGTACTGATACAGGTGTGGTTGTACTGACACAAGTGTGGTTGTACTGACACAGGCGTGGTTGTACTGACACAGGTGTGGTTGTACTGATACAGGTGTGGATGTACTGACAGGCGTGGTTGTATTGACACAGATGTGGTTGTACTGATACAGATGTGGTTGTACTGATACAGGTGTGGTTGTACTGACACAGGTGTGGTTGTACTGACACAGATGTGGTTGTACTGACACAGGTGTGGTTGTACTGATACAGGTGTGGTTGTACTGACACAGATGTGGTTGTACTGATACAGGTGTGGTTGTACTGACACAGATGTGGTTGTACTGATACAGGTGTGGTTGTACTGATACAGGTGTGGTTGTACTGATACAGATGTGGTTGTACTGACACGGGTGTGGTTGTACTGACACATGTGTGGTTGTACTGATACAGGTGTGATTGTACTGACACATGTGTGGTTGTACTGATACAGGTGTGATTGTACTGACACATGTGTGGTTGTACTGATACAGGTGTGATTGTTCTGATACAGGTGTGGTTGTACTGATACAGGTGTGATTGTACTGACACAGGTGTGGTTGTACTGATACAGGTGTAATTGTACTGACACAGATGTGGTTGTACTGATACAGGTGTGGTTGTACTGATACAGATGTGGTTGTACTGATACAGGTGTGGTTGTACTGATACAGGTGTGGTTGTACTGATACAGGCGTGGTTGTACTGACACAGATGTGGTTGTACTGATACAGGTGTGATTGTTCTGATACAGGTGTGGTTGTACTGACACAGGTGTTGTTGTACTGATACAGATGTGGTTGTACTGACACAGATGTGGTTGTACTGACACAGGCATGATTGTACTGATACAGGTGTGGATGTACTGACACAGGTGCGATTGTACTGACAGGTTTGGTTGTACTGACACAGATGTGGTTGTACTGATACAGGTGTGGTTGTACTGATACAGATGTGGTTGTACTGACACAGGTAGGGTTGTACTGATAGAGGTGTGGTTGTACTGATACAGGTGTGGTTGTACTGATACAGGTGTGGTTGTACTGATACAGTCATGGTTGTACTGACACAGGTGTAGTTGTACTGATACAGGTGTGGTTGTACTTATACAGGTGTGGTTCTACTGATACAGATGAGGTTAGTCACTGTCTTATACATGTGTTGTTGATGACTTACTGATACAGGTGTGGTTGATGTGGTACAAGTTCCAGGGCTTGTCTCCGGTCTCGCCGATGGGGATCAAGATCCCTCCCAGTCCATTATATGTGTACAGCTGGAAGCCGGTAGGACAGGAACAGCGGTAGCCGCCAGGGAAGTTTTCGCACGTGTTCGTGCACTCGCCGTTGTTGTAGTCACATTCATTTATGTCTGTAAGACCAGCAACAGTATTACAGGTAGCAATGGCCGGCAAGCACCTGGTGTGTACAAGTACCACTAGCAAGAGAAGCATTATGTTAAGACTCAGAGTATTGGCTTGGTCAATCTTGCCCTTACAACAACCTGTGAGTGAGTTGGGATTAATGTTGTTTTTAACAGTATTCTAGTAATATTACGGCATGTCAGCTGAATGTGGAAGAAAGCCAGAAGCCATTTTAGTGAAACCAATGAGTAAGGGTATGGTGCTGACAAAAATAGAAACAAAAAAAATGTGAACCAAGATTTCGACCCACAATCATAGGTTTCTGGCATGCCCAACGGATGCAACTCTGCACAGTGAATTGTGGCGCCTTAGGTGACTGGGCAACAACAACCTGTTTAATCCGCATTACATCTGAATCAGCAGAAGAACATTTGTATAATTGAGACATAATGGACACTGTTGGACACTAACGCTTCTAAGCTTCCAACCGCCATAACTACAGTTCCTCTGTGTGGCAGACTTACCCTCGCAGTCAGGCGACCCAGCGCTGAGTGGCCGATAGCCTTCGTTGCACGAACACGTAAAGCCTCCATCCTTGTCCTTACATAGCTGAGCACACCCTGATGTCCCCTCCGTACACTCATTGATGTCTGAAACGTAGAATATTGGCTGTACACACTAAAGATGCCAGACTTCCATTTACCAAGAAAGTGCTACAATATGTTGTACCTGTATGATGAACATGGTCGAGTCATTTGGGTAACTAAATTAAGGAATTGAATTGTAAACTTGGGTGGGGAGATGTTTGGAGGTTCCAAATGTATGGAAACCAGAATGTTTTCTAAATATGTTTCAACAACGTTTGAAAGACAATTTTCAGCAGATCTGGCATAGCAAACTTCTTGCAAGTTAAAAAATGTCATATTAAGCTTGTTTTAAAACTTGTGTTAAATGTGAACCATATTTGTCATTTTAAATTCGCAAAATATTAAAACAACCCTCACGAGATTCAGACTGAGTTGTCATACTTTGGACATTGAGAATGGACGTCATTATAAAATTCCACGAAATTTAAGAAAATGCAAACTTTGTGAACTAGACTGTGTTGAAACCGTGTACCACTTCCTGCTCATATGTCCATCGTATGTCAAGTTACGGCAACTATATCTCAAAGCAAAGTTCTAGTGTCATCCTCACGTTCATAAATTTAATGTGCTTCTGTCATCACCAGATACATATATTATTACAAATCAAGCAAAATATCTGTATTATGCAAATGAAGTAAGAAATGCAAAACTGAATGTTTAAAACTTGTCTGTAGTCAACTTTTGTACACAAAGGCCAGTGACCTTTCTCAATTTTTGAATCTTCATGTTTATCTGTTTAAATCAGAAGCAATCTCATATCTTCATTTCCATGTGTTTCTCCAGTAGTTCCTGTATGAAAGCACTTGTGGTACTGCTTCATACCACAAATATTTTTAGTTTAAAAAAACATTTCTAAGTATGCTAAGGAATTATTTCAGGGTTATGATTCTAACAATGTCATTGGCATAATAAAAGATGGAATTTTGAACCCCTTTTTCAGAAGCGTCCTTTGGCATGTTTGAAAACTATCCATCATTTCTATCCCTGTAAGACAGACATTTGGACTTACACACATTATTCACATTTTTTGTGGAAGCATCAGTGGCTGAGTGGTTCAGATTGCTGACTTTGTGTGCTGGCAATTAGGTGCCTCACCCTGGCAAGTGCGGGTTCGAATCCCGGATGGGACCCAACCCAAAAAAAGTACGAGAATCTGTATTTTACTAAGAAAGTGTTATCCCAAATATAACATGTTACATTTGGACTTACTGTTGCACTGTGGAGGTGTGTCAATACCACACTTGAACTTCGCCTGTCCTGACAACTGGTACCCAGAGTCACAGGAAACTGTCACATCTTCATTCACGTAAACCCCCAAACTTGGGGACAAGGTCGCATGGTCGACGTAAGGAAGGCCGCACTTGACCTCTGTCACCATAGAAACAATGTTGGCAGTGAATGAAAAACAAAATGACTTTGACAGTTTTCTTCTGGAAATGTTTTAATTTTATCAAGTTTTCAGTCCAAAATATGCAGAATATCAAAATTACCATATCTAAATATGTAAATAGGCTGCAAATAATTAAGTACTATATCTTAAACAGGCAGTTCACTCAGGCTTTGAATTCCTACACAGTTTCTCAATTACTTTCTTGAATGAAAGAAAACATCACATGATAACAAAAGTGTGTTTCTGTAGAATACCATTCTAATTCCTGATATATTTATGATAAGAAACACACTTGGTGAATATTTTCGGATTTGAAACTTAGTTTGTAATGTTGGATTTTATTCAGTCAATACTTTCATGTGCCATATGTATAACAGTTAATTTCAACCTACTGTCACAGAGAGGTCTGTTCCCTGACCACACACCCTGATTGCAGGTGAGGGTATCCACGCCGATGATGTCATACCCGACAATGCAGCTGTAGCGGACCACGGAGCCGTGGTCAATGTCGTTGCCCTTCAGCGCCACAAAGTTTCCATTCAAAATAGAAGGTAAAGGTGGGCATGTTGGCGCTGGAAGACAGATGGGGGATGTTACTACTGCATATCTGATTTCTCTATCTCTAAAACGAACTTACATGGGCAGTTCCAAATGAGAATAAAGACAGCACAATATATGTTGTTAATTCCAGTCTTTACCAATAGTACAATGCCTGTTTCTCCTATACCTGAACATGATGGTGGTGTGGCCCATTGTCCAGTACTGAGACAGGTGACGGTCTGTTGCTGTGTGGTGGAGTAGCCGGTGTTGCAGGTGTATGTCGCGGAGTCGCTGCCGTACAGGCCCGTCACAGACACCAGGGCACCGTTGTTGATGCTGGGAGGAGAGCCACAGAACACCCCTGAAATACATGTACATCTGATAGTACATAGTGATAGTACACATTCAAAGTAGGTGTGCTTATGTAACACAGAATCACTCCATGATTACATATTCCCTGATCAGGTTTAGTTTGATTACATCCCTCAGAGTAAACATTTTACCAGGGAGCCACCTTATCAGTTTTTCAAGGAGCCTGAGAACTTCAAGGATCCAAGGCATAATGTTGGGACCAAATGTTCTGATTGCATCTAGAATATGCTATTTTTACGAATGTTGACCTATTCACTTACACAGTAACTAAACTCTTCACACCACTGAAACAAGCAACCGTAGAAATAGTGACCAAGCGCTTCCGTATATCTGTGTTTGGAGCTAACATTAGCAGTAACTGACAATCAAAAAGTTAGGATTCGTTAGCAAAATATATTTTTAGCGAGTATGGCGAGATCAAAACTGTGCATTATTTTTAACCCAATTTCTGCCAATTTTTTAATTTTGTAAGCTTTTATTCTTGACAAAATGTAGTGTATGCAGCAACAGGCGATTGACACAAAGATATAGGATGCAAATTCAAAATCATGGCCATGGCGACCAAATTAGTCACAAAATTGAGGCCACATTTAAAAGTCGTCTAATGCAGCACTCAGCAATATAACTCTGGCTTGTGGTATAAAACCTAACGCAGGACGAATAAAACCACATGTACCCCTCATGATACTGCTTCAACTTATATATTACTTCAATATGAGAAATCCAATAAGTACATGCATATAATAATTAATGATTACTGAGTGAGATAATCTGAGACACTGTATAAAGATCCTATACACAAAATGATTTCTCCCAACTCGCACTACCACCTGGATTACTTCTCACACAAAAACACAACCCTGTCAATCCATCCTCAATGGAGGACTCTAATAGACCAAACACTCAACAAAACCTGGCCCTTAACAAGTTTTAGTGCATGTTGCTAAGTATCTTTCTTAACTTGTTCTCCAAGAACTGTTTCTTGTAAGGATAAAAAAAATTGAACAAGACAAAAGTGAGCGGGCTCACTAATACCCCATTTTGAATCCAACACATTTCTATCTTCAAAACATGAAAAAAGCAATATTTTCTCAGAAATCGAAATCAAACTTTGCACTGCACATCTCCTATTGGTATAGAAGCTCTACCCCCAACTGGAAAAGAATCCATGAACTAGTATTTAAGTTATAGGTCGCACTAATATTGAAGGCTTCCAAGGCACTCTCATACTGCGACTGTAGGCTTGTGATCCATGAATGTTGTTTTATCATTTGGTTAAAGAATCCATCAACTAAATATTTCATAAAAGTGGGAAAAAAAATATAACAATTTAATAACTGACACGTTTGTGCTTATATCATCAGTTAAAACATTTTGGTTATAGCATTATCTTCAAATAGATTGATGTTGCATGAAATGAACTCTTGGACATTGAGATTTTGATAAGTGACAATTGAGAACATTTAAGAACATTTTCATGACTAGCAATTTCCTATTTAAAAATCTTTAAAATCTCTAAAATTCTTTAGAGCATCTTGGGAAGCAATCAGTTAATGTCTCAGAATATGTATCAACCGGAAATCGTCTAATACATGGAAACAGACAAACCTCTATTAGTATAAAGGGAGTGGGGATGAGGTCGATTGTAACTAGATGGACACTTAGTAATTGGTCAAACTATCAACATTCAACTGATCTGTTATCTCTTGTGGGGAGGAGTCTATTGTAACTAGATGGACACTTAGTAATCGGTCAAACTATCAACAGTCAACTGATCTGTTACCTCTTGTGGGGAGGTGTCTATTGTAACTAGATGGACACTTAGTAATCTGTCAAAACTATCATCATTCAACTGATGTGTTACCTCTTGTGGGGAGGAGTCTATTGTAACTAGATGGACACTTAGTAATTTTTCAAACTATCAACAGTCAACTGATCTGTTACCTCTTGTGGGGAGGTGTCTATTGTAACTAGATGGACACTTAGTAATCTGTCAAAACTATCAACTGATCTGTTACCTCCTTGGGGAGGAGTCTATTGTAACTAGATGGACACTTAGTAATCTGTCAAAACTATCAACTGATCTGTTATCTCTTGTGGGGAGGAGTCTATTGTAACTAGATGGACACTTAGTAATCTGTCAAACTATCAACATTCAACTGATCTGTTACCTCTTGTTGGGAGGAGTCTATTGTAACTAGATGGACACTTAATAATCTGTCAAACTATCAACTGATCTGTTATCTCTTGTGGGGAGGAGTCTATTGTAACTAGATGGACACTTAGTAATCTGTCAAACTATCAACTGATCTGTTACCTCTTGTGGGGAGGAGTCTATTGTAACTAGATGGACACTTAGTAATCTGTCAAACTATCAACATTCAACTGATCTGTTATCTCTTGTGAGGAGGAGTCTATTGTAACTAGATGGACACTTAGTAATCTGTCAAACTATCAACATTCAACTGATCTGTTACCTCTTGTGGGGAGGTGTCTATTGTAACTAGATGGACACTTAGTAATCTGTCAAACTATCAACTGATCTGTTATCTCTTGTGGGGATGAGTCTATTGTAACTAGATGGACACTTAGTAATCCTCAAAACTATCAACTGATCTGTTATCTCTTGTGGGGAGGAGTCTATTGTAACTAGATGGACACTTAATAATCTGTCAAACTATCAACTGATCTGTTACCTCTTGTGGGGAGGAGTCTATTGTAACTAGATGGACACTTAGTAATCTGTCAAAACTATCAACTGATCTGTTATCTCTTGTGGGGAGGTGTCTATTGTAACTAGATGGACACTTAGTAATCTGTCAAAACTATCAACTGATCTGTTACCTCCTTGGGGAGGAGTCTATTGTAACTAGATGGACACTTAGTTATCTGTCAAACTATCAACTGATCTGTTATCTCTTGTGGGGAGGAGTCTATTGTAACTAGATGGACACTTAATAATCTGTCAAACTATCAACTGATCTGTTACCTCTTGTGGGGAGGAGTCTATTGTAACTAGATGGACACTTAGTAATCTGTCAAAACTATCAACTGATCTGTTATCTCTTGTGGGGAGGTGTCTATTGTAACTAGATGGACACTTAGTAATCTGTCAAAACTATCAACTGATCTGTTACCTCCTTGGGGAGGAGTCTATTGTAACTAGATGGACACTTAGTAATCTGTCAAAACTATCAACTGATCTGTTATCTCTTGTGGGGAGGAGTCTATTGTAACTAGATGGACACTTAGTAATCTGTCAAACTATCAACTGATCTGTTATCTCTTGTGGGGAGGAGTCTATTGTAACTAGATGGACACTTAGTAATCCTCAAAACTATCAACTGATCTGTTATCTCTTGTGGGGAGGAGTCTATTGTAACTAGATGGACACTTAGTAATCTGTCAAACTATCAACTGATCTGTTACCTCTTGTGGGGAGGAGTCTATTGTAACTAGATGGACACTTAGTAATCTGTCAAAACTATCAACTGATCTGTTATCTCTTGTGGGGAGGAGTCTATTGTAACTAGATGGACACTTAGTAATCTGTCAAAACTATCAACATTCAACTGATCTGTTACCTCTTGTGGGGAGGAGTCTATTGTAACTAGATGGACACTTAGTAATCTGTCAAACTATCAACTGATCTGTTATCTCTTGTGGGGAGGTGTCTATTGTAACTAGATGGACACTTAGTAATCTGTCAAACTATCAACTGATCTGTTACCTCTTGTGGGGAGGTGTCTATTGTAACTAGATGGACACTTAGTAATCTGTCAAACTATCAACTGATCTGTTACCTCTTGTGGGGAGGAGTCTATTGTAACTAGATGGACACTTAGTAATCTGTCAAACTATCAACATTCAACTGATCTGTTATCTCTTGTGGGGAGGAGTCTATTGTAACTAGATGGACACTTAGTAATCTGTCAAACTATCAACATTCAACTGATCTGTTACCTCTTGTGGGGAGGTGTCTATTGTAACTAGATGGACACTTAGTAATCTGTCAAACTATCAACTGATCTGGTATCTCTTGTGGGGAGGAGTCTATTGTAACTAGATGGACACTTAGTAATCCTCAAAACTATCAACTGATCTGTTATCTCTTGTGGGGAGGAGTCTATTGTAACTAGATGGACACTTAGTTATCTGTCAAACTATCAACTGATCTGTTATCTCTTGTGGGGAGGAGTCTATTGTAACTAGATGGACACTTAGTAATCCTCAAAACTATCAACTGATCTGTTATCTCTTGTGGGGAGGAGTCTATTGTTACTAGATGGACACTTAGTAATCTGTCAAACTATCAACTGATCTGTTATCTCTTGTGGGGAGGAGTCTATTGTAACTAGATGGACACTTAGTAATCTGTCAAACTATCAACTGATCTGTTATCTCTTGTGGGGAGGAGTCTATTGTAACTAGATGGACACTTAGTAATCCTCAAAACTATCAACTGATTTGTTATCTCTTGTGGGGAGGAGTCTATTGTAACTAGATGGACACTTAGTAATCTGTCAAACTATCAACTGATCTGTTATCTCTTGTGGGGAGGAGTCTATTGTAACTAGATGGACACTTAGTAATCCTCAAAACTATCATCATTCAACTGATGTGTTACCTCTTGATCCTTTGTTTCAGAAAAAAAGATAAAAATGATTAACTTCACTCAAATCTAGCATGTCAATGATCATAAGAATATGTTTGACTTGGTTACATAAAGGATGAGGTAGAAGAATATGAGAGATGTCAAGATATAAAGTTACAGAAAGTTTAGAAAGAATGGTCATACAAATTCAAATGGCCGACAACTTAAGAATGGTTAAAATAAGTTCATCAGAAAATTAATTTTGATCAAAGATTTGCTCATTTCAAATATTCAATAAATGCTGCCAGAAAACCTCCCAAATCAGCCTTTTTCACAAATTTTAGCCTTATCTATACATTTAGTGTTACAAAAGAACATACATGTAGCATATCGCATTTGCACTGAGAACATACATGTAGCATATCGTATTTGCACTGAGAACACATGTGTAGCATATCGTATTTGCACTGAGAACACATGTGCAGCATATCGTATTTGCACTGAGAACACACGTGCAGCATATCGTATTTGCACTGAGAACCCACGTGTAGCATATCGTGTTTGCACTGAGAACACATGTGTAGCATATCGTATTTGCTACATGTATGTTCTCAGTGCAAATACAATATGCTACACATGTGTTCTCAGTGCAAATACGATATGCTACATGTATGTTCTCAGAGCAAATACGATATGCTACACGTGTGTTCTCAGTGGACTTATGATATGCTACATGTGTTCACAGTGGACTTACCATATGCAACACATGTGTTCACAGAGGACTTATGATATGCCACAGATATGTTTACAATGAACTTACAATATGCAACAGATATGTTTACAGGGGACTTAAGATATGCAACAGATATGTTTACAGTGACTTACGATATGCCACAGATATGTTTACAGTGGACTTACGATATGCAACACATGTGTTCACAGTGGACTTACGATATGTCACAGGTATGTTTACAGTGACTTACGATATGCCAAAGATATGTTCACAGTGGACTTACGATACGCTACAGATATGTTCACAGTGGACTTACGATAAGCGACAGATATGTTCACAGTGGACTTACGATACGCTACAGATATGTTTACAGTGGACTTACGATATGCTACAGATATGTTCACAGTGGACTTACGATACGCTACAGATATGTTCACAGTGGACTTACGATACGCTACAGATATGTTCACAGTGGACTTACGTGAGCATGATGGGACAGGGCTGATGCTCCACTTCCCCTCAGTACATGTCAGCTGTACGCTGGTTTGGGCCGATAAGCCAGCCGTCGAAAACACATATCCCACCTTACAGGAAACAGTGATGCGATCTCCATGGTAACGAGCATAATTTGTTGGCTGAATTTCAAGTGTTGAATCTATGACTTGTGGGCAACCTGGAAGGTGGAAAAGTACATGAATTATACATGAGTTATAAATGAAAACTCTCATATGCCTTTATCAAACATGTTCTGTTTCTCGGAGAAAATTTTGCATAGAAATTCTTATATATTCCTAGTACGATGTAATTTTCAAATTCTGAAAATTACATCCTTGCTTTGAAGGCAAAGTAAAATATGTTCCACAACATTGGGTCACTTCACTTTCAGTAAAATGAGCCAGTGATTAAGATAAGAGGACGTACCTGCAGTGAAATCTGCTGTGAATCCTACATCCGTCCCTGTAGCACTGGTGGACAGACGCACATACAGGCGACCTCCTTCGGTGCTGACTTGACCTGGTGACCCTGACCCCGTGAACCCTGACCCAGAGTGCACTGGGGTTCCAAATTCATTGTTCCCTTCATACACCTGTACATAGAAAATAATCAGTGATCATAATTACATATATATCGAGCTTATTCAGAAAGGTAAGGTGAAAAGGGGTATACATTATGTTCAAGGTTATTGCACTCATAGTGTTGTGTTGTGTTGGATTGTGTTTCTTATCGAGCTAGCCAACTGAGATACCTTGTCTGTTTCAACATGGATACTCCCTCAGACACATAATACTGATCCCGAACTGACCAATCTTTACTTTATCCCTGTAACGCGGAACACCAGGCAGGGTAACAACAAGTACCATATCTTAACATATAACGGCTGGGGATGAGCCACCGACCTCCGCATACAGAGCAGACGCACTATCCACTACACTCCGGAGACGGTACAATTACTTCCTAAAGGCAGATGAGTGCAAAGCTATTGACTGGATACAAAAGCAATTTGAGGACAATCCTGTCTTTGAAAAAGGTGGCTTACGCACCACAGAAAAAAGCACATGCAACTATTGTGATACGTATCGCATTAAGAACACGGTATCATAATTCGCATCGGATCGCACAGTTGGTGTATTGTCCCAGCCCTATATAGTTCGATAAATCTTTAAAACACTGAAAGAAAATAATTGCCTGCACATGGGAAATGATCGTCATGAAAAATAATATTGTACACAGCACGATAGCAATCATTTTGTATTCATTCACACAAGTTAATGCACTAAATACTGGATCCAATTCCTGATCTTGGAGGAGTGAAAAAATTCTTCATCACCTTGGGTGTTATATAACTCCATTCTATTCTCACCTAACTGCCACCAAAGACTTTTTTCAACCCAATTCAAAATTCAGAACGCAAAACGAGAGAACTGAGACATCAATACCTGTAGAAAATCCTTTCGATTCTCTAGCCTGAAGTTGGAGTTAAAGCTGAGTCTAAGTGGCGTGGAGATTGACAAAAGCCAGGAACAGCTGAGGATGCTGGGATATTGTCCCGTGGTATACCCTGGTGAGGATATCGTGCCAGATGTCGCCGATATTTCCACATCACACCCTGAAGACAACAATTAGTAGTGAGTGAGTGAGTGAGTGAGTTGGGTTTAACGCCGCTTTTAACAGTATTCCAGTTATATCGCGGTGTGTCAGCTTAATGTGGGAGGAAAGCCCGAAGTGATGCAAGTCTCAGACGTTTACCACGTCGGTGAAACCCAAGAGCACGGGTATGGTGCTGACAAACCTAGAAACATAATCGGGGCGAACCGGGATTCGAACCCACAATCATAGGTTTCTGGCATGCCCAAGGGACGCAACTCTGCACAGCGAATCGCGGCGCCTTAGACGACTTGGCCAACCCTGCCCCCCACAATTAGTAGTAATTATACATGTGGCTGATAACTTCTCAAAGCCTTCCTCATCCAAGATGATTAAGCTATAATAAATTCATCATTATTATTTCTAACAAATGTTATATTTGGGATAACACTTTCTCAGTGAAGTACAGATTCTCATACTTTTTGGGTTGAGTCCTGTCTGGGATTTGAACCCACACTGCCAGAGTGAGGCACTTAATCGCCAGCACACAAAGTCAGTGATCTGACCCACTCAGCCAGCATGGCTTCCACAAAATGGAAGTCTGACAACTGGTAGTCCAGATCACGTACTTTGTGTACCCCTCTGACAAGTGTATATTGGCACAGTCCCATGGCTGAAAGCTATGAACACACAATACCATTTAGAAAGTGGTTATATTTGGGATAACACTTTCTTGGTAAAGTACAGATTCTCGTACATTTTGGGTTGAGGCCTGTCCGGGGTTCGAACCCACACTGAAATAGCTTTCGGATGGGACCCAAAAAGTACGAGAATCTGTACTTTACCAAGAAAGTGTTATCCCAAACATAACCACTTTCTAAATGGCATTGTGTGTTCATTATTTTTTCTTCCCAATATTTCTATTTTAATCAAGGTTGAAGCAAATGTGTATGAGTGAATGACTGAATAAGTATTTTCTGAAGCAATATTCCAACTGTATTGCAGAGGCCTGCAAATGCTCAAGTCTCTGCCAGGCAAGCTGTGGTTGATGTTCCTGTTGTCTGGTCAACTATAATTCAGCTTTCATGGATGTCTCCAGGTCTGCTCAGAGGCCGACATTTGACCCCAAGTCTGCAGCAAATGTCTGCCCCTTTGATTTCTTGCTGAATGTCATACACAGCAATAATCCAAGACAGGGTGGCTGCATGCTCATACTTGTATCAAACAAGACATTGTGATTGACATGAACAAGTCAAAGAAGTCACCCGATCAATGGAGTCACCAAAAACAAGAAGCATATAGTTTGCTGGGGATCTATTCTAACCTGGAATCGCCACAGGGTTAGCATACAATCTATGCCATCTAAAAGCCCATCCAGAATGTTCTTCTTATCAGTTTAAAAATCTTTAATCAAGAATACGTCAAAATATGTTTCGAAGCGTCGTCGCCAGTTTGAAACTAGTGTCGTAAAGCTCGAGAAAGCTGCCTTCTGATTGGCCAAAGTCGATTTCTTGTCAGTCATTTCACTGGTCGGTCAAAATTCGTGAAAGGTCGTTCTGACGTGACCCGTAATGGGATGTCCTCAGATCTTTGTTTAGCGATATCGAGAACTAAGATCTGATTTTAATGAGATTGGCAGATATGCAACAGAGATGCAGAAGTGATGAAGCAAGATAGTTCATATGGCCTACCTGACTGATATGACAAGAGAAATCCTCTCTTCGTTCTGTCAATGTCCGACGTTTTAAACAGAACATACAACGAGGTCCCTGTCGAGATGAGACTGTTGTGTGGGGAACCCTGAGTAATGATGGTGACAGTTGGAGAAGATGGTCCGTCACCATCCAGCACTGTCACAGTGTCGCCTTCTGCTAGGTCAATATCCAGAATCTGAAATACAGCAATAGACAAACTATCATTCTTGACGAGGTCAAGATGCGAAAACAAGGACCTGAGGACTCAACCCCGAGGTCAGACCGCCAAAGGGTTCAAGTCCGAGTGTCCTTGTTTTTTGCATATTGACCTTGTCAAGAGTAATCATTCGTTTTGTTATACCGAAATTCACTTTAAAGTTTATGAAGCCTTTAAACCATCCTCTGTTTCACTACAGTAACCTAGATGCGACCTGTAAACTGTTAGTGTACCAGATAACATCTTGTTTTCTAGCAGACATGTCAATATTCATCATGTGACGGGTAAATAATCATCATGTGACAAGATAATATTCAAGGTCAGGGTCAGTTACATGACATCGGGGTCTACACTGAAATATATATTGTTTCGTTATGTGGTACAAATTAACAAATGGAATTGCAAGATTCATAATGTAGACATGACAAAACTAATCAAAATATACTGTTTTCAGAGATTTTATCTTGACCTGTGTACACATTTTGTCATGATACTGTTCTTATAATGTCAATTTTATTCAACATTTGTGAAACTTTCTGGAAATTATTAGAAAATGTCTTGAACCTAATAATAAAAAAACTAACATTTTAACTTCAATTGTAATCCAAACCAGGTCAGAGGTGAATACAGCCTTATTTGTTTGTTTGTTGTTTAACACCACACTCAATATTGCATCTGTTTGGAGCAGTGATCATCAGCCTCGATCTACCCAATTGGGATACGGTTACAAGCATCAACAAAGTCAGCAAGTCTGACCACCCCATCTAGATAGTCAGCTCTAAAGACAAGCATGGGTTGCTGGAGACCAATTCTAACCCGGATCTTCACAGCGAACACAGCCTCAAAGCATGTGCCCTATTACCCTGACACACTGGGCCTCTCACCTCAAGGGAGACAACTCTTCTGCTAGTTGCTATGATCGTCCATGCAATGGTTGCCCCTGGCAGATAGTACACAGGGTAGAGGGGGGAGTGGAGGCGCTGGGGGGTCACGGTGGCATACAGGGTTCCACCCAGATTGGGAATTGATGGCACAGCTGGAAAATAAGTACACTGATATAGATTTTGATATGAATTTTACATAAGGACACATGAATTATTTCTCGAATTAACCAGTTGCAAACCTCAATTTTACAAAATTATTTTTTTGTTGTAAAAATTTTGTTTAGGTGTAGGGGCGGTCAGGTAGCCTAGTGGATAAAGCATTCACTTGTCACGCCGAAGACCCGGGTTCGATTCCCGACATGGGTACAATGTGTGAAGCCCATTTCTGGTGTCCCCCGCCGTGATATTGCTGGAATATTGCTAAAAGCGGCGTAAAACCATACTCACTCACTCACTGTATAAGTGTAGACAACGTGGATATTTTGTGTAAATATGAAATTGACAAATTGTCACTGTGTTATAAGGGTATTAACTAACTTCTGGATACATACAGCACACAGAATACCGAACAATATCCAGACTACAGCATACATACTACGGACTACAGCATACTGCATTAAGACTACAACATACAGAACACAGCATACAGACTAAAGACTAAAGCATACAGACTATACACCATACAGACTATGTACAATACAGACTACAACATACAGACTATATACCATACAGACTACAACAGACTATATACCAAATAGACTACAGCATACAGAACACAGCATACAGACTATTTACCATACAGAACAGAGCATACAGAATACAGCATACAGCTAACAGAATATAGCATACAGAACACAGCATACAGACTATATACCATACAGAACAGAGCATACAGAATATAGCATACAGAATACAGCACACACAATACAGCATCGAATAGCATGAAGCACACGTAACAAAGAAGTTTCTTATCAGCATTAAGGCCAAGTTTTGACTGTGAATTTGCCAAAGCCTATTCTGCAATAGACCTATTTGGAATATTATTTCAGTCCATCATTTATTCAGTGTTAAAAAATAAGCGAGTCTAAGTTCCCTTGGATTTATTAACTTGTGACTTTTTAAATTAAAAGCATCTTGTTCCGCTTACTGGTGTAGCCCACTTCCCCAGGGCAGGTCTTCACGTGGAGCTCGCAGCAGGGGTCAGGGACGGCTAGTGGCATGGTGGCGAAGACCTGGCAGCTCCTCTGGACGGTGTTGAAGACGAAGGCCACACAGGTGGGGCTGTTGACGCACTGTTGCTGACAGTCCTCGGTGGTGAACACAGTCGGAGTGGTGGACAATGTACCCACGTCATTGCGGGTCAACGGCAGTGACAACATATCACAGCGAAAATCTGAAAACAATATTCCATGTGATGGATGTCTTATTCCCTCTGTACAATTATTGACTTGCTTTTCAAATCCTTCAATGCATGTTATTACATAATACAAACCTACCACAAAGGATAAGAAACTGTTCTCATAATTATATTATTTACCTGAGTTCCATCGAAAGCTGAAGCCTCCAAACTGGTAGGAGAAATCAGAGAAAAATCTGACAATGACGTTGTTGTTGGGGCTGATGATGTAGTGACTGCTGATGGTGGTGCCGGAGAGACGATGCAGCAAGGTGCTTGTTGCGATGGTTCTCCCTCCTACCCACACCTCCACAAAGTCCAGGCCTTTCTCAGTCGCCAGGCTCAGAAACTGTAATATCAATAGAGTCTTAAAAAATAGAATCCCAGAGATTTATCCAGGATGTTTTATTAGGTGTTGTTTGTTTGTTTGTTTGTTTGTTTGTTTGTTTCATGACCAGACAGTGGAACCACGAATATGAACATCCATCCAAAACGCAAGTGCTAGCACACTGAGATACCATGCCGCAGTTTAACATGAATACCCCACTCAGACACAGTATACTGACTCCAAGCCAACCAGTCCTTGTTTTAACCCCTTAATGCCGAGCGCCAGATAGGGTAATAACAAGTACCATCTTTTAACGTCTTTTGGTATGACGCGGCCGGGGATCGAACTCCGTACCTTCCGCTGACACTCTTGTGGCGGACACTCTACCACAAGACCAAGGAGGCGGTCTCACCCAGCAAGAAATGGGTACCCGATATGTGAGGTGGAAGTAAAAACCCTCTAGCGCCCGTAGGCAGCTTGGTTGTATACTCCCCAGGGAGTTGAGAATATGTGGAATGCAAATGGATCCACTGCTGAGCAGATGCTAGTACCTGGATACCTGCATAAATAAATGTACATAATATAATAATCTTCACAGGGATTTAAGCAAGTAAAGAAAGAAATGAAGCAACTGATAAATAGGTCTCACCGAAACTTGGAGCCTGGATCCAACGGCTCCCTCTATGGCCCACTGACAGGTGGTCTTCCCCTGGTAGTTGTCAGCCCCACTGGGATACGTCACCACGCCCTCGCGCTCCGTCAGGTAGTAGGAACACTTCGAATCTACAACACATATTACAACATAATGTTATCTAAGTGGCACCTAAAACAGTCGCCAATGTGACCTTAATACCAATTTGTCTAAAATTCAGATGTCGCCAAATGACTACTTTGTAAATATCTTGTGGCGACTAAATTCTATTGCTACACATATGTAGACACAAAAATAAATAACAGCTGATTGTGGAAAACATGCCTGCTAATAATTGTACTTGCAAATAATTCCTCCTAAAGTCGATAATGAACAGAAATGCATAAATATTAATGTTATTAGTATTTTATTTTAGTTGATAGTTTATTGGATAAGCAAGGATATACCTATATAATCTGGTAACATAAATCACATCATTGTTCGAGTCACAAATAACAAAATTCAAGTACTATTTCAACTAATATACAATTCCAAGACCAGTGCTATGACTTGTACATATTATAATAGTTATTTGATAAAAGATTTCTATTCTATTCCTATACCCAGGAAGGGTAACAACAAGTAACATATTTTAACGTCTTTTGGTAAACACAGCCTTGAATTGAATCACTGACTTTCTGCTGTCAGGGTAGACACTCTTTCCACTACACAACAGAGCCGGTCCCCTAAACAGTGGTTGATAGTAAGAGCAATTCATAATGACATGCTATTACACGACATATTCAACATGGCTCCCACGTACGATGGATATTTCCACAAGTATAGGGTATGAGTCAGCCATTGTGGTCTGGAATCCCAACAAGGGAATCAAATTGTCCATCTATGCATATTGTCCATCATATTGTACTTACTGCAGTTTCTCTCGTCGGAGAAGTCCCCGCAGTTGTTCTCTCCGTTGCACATGTTGTTGCTGCCAATACACTTCCCTGAATCACAGCGGAACGTTCCTGGCAAAAGGAATCATAACTAGAAAGTGTTTTTACTCGTAAAAACATATGTCTCCCCCTACTCCCCTAACCCCCATTCATTCGTTTACTTCACGTTAAACCCCATCTCTTCATTCCCACCCTCCATTACTAAATAACAGAGACAAAAATAGAACTCCTAGAAGTTTCAAACAACTAATGGGCACCACTTCAGTGCTGGGTTACTGTGTATACAAAGTTTCGCGAAAAAATATTAAACTGTTTCTGAGTTATGGTCAGGAAACCAAGCTTACCCCCATTCAGAGTCTATGTTCAACTTATCTCCATGGAAACGAGAAAAAATAAAAATGTCAAAAATCTCTTAATAGCAAAAGGCACCACTTCAGTGCTGGGTTAATGTGTATACAAAGTTTCGCGAAAAAATATTAAACGGTTTCTGAGTTATGGTCAGGAAACAAAGCTTACCCCCATTCAGAGCCTATGTTCAACTTATCTCCATGGAAACGAGAAAAAATAAAAATGTCAAAAATCTCTAAATAGCAAAAGGCACCACTTTAGTGCTGGGTTAATGTGTATACAAAGTTTCGCGAAAAAATATTTAACGGTTTCCGAGTTATGGTCCGGAAACAAAGCTTACCCCCATTCAGAGTCTATGTTCAACTTATCTCCATGGAAACGAGAAAAAATAAAAATGTCAAAAATCTCTTAATAGCAAAAGGCACCACTTCAGTGCTGGGTTAATGTGTATACAAAGTTTCGCGAAAAAATAGTAAACGGTTTCTGAGTTATGGTCAGGAAACAAAGCTTACCCCCATTCAGAGTCTATGTTCAACTTATCTCCATGGAAACGAGAAAAAATAAAAATGTCAAAAATCTCTAAATAGCAAAAGGCACCACTTCGGTGCTGGGTTAATGTGTATACAAAGTTTCGCGAAAAAATATTAAACAGTTTCTGAGTTATGGTCCGGAAACCAAGCTTACCCCCATTCAGAGTCTATGTTCAAGTTATCCCCATGGAAATGAGAAAAAATAAAAATGTCAAAAATCTCTAAATAGCAAAAGGCACCACTTCAGTGCTGGGTTAATGTGTATACAGAGTTTCGCGATAAAATATTAAACGGTTTCTGAGTTATGATCCGGAAACCAAGCTTACCCCCATTCAGAGTCTATGTTCAAGTTCTCTCCATGGAAACGAGAAAAAATAAAAATGTCAAAATTCTCTAAATAGCAAAAGGCACCACTTCAGTGCTGGGTTAATGTGTATACAAAGTTTCGCGAAAAAATATTAAACGGTTTCTGAGTTATGGTCAGGAAACAAAGCTTACCCCCATTCTGAGTCTATGTTCAACTTATCTCCATGGAAACGAGAAAAAATAAAAATATCAAAAATCTCTAAATAGCAAAAGGCACCACTTCAGTGCTGGGTTAATGTGTATACAAAGTTTCGCGAAAAAATATTAAACGGTTTCTGAGTTATGGTCCGGAAACCAAGCTTACCCCCATTCAGAGTCTATGTTCAACTTATATCCATGGAAACGAGAAAAAATAAAAATGTCAAAAATCTCTAAATAGCAAAAGGCACCACTTCAGTGCTGGGTTAATGTGTATACAAAGTTTCGCGAAAAAATATTAAATGGTTTCTGAGTTATGGTCCGGAAACAGTGGGAACGCCGACGCCGACGCCGACGCCGACGCCGACGGGAACCGTGCCAAAAACAATATGTCTCCCTCCATTCTGGGGGAGACATAATTACGAATAAACAAGATGATTACAAAACAGGTCCAACACTAATTGGTTAATTGAAGGTAAGTCTTTCCATAGCTGTCTCAGTCATAAGGTTTGATAAATTGTCAGGTGTGTTGAAGTGTCTAAGTTAGTGAGTGAGTGAGTTGGGTTTAATGCCGTTTTGAACAGTATTTCAGTTATGTCACGGTGTGTCAGCTTAATGTAGGTGGAAAGCCCAAAGTGATACTGGTCTCAGGCATTTACCACTTCAGCAAAACCCATGAAAACATGTATGGTGCTGACAAACCTAGAAACATAATCAGGGCGAAACCAGGATTCAAACCCACAATCACTGGTTTCTGGTGTGCCCAAGGAAAGCAACTCTGCTCAGTGAATTGTGGTGTGGTTTTGTCAAATGATTAAGTATGCATTTGGGTATATTACTAAATTAGCCCTGTCTTCTTTTGACATATACAGCAAACAAGAAGATGAGACATTGTTTAATTGATGAGGTGATGTCTAGTGTCTTGGCTTCTAATGTCAAATGTTTTTTGCAAATTGCAGGGTTATTAACCGCAAAGCAGCCAGTTTCACTCAACCTGCAAAAAAAAAGGGTAAGCTAACACTTGAAGAGGGTCTTCCAGTGTTATTGCCTATATTATATGAGATAAATATTTAATCTAAAACATTTCAAGAGGTCTGTTTAATGCCTGAATGTTTTACTCTGGTTGTGAGCACATTGCAGCATGCCTGTTATAGCCATAACTACGGGATGTAATAAACACTTGTGATATGATACATATCCAGACAGTGAGGTCATGATCCCATCAACAACACGATACATGAAATATCGTTTCTTAATTCGTTAGAAAACACTTTTATAATGATAGGAAGTTAATAGCTGCCCAAATAAATCATTTTAGGGGATACAAGCCATGATAACAGCAGCTTGATTCAAGTTGTACTTCAAGCAGATACCAGTATGTATCTCACACTGTACAGAAGACATTCTTGTAGAGACTGGTTCTTGGCTGTATAAGTGCTGCATCACCTTTGTGTTGCATATAGCCCTGGACAGATCACTTTCATCAAAAACTTAAATTCAAATCGGGCTCAAATGAAGCAATGGTTGGGAAATGGTCCAGGGTAGGTTATGTACCATAATAGAATGTAGATATAATACACTGGATAATGGTCCATGCAATCAAACAGGGCAGACTTTTGTTATTTACATTCGGAACTGTCTGCTTGAGTTCGTTTGCAAGATACAGAAATCAGATATGCTGCTGTGAATGATTCGCTCCCTCCTACATTTCAATTGAATTTGTATGATTGGCTGATTAACGGAAGGTTCACCTTACACAATTCCCTGAGAATGGGTTTCGTGACTTCACGCAGACAGCTGCCCTATCGGAATCACCACCCGGTTGTAATAAGACTGACAATTGTTGGACTTACCTGATGGACAGGGGAGTGCCTGGCACACAAAAGGCATCAGTGTGTCGCACACGCCCATGTACATCTTCCACGATGAGTCAGTCTGCTGCAGATACGCGCAGTCTCCTGTCGTCACCTTTGGTTCGTAAGCACCCCAGACCCCCACGTCAACAGTGGTGGCCCGACCGTCGCTCCAGTACCCGATGGTGTCGCTTTCAGATGAATGTCCCCTTCGATTGTAACCTGGAAAATCGGCAACATGCAATGGTCACTTTGGCCATTTATCGTCTGGTGTTTTTTAAATTGCATTTGGAAAGTTTTTGTCTTGCATAATTGCAATTGTGTCGTGTCAGTCCAGTACGTAGGTATGACCGTATAAGCAGCGACTAAGATGACCGGAAACGACTTGCATTATTTTCATTAAGAATCATTCAAAACTCCGAATAGCGACGGTGCCATGCCTACTTTATAGAAGCTCCACTTCATCGCGTTTCATATCTAGGATTTTCTACCATGGCGTATGGTAAATGACATTTATGTAAGGAAGTTACAACTTTTGATAGGCGCTGCGACAGAGTTTGAACACGACTCTACCTGTCCAAATCCGTTTCGTTGTGGCCGACTCTTTCTTCAGCAGGTTCCCAACTTGCTCAGTGACATCAAACCCCGCTGGCTCTGCCAACCTCCCGCCATATCTGCACCAAACCATGTTTCAAATTATAAAAGACGGTGATATATATATATATATATTATCCAAAAACTGGCTCCTACAGGAGATATCGTTTGGGTGAGAGCAAGCATAACTACATTGTAGATATCGCTGCAATGAAATTGCTTCGCAATGCTTTGCAGACCATTGTGACGTCATTGTTACCATGACGACACAATGAAATGACATCACTAAAGGCTCTGCTACTGAAGCTGTCAGTAGTACTTTTTTCACTCAAGACACTGCTCATTACTGTCTACAAAGAATGATGTTGGACGGTAAATAACAACTCACCCTCGTGTCGTTTGATATAAACAATATCAACACTCGTTGATATATTTGATATCAAAAGACTCTCGGGTGAGATTCTCTATTTATTACCTACAAGGGCAAACATATCGGGGCTCATACAAATCATATTTGCCCTAGGGTCATATCACGTCACGAGACAACGGGGTATTGTTTCCGTCATCCAAACGGCATTGTTGACATCATTTGAATCTTATTGTGACATGTGGTCAGAATGACGTGACAGTAGAAACAACGTCATTCGACAAATTGTGGTTTCGCTGCTGTTGCGACTTACTGTCCTTATAGGTAAATACCCTGTATGTCTCTGTGTGTAGATACCCTTTTCGGTAATAAATAGAACATTATATTCGTGTACACATTTGTGCCTTAATTCCGGTATTTCGCTCGCTCTCGCTCGGGAAAAAAAACGGAATTTAAAGACTCGTGTTGTAAACATAGTATGACATGAACATTTATATGATATCCTCTATTTAGGTTACAAAGAACGACAACTCAACTCTGAGAACCGTAATATTATGTGCATGTACAACAATCAGAACTATAAGTCATTTTAAAAAAAGTAAATCCACAATGGTACCTATGTCTATAATTAGAAATCTAAACCCTATCCTGCCAAGTCATATTTTTCTGAACGATAGTCGCAATAGAGGTGGATTTATTTTTTTCCACGTTATTGTCAATTATTATTATTATTATTACACCCACCTGCTGCACGTGGCTAGGGCCTGTGTCCATGACAACGGGGAGTCCGGCACTACGAGGTAGCAGTTGGCGTAGATCTCCGTCCAGCCTTGGAACAAGTGGGAGGCAGACATTCAAACATACACTACAACACCATTTCACTGTGGTAATATTGTGCAACATACCTTCAGTTTACCCAGCAGTTGGCTTCTGTATTGAATTATACTAAAAACAGTCATAACCTTGAATCTGAAAACAAATTATTTCGAGGTGAGGTGAAATGGGGTTTTAAAACGTCGCGTCCAAGATTATTGCACGTATGTAGCGACGTGCATGCATATGTGCGTGTGGCTGCATGTACTGGTCCGAACTAATGCCGATTTTATTGTGCTAGCCCACCACACCGCAGTTTTAAAAAAAAGAACACAAAAAATGGCTTCATTTATTGTACCCATATAGGGAATCGAACCCGGGTCTTCGACGTGACGAGCAAACGCTTTAACCTGTACGCTATCTCGCCACCCCTTTTTACCAAATGAGTGTGGTTCAACGTCGCTTTGAACGTTATTTTAGTTATTTCACGGCGTGGCAGCGTAGGAGGAACACCATATTTCGGTGAAACATACGGATATGGCGCTGACAAACCAAGGTTCATAATCGCTGCAAACCATTAAAGGGAGGCAACTCTTCAGAAGGGATGTAACTCAGTGACGACCCATGTCTCAGGAAGTTGTTGAGACAGCGATGTCTTTAAAATGACATGGATATATCGTTCACGCTCACATGTATCAGAGTACAATTTATGTTAAAAGTATCAATTTGTTTTAAATAATTGATTATATTCAAAATTGCATAGTTTCAATATTTCGTTCAGCTATTGTATTGATGTATATTAAACACGCACAAGCACCACCGAACACAAGAATACATTCCAAGTGACAACACAACGATCAGAAAAGTGACGATAATGAAACTAAAACTGGTTACAGTATACACCATCACAAGTAATTAGCACAACCACCATGCCCCTAACCTGAATTATTTATAACTACAAACATCGGTGTGATGCATCCTAAAATCAAAAGCTCTTTTGAAATTACGACCGATAAAACGTTTTGGGAGGGTGCGAGCTCTTGGTCTCCCTTTCTACAACAGGGATTTCAAAGAAAGAGGTACCAAGTTAATATTTGTTTGTTTGTTTGCTTTTTGTTTAACGCCGCACTCAGCAATATTCCAGGTAAATGACGGCGGTCTGTAAATAATCGAGTCTGGACCAGACAATCCAGTGACTGATATCACGAGCATCGATCCACGCAAATGGGATACAATGACATGCATCAACCAAGTCAGCGAGCCTGACCCCCGATCCCGTTAGTCGCCTTTTACGGCAAGCATAGTCGCCTTTTACGGCAAGCATGGGCCGCTGAAGACCTATTCTACCCCGGATCTAACCCGGATCTACCCCGGATCTAAGATGGTGCCAGGTTGAGAACACGCTTCGTTGTATTAATGTATTCTTCTGATGTGCTATTACGTTCAATATCAGGGTATGAAACTCCCAAAAATTTCAGCCAGACCACAGGACTGGCTAGCTGAAATACTTGCCAGCCCTGTCCAAAACCTGCCTGCCCACTATAATCATGTGTTTCTCAGGATAAGCTAACGGGGTTTCTTTTTGGTTACATTTTATCATTCATCTTTACATGTGAATTAATGATTATCATCGGGAACTATTTAGAATATTGTCACATATGAAATATAACCCGACCGTCGGGCAGGGGGATTTGAAAATCTGGCAGCCCGAGTTGAAATCAACCCGTCTCGGACGGTCGGGCAGGCAGGTATTTCGAACACTGTCAATATGTCAATGCACTGATCATGATATCTTGAATTTTGTTTTCCTTTTTTTGAGAATGTCAACATTTTATGAAATTTATGAACATTTTTCCAGTTTGTTACGGGTTTGGGTGTTACTTTCAAAATTAAATGAATCAAGCTCTTATCCGACATCCAACTTTTGAACTGCTCTGTAAGCACCTTCTGTTAATATATGACCCTGACAGAATTTAGACAGTGTTACGTTTTCATTTATTGATAAAGTAGCCAATTAACAAGTGTTTTAACTAAAGAAATCTTAAATCTATTATTAAATTAGCTTTGAAAACTAGTGACCAGTATGCTTCGAAGATCTTTACAACAGCGACAGTGAACTTTCAAAACATACATGAATGTAACTTTATGTACAAAACACACATATATGTAAATATATATACAAAACACACATATATGTAAATATATATACAAAACACACATATATGTAAAGTTATGTACAAAACACACATGTATGTACATATATGCAGAAAACACACATTATCTGTAAATGTATGACGAAAACATACATGTATGTAAATATATATACAAAACACATATATATGTAAAGTTATGTACAAACACACATGTATGAAATATATGTACAAAAACATTTCTTACATCGTGCCCCATGCTACTGGGCCCGTTCCACAAAGCGATCTTAACACTGAGATGATCTGACTTCCACACTTTAACATTGGACTAAGATACTCATAGTACTAAGATAGCATTGTGGAGCGTTACCCTGGTCAATGTCCTGGATGTTTACACTGTAATGTGCACACATGCGTCCACAACTACGTCACCTCCTTCGACAACCACGTAACGTGCATCCACATCTACGTCAACTACATGCACGCTGCAACATCTACGAATTTGGAGGCTTGACATGTTGATCAGTAAAGCGTCGTAAAATCTCTCATACGTCTGCTCAGGGTTTTCCAATGTCGGCAACAAAGCAGTTTTACGAGCTCTATCCTGATTTGGAAACGTTCTCTGTGCGTGCTGATATAACTGAACATTCCAGCGTTAATGGGCCCTGTTCTAGAACATCATAGCACTGAGGCGACAGTAACCCATAGTTTATCATAAACTTTCGATGCTCGTACCGCTACGGTCGCTATGTCGACTTCAGCGCTAAAATGGGAGTTAAAAAGTATGTTTTCTGACGCCAATGTCTTCAATATTCCAGTTTTACTATGATGGCCTACACGAAATTTAGCCAGGACAGGCAAAACAGTGACTGAAAACACGAACAACGATCCACGCCGAAGTGGTACGATGACACGCTATCAGTCACCAAGCATGACCGCCCCATCCAAATGGTCGCCAATAACGACAAGCTGTGGGAGGATGGATCTAACCTAGCCCGGGTTAGGGTGGGAGAGTTATGAGGTGTCATATGTTGGCGTTCATAGCCAAGCTGATTCCAAATCCTGACCGTACCTTGAGGAGGAGGGGGATGTAAATGGTTACAACTCATACAACATCACTGATCACAATGTCAAGCCTGCCTACAACTTACCCCGTGTTTTAGAAAGACCGGAGGGCGTAACGACAGCTACAACAGAAGCAGCGGGTATCTAGATGTAGCTCGGGTATCTAGATGTAGCTCGGGTATCTACAGGGTGTAGCTCGGGTATCTAGATGTAGCTCGGGTATCTACAGGGTGTAGCTCGGGTATCTACATGGCGTAGCTCGGGTATCTAGATGTAGCTCGGGTATCTAGATGTAGCTCGGGTATCTAGATGTAGCTCGGGTATCTAGATGTAGCTGGGGTATCTACATGGCGTAGTTTTGGTATATACATGTTGTAGCTGGGGTATCTACATGGCGTAGCTCGGGTATCTAGATGTAGCTCGGGTATCTAGATGTAGCTCGGGTATTTAGATGTTGCTGGGGTATCTACAGGGTGTAGCTCGGGTATCTACATGGCGTAGCTCGGGTATCTAGATGTAGCGCGGGTACCTACAGGGTGTAGCTCGGGTATCTACAGGGTGTAGCTCGGGTATCTAGATGTAGCTCGGGTATCTACAGGGTATAGCTCGGGTATCTACATGGCGTAGCTCGGGTATCTAGATGTAGCTCGGGTATCTAGATGTAGCGCGGGTATCTAGATGTAGCTCGGGTATCTACAGGGTGTAGCTCGGGTATCTACATGGCGTAGCTCGGGTATGTAGATGTAGCTCGGGTATCTAGATGTAGCTCGGGTATCTACAGGGTGTAGCTCGGGTATCTACAGGGTGTAGCTCGGGTATCTGCATGGCGTAGATCAGGTATCTACATGGCGTAGCTAGGGTATCTACATGGCGTAGCTCGGGTATCTACATGGCGTAGATCGGGTATCTACATGGCGTAGCTGGGGTATCTACATGGAGTAGCTCGGGTATCTACATGGTGTAGATCGGGTATCTACATGGCGTAGCTCGGGTATCTACATGGTGTAGCTCGGGTATCTACATGGAGTAGCTGGGGTATCTACATGGAGTAGCTCGGGTATCTACATGGCGTAGCTGGGGTATCTACATGGAGTAGCTCGGGTATCGACATGGTGTAGCTCGGGTATCTACATGGCGTAGCTCGGGTATCTACATGGTGTAGCTCGGGTATCTACATGGAGTAGCTGGGGTATCTACATGGAGTAGCTCGGGTATCGACATGGTGTAGCTCGGGTATCTACATGGTGTAGCTGGGGTATCTACATGGTGTAGCTGGGGTATCTACATGGTGTAGCTCGGGTATCTACATGTAGCTCGGGTATCTACATGGAGTAGCTCGGGTATCTACATGGTGTAGCTGGGGTATCTACATGGCGTAGCTCGGGTATCTACATGGCGTAGCTCGGGTATCTACATGGCGTAGCTCGGGTATCTACATAGTGTAGCTGGGGTATCTACATGGAGTAGCTCGGGTATCTACATGGTGTAGCTCGGGTATCTACATGGCGTAGCTCGGGTATCTACATGGCTTAGCTCGGGTATCTACATGGTGTAGCTCGGGTATCTACATGGCGTAGCTCGGGTATCTACATGGTGTAGCTGGGGTATCTACATGGAGTAGCTCGGGTATCTACATGGTGTAGCTTTAGAAGAGTCTCTCTGACTCCGTATGGATTGGCACACGTGTGTATTTTATTATGTGAGAGGATTGTTGTTGTTGTTTGTTGTTTAACGCCACACTAAGCAATAGTCCAGCCAAATGACGGCGGTCTGTAAATAATCGAGTCTGGACCAGACAATCAAGTGTCATCCATGACATGCATCAACCAAGTCAGCGAGTCTGACCACCCGATCCCGTTAGTCGCTTCTTACGACAAGCAAAGTCGCCTTTTACGGCAAGCATGTGTTGCTGAAGACCTATTCTACCCCGGATCTTCAGGGGTCGAGAGTGTTGTAATGTATTGGGGATGAGACTAATAAAAATCGGTCTGTCTGTCAGTATGTAATTGCTTTTGTTTTGCTTGTCTTAGAAACTCCTTTTCAAGTGCGACTTCAAACACCAAACAGACCACACTGTTATCTACCCTCTGTATGGCGATTGATAGTGATTGATATTGTGAGCAACGATCCACGCCATCCGGGTCCCAGAGCCTAATCACAAATCATATATGACGTTGTGTATTGCTATCGATTCTTTTGCTTTCTGAGTAGACAATTTGGTCACGTGTGTACTCACCATTTGGACAAGACAGCACCAGATCCTGACCAAGCTGGAACAAAAAATATAACTATTACTAATACAAATAGTAACATGCCATTCAGCGAGTGCGTTTTGTTTTCAACGTCGCGTTGCACAGTTTTTCAACTTCATGTGGCAAGAAAGCCACCATTTTGGTGGAATCAACATTATTTATTGTATTTATTTATTTAACGCCACACTGAGCAATATTCCAGCTATCTCCGTTTACAAGACTCCGTGACAGTGTTGAATGACATGATAGGTGTCGCTAACATGGGATGTCAATTACAGCCCTATCAATCAAGGCTTGCACTCGCGTGTTTCAAGCCTGAGGAGAGGTATTGTACAAGCGGTAGAGCTATCTGTCTCTGGTGAAATGAACCCCGGTCAGGTGTAACGTTAAATGCCCCACGTAATACGTGCCCCATGGATCATCATATAGATACTGGACTTCTGTATTTTTTTATTTTGTGTGTGTGTGTGTGTGTGTGTGTGTGTGTGTGTGTGTGTGTGTGTGTGTGTGTGTGTTTAACTCCACACTCAGCAATATTCCAACTGTAAGACGACGGCTTCTAAATAGTCGAGTCTGGGCCAGTCAAAACAGTGATTGACACCATGAGTATCGATCCGCGCAATTGGGATACGACGACATGCATCAACCAAGTCAGCGAGCCTGACCACCCGATCCCGTTAGCCGCCTTATACGACAAACAAAATCGCCTTTTACGGCAAGCATGGCTTGCTGAAGGCCTATTCTACCCCAAAAGCTACATGAAAGAATCGAGTGGCCCTTAACTTCTTTTGAGTAGTATATGTTGACCAGACTGAAACAAGTGGGATCTTGGGACCCAATCTGAGACAGTATCCGTCACTGGGTGTTAAATGCCAACATGTCGAAATACGTCGTCGTCATGGTGACAGAGCTTTGTATTCAGGTCTGTGAACGAGTTCTCCTATTCCACATCCGCATCTCCCATATCTTATCAACAGCATCAGACAACACTTTTGTCATGCAGATCACCAGTGACAGTTCGATTATCTGTTGTATTTCTGGCTTACACCTCATCAATCAATACCCACGTCGAGAACCTGGTTCTGAGTGTATGGATCTCTCACTCTGGCGTGTATTACGCGAGATGATTACACAACGTAGCTTAAACATCACAATTAACACTATATTACCACAGTTATAACACAATATTAACACCTTCACTATTTTTCATATATTCATATCAATATTTCATGTATCAATTATGTGACTGCTTCCGTGGTCTAGTGGATGGAGGGTCTGCCAGGAGAGCAAAAGATCGGTGGTTCGATCCCCGGCCTGTCGATAAAAGACGGTACTTTTTGTTTCCCTGCCTGGCGCTCGGCATAAGGGGAGAAACAAGAACTGGTCGGAGTCAGTAAAGGTTATCTGGGCGTGGTATCTATGTTAAACAGCGGCATGGTATCTCAGTTGTAACAATAAGTATCATCTTGGCGCATTTTGAAATGACCCGGTCAGGGTGTTGAAGCAACCCATGCTTCCTGTAAAAGGCGACGACGCTTGTCGTAAGAGGCGACAAGTGGGTGAGTTTGGTTTTACGCCGCTTTTAGCAATATTCCAGCAATATAACGGCGGGGGACACCAGAAATGGGCTTCACACATTGTACCCATGTCGGGATTCGAACCCGGGTCTTCGGCGTGACGAGCGAACGCTTTAACCACTAGGCTAACCGAACGACCCAAGGGGCGACTAACGGGATCGGGTGGTCATACTGGGTTGATGCATGTGATCGTATCCCAATTGCGGAGATCGATGCTCATGATGGCAATCACTGGGCTGTCTGATCCAGACTGGAATCCAACTGGAATATTGCTGAGTGCGGCGTTAAACAACAAACAAACCTCCGACCTTCCGCTCTCCGGGCAGACGTTCTATCCGTCATGGAGGCGGTCTGATTAATCTACGACCAGCACCGACATGTCTCTATATACCTATACCGACCTCAACACTCCACTGATCATGACGTCGTATTTCACGGTTGACAGGATCACGTGTCATTAAACAGGTATTCCCCTCAGCAGATCGAGGTTCGATAACTATAACGATTGATTTCAGATTTGTCGCGAAAGAGGGACACCAGGTAGGGTCACACAAAGACGCATTGTTGTTGAGTACCAAATGTTGGTATGACATACAACGTCGCGCTGTTATCCCAGTGGAAAGATATAGCACTGCATATGAACTGTACGTATGTGAATATGATTTACTAGAAGGTAGTTTTATTAATATTATTAAAGGCTACTGAAGTCAGTCAGTGTTCCACGTGGAGCCAGTTTGAGTGAGTGAGTATTGTGTCATGCAATGTAGGGGGCGGTCGGGTAGCCTTGTGGTTAAAGCGGTCACTCGCGCCGAAGACCCGGGTTCGATTCCCTACATGGGTACAATGTGTGAAGCCACCCCCGTCGTGATATTGCTGGAATATTGCTAAAAGCGGCATAAAACCATACTCACTCACTAATGCAATGTAGCAATATTCAAGCACTATATGTCACGGCGGGGGAACCAGAAATAAGCTTCACACATTGTACCCATGTTGAATGTCGAACCCGGGTCTCGGCGTGACGAACGAACGCTCCAACCAGTTGGCCTGACCTAGCAGTGACCTTGGTCAATTGCGCTTTAAATACTACATTCGCACTTGTTTTTATTTCAGTGCTGGCAAGGTACGAACGCTGCACACGCTGCAAAATATAGTCGCTCGCAGTCACATGACTCCTGATCCTCAGTCGGACTGTAACCACGTGATCAAAGATCAATGATGATGTTTATCGCTAAGAAAATGGATATTTCTTAAAAAGCACGCTTCTCAATTTTTGGCATTGCTGTAAGTAATATTCCTAACCGGCGAAATCGTTTGTTTTCATTTCATAAATATTAGCACACATGCAGCTATCTTCGTTAATTAATCATTGCGATATTTCATAATTCTATTTCAGGGGAGTTCAAGTTGCGAGGAATACAGTGATGATGTGTATATGTGGATCAGCATAAGATTGGTTGGTTGGTTTGTTTGTTGTTTAACGCCGCACTCAGCAATATTCCAGCTATATGACGGCGGTCTGTAAATAATCCAGTCTGGACCAGACAATCCAGTGATTGACATCCTGAGCATCGATCCACGCAATTGGGATCGATGACATGCATCAACCAAGTCAGCGAGCCTGATCACCCGATCCCGTTAGTCGCCTTTTACGACAAGTATAGTCACCTTTTAGAGCAAGCATGGGTTCCTGAAGACCTATTCTACCCCGGAATCTTCACGAGTCGATCAGCATAAGAAACACGGCAGAAATATAATTATAAGTTGTAGCAGTGTCACGGGGGATGCATGTTGTTTTACGCATATAGGTTTTTGGTATAGGCTTTATACCACGAGTCAGCCTGCTACAGTGAATTGATCTTGCCGACATGTTTTAATACGCCATTGTAAACGAATTAAAACAAATATTATTCAAACTTGATAGAAAACAGCTGTTTGGTTGAGCTGAGGTTAACTATGTCACGTGACTTTCACTGACACGGAAGAGGTGTGAGTCTTTAAGCCTTAATCGGGGTTATGAGGGATTTATTCTCCCTCTCAGAAATCCATGTGCAGCCTCCCTTGTTCGTGGCGGGAAAAAAGATTTATTCTCCCGCTGTGAAATTTATTGTCCTCCAAGTCGGGATATATAGTATTTTATCAAGATTATGTGAACCAATCAGATCTCATCATTCTGACATGGAGGTATGATAATGCCGTTTTTGCGGTGTGTATTGGTCTCAGCACTCGTTGGAGCCAGACCGCGGCTTGATTTGTTTATTGGTTCGCCCCGACTGAATTGCAAAACGAACATATTTCTTGAATGGTTTTCTTTACTTATATGAAGTAGAGGTTCTGCATCTGTACACAGTAGGCGTAATTCAAAATTAACATATATTTTTCAGTTTCAACAAAATCAACAAAAGCCCTGTCGTGTCGATGGACATTCCGGTCCATCAGTGGATTGTCTGGTTTGTTCAAAGGCCGCCGTCGCATGGCGGGAATACCGCTGTGCGGAGCTAGGCAACAAACTCCTACTTTCTTATGCAAATTGAGTGAGTGGCGGGTACTTACCATGACGTTTTAGTTTTATTTGTGTTTGTTTGTTTGTTGTTGCACTCCAGCTATGTGATGGCAGTCTGTAAATAATCAAATCTGGACCAGACTATCCAATGATTGAAATCAAGAGCGTGGATCTACGCAGTTGGGATACGATGACATCCATCAACCAAGTCAGCAGGCCTGACCACCCGTTCCCGTTAGTCGCTTCTTTCGGCAAGCAATGGTTGATGAAGGATAATTCTAACCTGGATCCTCACGAGTATGGGGATATGTGTTTTCGGGATGGGGGTATTATTTTCGGGCTGGGAATAGGTGATTTCCTGGGTGGGGGGTGGTGTTTTCGGTAGTAGGGAACAGGTGTTTTGGAGAAGGTGATACGTGTGTTCTGGTGGAGTACTGTGGTGAAGTTGCTTTCTAATGACCAACTCTGTCTAACTGCTCTTCTCACGTGTAATATAACGTCCCTCATACACACCAGAAGCCTTTGATCGCGGTATGTTTTCAAGATGTTTCAGCGCAATACTGTGACCGGGTGTATCACTCAGTCACTCACTCACTCACTCACTCACTCAGTGACATCGCTACATTGTTGTACAGTGTCGTTGTGACGTCAGCTGTAACTCACTCAATCACAACAACTTCTGGTCGGTGTCAAACACTACCCGTTTGTGTCTATAGCACACCAAATAACCATCTTAAGAAAACACCCATCAGTGTATTGATCTACTTCAACGAATATTTCTCGCAATACACATTAGATATTTTATTCATATAAATCAATATCTCACGGCAAATGTCCTGATCTGATAGATCGATTCACACGTCACGCAATGCGATTTAATATTAAAGACCCTATTGGATCGTGATATCCGTTTCTATTGAATGGTTTAAAGAGGTGAA